CTCATCCCCCCTTTGTTGGCTCATCTGTAGAATGGGCAGCCCAAATTAGTTAATGAGGACTGTGGGTGAAGCAGCGTTAGCAGACCCAAGTCAGGGGCTCGAGCAGGCGGTCCCTGAGCAGGCGCTGTCTGCAGGGAGTTCTTAAACTAGATTTTAGCTCTCCTTCAGAGGTGGAGAGCCCAGGGAGGGTAATGGCTTGTTAAATATAGTGAATTCACTGTCCTGAATGGGGACACGGAGGGGCCATTTGCCTACCTAGCATTTAGGTCGTGCAAATGGATGGTCTGAGAAAACCTTGTTATCCGTGGACCTCGGGGGTCTATCTTTGGTTTCCTGAGCCTGTCCTGACATTCAGAGGATTCAGGAGCTGCCTCTGTCCTCGAAAATGAAGGACGCGGTACGTGTTTTCTACTTCGTTGCAGAATTTTAAAAACACTTCTTCGTGTTTCCCTGCTAGTGAGGGAGGCAGAGGAAAGAACCAGACCTCCTTGTTTGTCCCCCTCGTTCTGGCGAGAAGCTGTGCAGGCGGGGGGAGGACCGCAGGCTGCGGGCGTCTAGGACATCCTGATCTTCGGGTTTGACTGATTCTCAAGAGGCGATGGCAGAAGAAATGAATGGCGAGGACGTGGGGCCTGTTCCATTAAGGACCCCATCCTCCTGAGTACGCCTCAGTCGACTATACAGACTTTGACAGTTTCATTATAAATATCTCATCACCGGTCAGACTTGCAGCACCGAGTTCCCTGAGGCGTGCTCTGCGTACCCTTGACAAGGGGAGAATTTATTTCAGAGCCTCCAAGTGTGCCTGGCACCCAGTAGGCCTCAGTGCCTTCGTCAGTAAGTGAATGCCTGAGCCATCAGTCCCTCCATACAACAAGCAATTTATTTGTGCTCCCTTCTATTTATAACAACCCCGAGCTTGGGGCTTGGGTGGCAGCAGATTCTTTTTCTCACTCTGAATAATGAGGCAAATCATTTAACCTCTTTGGAATGCCAGGGGGGCTGAGAGACAGCGTGGGGGTGGCCTGGACCAAGGTGTGTTCAGTGTGGGGCTGGGGCTGGAAGGGGGTGCTGGCCCAGAGCTTGTGGCCGTTTCTCCAGCCGGGGACCAGGGGCCAGCGAACGGGGACCGGGAGGCCCGCGGGGACGCTGCAGCTCTGTAGATGCCACCGACAGCCTTTGAAGGATGGCTTTGGCCCGAGACCCACTCCTCAGCCCGTCTCCTCTGTGACTCATTCGGGCTGCATATTTTGGTAGCGGGAAGACTGAGATGAAAGACACCGTTCTTCAGAGCGGGAGCTCCTTGGTATTAGACGAGCACCTCAGAAGTGTGATCTTCTTGACAGGTCACAGAAACAGGCTTTTAAAAAAATTATTTTAAAGGATTTTTAAAAATTTTATTTATTTGGCAGAGAGACAGATCACAAGCAGGCAGAGAGAGATGGGGAAGCAGACTCCCTGCTGAGCAGAGAGCCCGATGCGGGGCTGGATCCCAGGACTCTGGGATCATGACCTGAGCCGAAGGCAGAGGCTTAACCCACTGAGCCACCCAGGCGCCCCTAAAAAAAATTACTGAGATGAAATTCACATAACGTTCACCACTTTGACTTGAATAGTGCGGTGGCTTATAGTCCATTCTCAGCGTTGGGCAGTCACCCCCACCCCCCCTAGTTCCATCGCTCTAAAATAAAACCGGTCACTTGTACAAGGGTGACTCCCTAGGTCCCTTTACCCCCCAGCCCCTGGCAACCACCAGTCCGCTTTCCATCCATAAGGATTTATTGATTCTAGATCTTTCATGTATGGACTCAGGTGGTCTTGTGACCTTTGGCGTCTGGCTTCTTTCAATGGCAGAGTGTTTTTTGAGGTTTGTCCACGGTGTGGCATATGTCAGATTATGGAGTTTCAGCAACTACCCCAGATATCCAAAGACGGCCTCTCCCCAAAAGAGCGGGTCTCCCGGCTACCCCCGGTTGGCTCCGAGGGCCTGCGGGTAGGAAGGGGAATGGACTAGATTCACTGCTCCCCAGAGAAGCTGCATTACAGACACCCGGAGCGTCTCTTTTAAAAACAGGAATTATGGAATGCCCCCTCCCCCCATCAGAGGGGGATCTAAATCAGCATCTCTGGGGGCGTTCTCTGGGCTGGGTTTGGGCGCCCCAGACAGGGTGACCTCTGGGGGCATTAACAACTTGCTGGCGACCAGCCGAGGCTTCAAGTGCCTCCTGGACGCCGTGGGTTGTCGGTGATGCCGTTTCTGTGTGTGGAGATTTTGGGGGCCTGTGATTTTTCTCTGCCTTCCGAGGGGCGGTTTCAGGCCCTTCCCTGCCTCTTGGACTGCTCCAATTAACTGTGTCTCATTTATCAAGTCCTTTTTTATTTTTTTAAAGGTGTTTCACCAAGCTTGCCTTCGGCTTCCTTTGTCAGAAAGCCCTTGGACCTTCTGAGGCTTGTCCTTTGCGCTGCTCTCCCCCCTTCACCCCTGTTAGGATTGGTTGAGGGCCTCATAAATCTTGTGTCCTCCAGGGAGAAAGACTTCAGCAAGCAGCCTCGAGATCTCGTTCCCACTCTCATCACTGGAGGCTCTGTGGCCTGCTCAGAGCGTGACTGGATTGTCACCCGCCAGGGGGACCGTTCTGAGGTTGCCCGCATCACATGTTGGTGGGCTCTTTCATGCCAGAGCCGGAGAACTCGGGTGGCCCTTCCAGGTGCCAAATCCTTCATTGTGTCGAAGTTTGCATACGCTCACTCTGTGTTCCCCTCTGGTTCTAAGGGCGAGAATGTTTTTGGAGGGTGAAGACTTTAGCCCGAATTCCCAGGGTACTTGGGCTGTTGGGCTTCTGATTTGTGCTGCTTCTAGATTCTTCCCAGAGGCATGAGCTGCAGGGGCAGACGTGGGGGAACGTCTGGAAGAACATGGGGAAGGCTGGAGGAAGGCCTCATCAGCCAGCTGGTGGAGATTTCCTCCGCTGGCTCCCCCGGTAGCACTCTCAGGTGCATTATTTACTTACTTCTGTTTTTCATTTGTCCCTCTCTCTCCATGCGGCCCTGGACCTATCTCTGGGAATGAGAAGGCACATTTTGGAATGACGTATTTTCCTATAAAAATACCAAAAGGTCCTTTTCTCTACAGAGGTCTCATTTTAGGAGTTTTCCAAAAGCATTCAGATCCTGGATCAAACGCAATGCAGGCGCTTAAGAGCCAGAGCAGAGTAGTTAAGGATGAGGTCCTTTGTCGTCTTGTCGGCCAAGTTTGTGGCACAGGTATTTCCCTTCTCCCTTGTGACATCTGGGAGCACCTCAAGGAGGAGGATGGGGAAGCTTAGGGCGGTGGCAGGATGAGGGATAGAAAGGAGAAAGGAGGAGGTTTTCTTCTGCGGAACGTCCATGGGAAGGCAGCTCAGAGGGCATGTCCATGCAGGCTCGGACTTAGCATCAGTCCAAGAGGTGAGCGTGGTGGGGGTATCGGGCAGAGGCTCCTTGGAGCCCAGAAGCTTGGTTTCCTTCTATACGTGCCCCGGGCAGCTAAGGTTGGACGCTGCTGGAAGAGGCTTCTTCCAGACACTGCTCAGCAAAAGGGAGCGTGCATGTTCCCAATTTCGGGGGGGGCTGTGTCCTGATTCTGACTGTTAACAGCAGCTCTTGGGATTTTTGCTTGTGTGGTCATCGGTTTGCTCTTCACACAGAGCGGATGGAATGTTAGCTCAGGGCTTCTGAGACACCGGCCCTCGGACTGTCCTTCCGTGTCTGGTGAAGGAGGAAAACTAAAAGGAATGGAGTTAGTTTTTCATAAAGCAACACTGTCTCAATGAACTGTTCTTTATTCTGAGATAGATCCTTCTTCAGTTTTTGGAGTTTAACTGTCCTTTTGTGGAAAAATGATGGTGATTATGGTGGTCACGCTGCTCAGGTGGGCTAGTTGCGAAACGGGCGGACCCCAGAAGCTCAGGGTGTAAAGGGATCCCCCACTGTGGGGAGTTCCAAGTGAGTGTTACTGACCACTGGAGGGCTTCCTCACCAGGGATGTGGGCTCCTTCCTCCTTGTGATTCCATTCTCGTCCGGGGCTCTGGAATCCTGAATGGGGCCTGCAGGTGGGAAAGAAGCAGAAGGCTGACAGGGGCTGGGGCTGGTGGCTTTCCCTCACATTTGGTGGCCAAAAGTCAGTCCCAGGCCACACCCCACCGCAAGGCAGCCTGGTCACGAGTCTGCTATGTCCCCAGGGAGCAGAGGAAACTGGTTCAGAGAACAGCAAGTCAGGCTCGACACAGTGGCTGTTTTTATTAATGGCCTTACTGGGTAAAATAGACTTGGCCTACCAGTCCTGTGTTGGCCTTTCTAATTATTTTTCATCTTCCTGGTTTACAAAATCCAGAAGTCTGGGAACTACTGTTAGCAAGAATTCGAAGGTCATTTCTGGGGAATTCTGGAAAATATTTCCTTACTTGGGACAGTTCAAAACGAATTAAATAAAACTTGTACCGGGATGTTTCTCTCTTGTTTCTCCATGCGAGGAGCTCGGCACCTGTCATGGCACCTGTCAGCCGGAGAGAGCACCAGTTTGAATGGAGGTTTGAAAGTGTGTGGTCTTTCTGGCCGGTGCGCTTTTTCTGAGTGAGGAAGATGTATCAGTGTTTTGGTTTCAAGGCCTTAGGAGTGCATGACCCACGTAGGGGTTAGGGATGAAAGTAACCGGAGATTGGTTTATGCAAAAGGCAAGAATAAGCCAAGACGTGGTTATGCCAGAGAGAGCCTGAGAAGGAGATTTTTTTGCAATCCATTTGTATCCAAAATAGCAGGGAATTTGTGTTTCTTCTTGGGGGAAGTTGTGTCTTGTGGAATCTGCACTGGAGGAAAAATAGGCCACCCTGGTCCCCTGCTCCAGATCCCAGAATCTTAGCTATTTCCAAGTGACAAAGGAGGAGAGAGAGTCTTGCTTTAGAATATCATGGCCCTCACTCATCCTGGGTCCTAATTCCTATGTCGGTTTGATCTCTTTCAGGTTAGTCTGAATGATTCCCACAATCAGATGGTGGTGCACTGGGCCGGGGAGAAGAGCAACGTGATCGTGGCCTTGGCCCGGGACAGCCTGGCACTGGCAAGGCCCAGGAGCAGTGATGTAAGTATTGGTTATGATCTGGGCACTCCTCGTGGAGGCCACCAACCTGCCCTCTTGGAATCTGGCTGGGTTATCGTGCCAGCAAAAAACAAAAACAAGAACAAAAAGTGGTCGATTGGAGACTGAATGGATGGGATACATTTTACAACATGGAAGAGAATCTGGAAAACAATAAATACCCCTTGTCTGCTGAACAGAGGGAGGCGTGGGCTGTTTTGCAATGAGATCCACGCAACATGTGGTTACTTTTGTGAAGTGATAGGGTTTGATTTGAGTGGTTGGGTCTGCTCCAGAAAGTGCCAGAAGCACGTTCTGGGTAGAGTTGTCCATCCGCCACAGAGCCTGATGGGACCCCTTCCAGTCGGGTGGGTTCTTGACGCCCTGCGCTCCTACTCTCAGTTTTCACGGTTGGCTTCTACAGCGTTCGAGTTTAGGTGCTTTGAAGACGAGAGACCAAGGGTCACAGACTGAAAGGCCCCTGAGAGACCAGGTGGGTAGTGGAGGAGAAGCTTCCCTCCCTGTTCCCTACACTCTTTCCTCCGGGGAGGAGAATGGTCTCTCCCATTTCTCTTGAAGTGTGTGGTCTTCTGGGACAATGTGTCGTTTTCCCACTTTGGTAGACGTGCCAGGTTCAAGAAGCATTCCCCTGCATGTTAATTTGAATGTGGCGATTGATCCTTGGTCGCTGTGTCTAGGAGAGGCTAGGAGGTAGAAGGGATTTGGTGCTTGTGTGGGGCTGCTGTCATCAGTCTCGGCTCTGGTTGCCGTGAAGGGCCTACTATTGCCAGATCTGATTTCCGAGAGGAACTCAGAGGCCTGGGTTTTTACGTGAAAACTGCTGAGTCTTACAGGTTGGCAGCTTATGCATCGTTGGTACAAGTACTGGACGGGCCAAGTTCCATCCCCCTGAGGGCCAGAGCTGGTCCTTGGGTGCCAGTCTCCAGACGTCCCCTTGTGGGAAGAGGGGCAGCCCTGCCTGGGATCAGGGACCGATGTGGCAGCAGGTGAAGCCTGTGGACAAAGAAACACAGTGGGGAGCTTTGTTCACTCTGCTCCATGGCCAGAGGGAGCCTCCTAGTGAATTTGCTAGCGCTGTCACATCAGCCCGAAGGACAGCCTCGAGCTTCTGGAGTAGAGACCTGGTCTCTGTGAGAGCCCTGTCTGTGTCCCTGCTGGGTGGCTTGCATGTGCTCCGAGGGAGACACCCGGAGGTAGCACTGGGGGCCGCTTTCTAGCAGGTTCAGTGGAGACAGCCACGGACAGGGAGGGCGGTGGAAGGGCTCTGATGCAGACCTTTGTCCCATGCGGCTGCTGAGCAGGGGTGGGTGGGAGCCACAGTCAGTGACGGCCAGTTTGGATGTCGTGTTCTGGAGCAGGGCTGGACTCCTTTGGGGCAGTGGCTTTGACCTGTTGATAGACGTGGCCAGGGTTTGTGAGCGCAGATGGCAGTGTGTGGGTGCTGTGGTCCCGTGAGGCCCGTGGGCACCGTAGACTCAGCACGGTCCTGGCCTGCACGCCCCGTCATGGCTACCCTTCTGAGCCCAGGAAACAGCTGCGGGCCCCATGCTGTCGAGAAGACCGCCTTTGGCTTTTTATATGTTTAAAAAAATTCTTTGTCTAGGTAAAATATATGTATATATTTATATACATGTAACTATATAAATATGTAAATATATATATATACATATCTATATGTGTGTGTATATATATATATATATATAAATGAGATAGGTAAAAGACCTTAAGTGTTGTTTTATGGTTTTGCTGGACAAACAGGAGCCTGGAGACATTGAGTGGCCTGCTCGAGGTCACGCAGCCCGTCTGTGGGAGGAGGGTGGTGGCTCTGGAGACCTGACCATGGGCTTGCTATGTGAGGGTGTCGTGTTGCCAGCAGGAACCCCCTCCTCTGGGTTTCAGCCCTTGGAGCCCTGCATCCTGGGAGCCTCCTCAGGCCAGGGTGAACCTGTACCATTGGTCTCCCCACATGTGGCCAGTCTGCCCAAACCCCATTCTCACTCTGTCTGAGTACTTGGGCGTATCTTACTGAGAAGCCACTGAACATTGGATGCAGTACACCATCCCGTAATGAAATACACGATAAGATTGCATGGAAGGGAAACGCCGTGCTTGGAGATAATAAATGGGAGTGGCAGAGATTTCTCTGCTGTCCATACATAGGCTGTATTAAAGACTTGGCAGCTGCAATGGAGATGTTCTGATGCAAAAAGTTAACATAGAAAGAAATTATGACTCAGAGGCCAGAGCTGGTGGTGCGGGCGTCGTAGCAATCCCAACTCTCTTGAGAGAAGACCGGGAGCACGGCTTGTAAGAAGGCCCCATCAGCAGTCCAGGAGGGAAGGGACCAGTGTCAGTGAGGAGCTGTGTGAGTGTTGGAGAATGGCCAAGTCATGCATATTCAGTACATTAAAAAGGGACAGATCTGGAAGCTGGAATCCCGGAGGGTTTGCTTTTCAGTAGGAAAAAAACAAACAAACAAAACTGTCCTGATGAACTAGTAGCAAGTGTGATTCCATGAAGGGTGGCAGCTGCATTCCAAAAGGAAGGCCATCTTTTTCCCTGAGAAGTCTGGCCGATGGAAGGAGACATAGGTATTGGTTATCTGGAGCCTTCCCACGTCTCTGTTTCTGCCCTCTCCTGACGTATTTTGCAAAGGTGCAACTTCATTGGCCAAGGAGCTCTCTAGAGATTGCGTCCCCTGGAAAGTCTGAGTCGGCCAGGGAAGGTTTCACGAGTGGTAGGACTCCACTGCCTTTGCACCCAGACTGCTGTGACATTATGATGGGTGCCCCCCCAGGATGGACCGGGGAGCAGGGCCAGGACTGGCTAGCTTGCTAACAGGGCAGACCTTGGGAGCCCGTGGAGCTGCTGTCTCGCTGAGCTCTGGCTCTGCAGTCAGAACGGCTGGCGTTGAATCCGGGCTCTGCCGTTCGTTAGCAGTCGGACCTTGAGCCGAGTCATTAACCTGCTCTTGGTCTTCTCATTTGTCGGTGAGATAGTGCTTGTAAAACCTTGCTCGCCCAAGTGTGGTCTGTGGATCAGCAGCGGGGGGTGTTTTTCTGGGAGCTGATTAGACAGGCAGAATCTCAGGTGCTGCTCCAGACTTCCCGAGCCGGAGTCTGCATCGTGACCTACGTTGTGCCGGGTTACTTGTAGGTGCAATACCGTTTGAGAAGCACTGGTGCGAAGGAGCTGCTTTCTGTGCATTTCAGCCCTTCTTTCCTTCCTCCCCGCCTCTGCTGTCCCTGCTGCCTCTTCCCCTCCTTGCTCCTCTTCCTTCTCATTATTACGCTGTTTTAAAGGGGAAAGAATTTATTGGGATGGTTTGACCTGGAGAAGAGAAAGCAGGTCGATGAGTCATTTACAAGAGTCTCGAGGTGTAGGATGGGCCCTGACATACTTACTCTTAACTTCTATTCATTGGAAGTCATAAAGAGATGTAGATTGTTTACAGGTGCATGTTAAAGAACAGCTTTTTTTGTTTTGTTTTTGGTTTTTTTTTTTTGCTTTTTTAAAAGATTTTGTTTATTTATTTGAGAGGGACGGAGAAAGAGAGAATGCACACAGGCAGGGGGGGCAGAGGGAGAGGCAGGCTCCCCACTGAGCAGAGAGCCCGACGCAGGGCTCGATCCCAGGACCCTGAGATCATGACCTGAGCCGAAGGCAGAGGCTTAACCCACTGAGCCACCCAGGCGCCCCAGTCATCCTTTAAATGGAATAATCCCTCATTCACTCACTCACTGGTTTATTCGTGTCACTCTCTTTTATACATCTGTGGGACACATTCATTGACCTCACTCTGTGGTTTCGAATCACATGTAATTCCAGAAATCTTTACTGAGGACGTGTGATGTTCTAGGTACACCGAGGGAGACAGAGTTTTTAAAGATGAAGAGCGGTAATATATACTGAAAAGTGATACCCTAATACGACTTATTATCACCTCTGTGCTTCTGAGGCGGTAACTCACAGTGGAGTATCAATTTGGGGAATGTTGGAGCTGGATGGGGCCGAGTTCCCTTTTTGAGGAGCCGCCTGTTCCCTACATGTGACATCTGAACCTAACAGGGCCCCTCCGTGTCCGTTCTGGGCCAGGAGACTGGAAGTGAGGAGGTATCACTTTGTCTTTTTACCCACTGAGATCATCTGTGAGCTTCTCAACCTGCTGCCTTTTAAAGCTCCTTTGATGCCAGCCCCTCCCTGCATGCTTGGCAGTTGGGGACACACGCTGTGTTGTAAGCATGACGTTCATAATGAGGTTTCTGCCACTGTGGCCCAGATACTGGCAGAGGCTCTATCTGTGCTCTTCTAACCTTTACATCTAATAAATATTAACGCCCCGTGTGCGTTCCCGCTTCCCTCTGTACCTGCCGTGTGAGTTCATTCTTTACAAGGGTTATTGCTTACCAACATTTGCACATTTACAACGAGTATGAAGTCCACGTCTTTGCCTATCTGGCACTTAGCACAGCCTCCGGCTCGTGACAGACCCTTTGGATGTGTTTGCTGTGGCATCAGTGGGCCCTGGTGGCAGTACCTTTCCTGGGGTTGAGCCCAGCCGTTCCCGTTCTTGTTGGGATTCACTTGTCATTTTCCTTTCGAACTTACCACAGTCCTAACTAAGCCTTCGACTGTCAACCTTGTTTTTAATCCCCTGATTATGTTAATTTCACGTCGCCTAGGTAGTCAGTCTAGGTGCGAAACACCTGGTGGCTTCTATCCCACCGTCTGTTACCTGAGGTGTGATGGCTTTGGGATTTCTGGCTTTGGAGGCAGGCAGCCTAGATCACATTTCCACGCCTCTCCTTCCCTTCTCTGTTACTTTGGCAAGCAGCTAATCCCCTCAGCCCCTGCTGCCTTATGTGTAAAGTGATTTTAATAACTGGTTTTGCCACGCCGGGCTGTGGGGAGAGCGCCCCAAGCTCTTCCACATGGAGAGGGTGGTACGGTGTCTGGTCCCTAGGAAACACTCCGTGAATGACGGTTCCTCTTGGGTTTTACCACCGTGGTTACGGGGTAGCCATAGCCCCGCAAGCAGTGGAGAAGTCCGTCAAGCTGGCACGTGCCGGGCTCCCATGGCCATTCCCCGCCACCCTGGGTGGCAGCATCAGCGAGCCTGAGTGCTGGGGCGGGGGGTGTGTGTGTGTCTTGAACCTATATATTCAACCTCCGTGCGTAGTGAATCACTCAGTACTTCTTTCTTGCCTCTTGGAGGCCTGGGAGGGTTTCCTTTTTCATCCTCTGCAGTGTTGTAGGAACCGACCTCCCCAGCAGAGGGTTGAAGAATTATATTACCTTTTGGGGACATCTCAACAGATGGCAAAACAAGTTCCCCATCCCTCCCCCTTGGACAACCACATTCAGTCTGCCTCTGGATGTAATTTGCTCAACACTTAACCCGGCCGTGGGGAGGAGGTCATCACTGCTTCCATCCATGGGTCCCCCCCCAGCAGTCTCTGCAGGGACGCGTCTTGGCCTCAGAAAGGAGCCTGTGTCCCCTGGGCAGTAAGGGGATGCGGTGCTCCCCGGGCTTCCTGTTTCCCACACGCCTCGGGTGGTGGGTGGAGGGGTGCCCCGCTTCTCCTGGGCGTGTCATCTCTTCGCATCTGTCGCATCCTGACACCAGGGACCTGCCGGGAATGCCGTTCGGGATCCAGGGTGGGACATCGGCAGGTGTGGGTGGAGGGAGAGGTCTCTCGGCCACATTTCTCATCAGCTCTTCTTTGTCCTCTCCTCCCTGACTCAGGTGTACGTGTCTTACGACTACGGGAAATCGTTCAAGAGAATTTCCGAGAAACTGAGCTTCGGTGTGGGAAACAGCAGTGAGGCGGTGATCGCCCAGTTCTACCACAGCCCCGCGGACAACAAGCGCGTAAGGGGGCGCCGTCCCGCCGGTCGGAACTTCATGGGGCTGAATTGGGGGATGACCGCCGTGCTCAGGGTGCGGGGCGGGGCTGGGAGAAGGAGCTCCTTGTCGTCATCTCGTGTGTGATCAGGCAGGCCGGGTGCTGGCAGGATTTCTGGACAAGCAGTGTCAGGCTAACGCGAAGAAAGAAAATCTGCCAACCGATGAGCTGCCCGTCTCATGGACGGCAAAAGTGTTACGTGGGTTTTCCGGACTTTCACCACCCGTGTGCTGCACGTCTTCCAGGGTGCTTGCTGAATGCTTGGTTTTGGGGCATCACCAGCGCGTGTGTGGGTGTTCACGCCTGAGCACGTCCCCCTCCCTCCAACCTGTACCGGTCTAGGAACGAACACTGAGGCAAGGGGGCAGATACTGCTGTGTCTGCGTTTGTTTTCCCAGCTGGCTGGCCTGGGGCTCTGTTTCCGCCGTAGAACCCGGGCAGTTGGTTGTGGAGGAGGCAATGATTTGAGATGGCCCTGGGTCCCCCAGAGAGATGGAGGGGAGGCGGAGGCGAGAGGGCAGGAATGATGCAGCCTGCGAGGTTAGGTCTCTGTGGCTTGGGCAGTTGTTACTTGACCGCTTTCTTCCCTGCTCTGGGGAGCCCTCGCTCGTGTCCAGAGGCAGGATGACTGCTGCTAAGGATGATCAGAAAGCTTCGAGGGAAGGGAAGCTGCTCTTTGCTCATCCAGAAAGGAGCAAGACCCTCAGGGTCTTCTGGCCAGGTGCCCCCCACCACTGGCTTCTCAGGTTGCCTGTATTCAAAATCTTTAGCCGCTGGAATGGCACCGGACGATTGGAACAGAGCCCGTCCACAGGGAGCTGGGTCCTGAAGGCCACCCTGCCTGGCCGGACATTAACCTTTTAGTTGCTGGATGGTGGACAGGCCCTGGGTGCTTAGGAGGGGCCTCTCTTGGGTTTCAAGGAAGCAGCTATTTACTAACGGGTATAGAAACAATTTTTTTTTTTTTTAATTAGAATAACTACTACTGGTACGTGCTGGTTAATATTAGCCCTGCCTGATGATCTCAAAGCAGAGCAGCAGTTAGGAACAGCTCCCCGCCCTCACTCCCCTAACTCACTCCACAATGAAAAGCAAGGAAGAGGTGTTGGAGGGATTTGGCTCTGGGGACAAGATTGCCAGCCATCTGCACTGGCTTCTCCCGCCACGTTTGGTCAGGCAGGACTGGGACCGCGCGCTCCCAGAGCTAGGTGGACCCTGCTGCCCGGTTTGCTCTTGGCTTCCAAGAGGTGAGGCTCCCTGCCCCAGGGTCCGGGTTGCTGGCTGTGCCCCATCTCCCCTGGAGAGCTCTGTATGCCTCCTGCCTTTCAAGCAGCAGATAACCCTCGGATGACTCACCTGGCCAGGATGTACCTGTTGGCTATTATTATCCTTCTCTTTACACGCTGTCCCAGAGCTAACTCTTACTGCAGTTGTGGCCTTGGGACCACTCTGTGGTCCCCTTGGAATCTTCTTTTTCATCTCCCTCTGATCCCCCCCTTCACCTCCTACCACAAGGGCACAGATGTCTGCAAGCAGGTTCTGACTTCCTTCCTGCTTGTCATGGGTTGTGAGCAGCTGCTGGGCCCACATCCACATCTGAGTAGTCAGAAGACAGGAAAGACGATGTTCTGGGCTTGCAGAGCGGGTTTGTGCAGGGTGGAGAGGGGCTTTTGGAGCATTAGGTGTGGAGAAGGAGCAAGGGCACTGGGGCACGCAAGAAGAGAACACCAGGGGTGGTTGTCAAGGAGTTTGGGGTACGGGAAGGCAAGGGCATGCCTTCAGCCTGGGCCCTCCCAATGTGGGAGGTGGGGCGTCTTGGCCTTCTCATTGGAGAGATGGACCTACTTTGGAGCCCGTGGGGAGATGAAAGAGGAGCCGCCTTCTTGGAAAACCTAGCGACAGGTGGGGCACAGGCCTGGAGCAGACTGAGTGGGGTTAGAGAGGCAGCCTTCTCTGCTGAGTTTCGAGTTCTCTAAAGAAAGTCGTTACTCCTCCCCAACTTCTCAGGAAGGAAGCTGTGACTCTCACTGTGCCGGTTACTTCTGTTACTTTTGCCTTGGAAGGTGCATTGCCTCACGAGACCTGCCACTTCCTGAGAAAAATCACACAGGCTAGGTGCCTCGCTGTTGACACCACCAGGCCCGCTGGGCCCGGGCACATCCCCTGTGTGAGGACCTGAGGGTATGGTCAGGGAGCAGGGTTTGAAATGGTTGAAATGACTGTGGTCAGCGGCCCGGATAGGCGAGGATGTCACCTGAGGGCCCCGTGGAACCCTGAGAGGGTATGCCTGTGGAAGGGGAAGGGAAGGGCTGGTTAGGCAAGCAAGCTCTGCTCTAGTGGTTTTGCTTTGTGATGGAAATGGAGTGGCTGTGGGGTCATGTGAGGGTTTGGGTCTATTTTTGCACCTGCCAGCAGCCCCACTTCCTTCTTCTCAGCCTTGCGTGCCACCTCCCTGAAGCAGTGCGTAGCCTGGGCCGCCTGGCAGTGCTGCTGGCCCCATGGCGCGCCTGAGGTCAGCCAAGCAGTACGTCTGGGGCTCCTTCCAGAAAGCCCCAGAGTGTGCAGCTAGGCTTCCCAACCTTGAGAGGTAGTCCTCTCTGTCTTTCCCTTCGTTTTCATCTCCTGGAGATACATTCCTTCATTGCCTCCTCTTCCCATGTCATCATGCTCCTGGTTCCCCCACTGAGACCTGGAGAGAACCACTTATATGAACATGGAGATGTGTTCTGTAGCTTATGTTATGCTTCTAGAGGTATTTGTGTTTTCAGAGGAAACATCATTTTAAGCCCAAAGCTGAACATTGCGTGATTGCAAACAGGGCGGGAGAGGTGGGTGTATCTGAGAGCATTTCTGACCTCACACAGTCTAGGAAGCACCCAGTAGGTTGGCTCTGCTGGCACATCTTGGGGGCTGGCCTCAGGGAGACTGGACGGAAGGCAGTCTGGGGACCTCAAGGCAGAGTGGGACACACTGTCCCTCCCGTCCCGTGCTCATGTGGCACAGTTAACATCACAGCATGCCTCCATGATGGTGGGAAGTCATGGCGGCGGGGGAGGGGGCGGCTGGTGGTGGCTGGGGATTGAGTGAGGTCAGGTCAGAGGAGTAAAGGCTTCACGGGGTACTTGGGATTGGAAATGGAGCTTCAAGGACGGGTGTGATTCCAGTAGCTGAACAGAGTTGGTGGGAGTCCTTGACGGGGAGGAGGCCATGGGCAATGTCAAGGTGCCGGTGGCTTCTGTACAGGCAGGAGGGAGACTCACTTCTCAGGCTTTGAGGGTTGGCCCTGGGGCTCTTTGAGATACGAGGCAGGCCCCCAGCTGAAGATGGAGGAGTTTGCTTTTATCCTCGAAGACGGTGGGAAGCCATGGAAGGATCTTTGAATAGGGGACTCATTGTACATAGAGTCTTTTAGGGAAACGTGTGTCCTGGCAAGAGGCAGGATGGATCAGAAAGGGGAAAGATAAGAGAGGGGTCAGGAAGTCATGAAGGGGTCATGGTAATATAGACATGATGCTTCCCGGTTCTTCAGCCAAAGTTCCTATCACCCTCTTGAGCAGTTCACACCCTGCCAGTTCACACCCTGGGATGGCACAAGGGGGCCTAAAAAGCCCAGCGCCTGGCCCCAGTTTGCTCATGGGCTCTAGCAGGGAATTCCCAACATGGGTAGCACTGGGGATGCAGAGGAGAGCAGAGATATGAAGAGGAAAACATAACTGGGTGGGTAGGTGATGGGGCATAGGGCCGAGGCCAGGCAATGGAGTGAAATCCCAGCTCTCATCATGAGGACTCAGGCCGGAAGCAGGTGTAGCGTGTGGAGAGCTTGGGGGCATGGTGGGATGGCATCAGAGGTCTCCGTTGTGGATGTAGTGAGTCTCTTCAGTGCATCAGAGGGGAGATGCTGAGGAGGGTCAGGTCCAAAGTCAGGATCAGACTGTAGATTAAAAGTCCCAACATGCCTGATCTCTGCGGTGGTAGTTGAAGCTGCATGGGGCCTGTGGACAATGGAGCAGGTTTGCAGCAGAGGATGGAAGAGCGGTGAGGTTATGCGAGGTGGGGAAGAAGGAGCCAGAGGAGAGTCAAGGACGGGCCCATCAGGTGCGGGGCTCGGAGGCTTGGCATGGGATGGCGTTGCCCAAGGCCAGGGAAGGGAGCTCCCTCTACAAGCCCGGGGAGCTGACTGAGAGAGGGAGGCACGTGGATGAGCCCTGGGGCACAGGGTGACACCTAGGCATGAAATTCCGCAAGTTCTGCCTCTTTGTTGGAGGAGAGAAGAAAAGATTGGGTGAGCGGTGAAGGGATGTGCTCCAAACTGGCCAGACACGGCTGTAGATGCTGCTTCCTGGCTCACCTCGGCCGGTTAACCTCTCTGCACTCCAGCGTCCTGGTTAGTGAAGGAGGATAAGATTGTACCCAAAGGAGGGCCTGGCTGTGAGTATCAGAAGGATGGAATGAGCCTAGGAGGAGCGTGAGCTGAGGCTGGCACAGCCTGTCTGCTCAGTGCCCAGCACACAGTACGTGCTCATGACACATTCCCTTTTCTGATAAACTCTGTGCCCAACGTCGGGCTCGAACTCGCAACCCTAAGATCAAGAGTCGCAGGCTCCACCGCCTGAGCCAGCCAGGCACCCCTGTTCTGGACACATTGAGCTGTCATCGTGAATGACAGATAATTCTTTTGCTATCCAGCTTCATGATTTTTATATCTTCAAATGTGAAACCCCTGGAAACGGTGGAATAGGTTTCTGGAGAAATCTTTCTAAACTGAGAGCACTCCGTTCCCTAGTGACAGAGATGGTTTCGGAGCAGGAAAAGGGGCTCCGGCATTTCTAGGGAACGCCTCTTATGCCAGGAATGATGATGGTCCTTTAAGGATCATGATTGTTTTTACAACATTGCATTTGCTTGTGGTCGTTTATGCTTTCAAAACATTCGCTCGCCTTTACGGTTGGATTTAATGAGGCTCCGACGGAGTTTGGAGTTCGGCGTTAGAGACCGTGGAAGGAACACGAGAGAAAGAACACGTAGAATGCGCTCCTGGGAGTCGGGGAGGGAAAAGCCAAGGGCGGAGGAGCGAGAACGTGAACACAGCATGCAGGCCGGCAGGAGTATTAGGACATGCCTTCGCTGCTCGTGCCAAAAGGATTCTGAGCAGAAGATTGATCTGGGTCAGCTGCAGTCAGTGAGGGGAAGTGTGCTGGGACGGGTTCCTTTGGATTGTCGACTTCTGGAATTTCAGGGACTGGTGGGTGCTGGGAGCTGGGTCCCCCTTGCACTGGCCACGGTGAGCCACTGAGCTGCCCTCGCCCTTCCAGGAGCAGGGGCTGCCCTTCCCACCTCTCTTGTGCGTTCCAGGCCTGCCGCCCTCTGTGCTCTGTAGATATTTCCCGCAGGCCCTCCTGTCCGTCCTCAAGTCCGTGCTCTTCCTTTGTCCCCTGTGTTCCCGAACTCATACTGCCCTCGACTCGGATAGTCTATCCCTCTGGAAGTCTTGCCTGCCCTCCAAGGGCCAGATCTTCCCTGAGTCCCTTCTGAGTCCCAAACTGGGACTCCTCTGGACCGTGCGCTCTCACGGGACTCTGTCTGTGGTTCCCCGCAGAATCTCATTTCCCCCTGAGTTACAAGTCACCCACGGTCACGTCTGTCTTCTCGCATGCGAGACTGCAAGGATTCTGGGTTTTCACTGTGGCGTCCGCAGCATCCAGTCCACGGGGGATAGCCCACGTACGTTTGTGAAGTTGAATTGCCGTGGTCCTTACTCCTGGAGGACCCTCTAGGCTGGCAGTCACTGTGCGGTCCTACTTGTTCAGAGCTGCTCACCTGGGCAGGGCTAAGTCAGGTGAAGGCCCTGCTCACCAGAGCTTTTCCTGCCATGCCCCCAAGTGAGGCGGCCGGTCCCTCCTGCAGCTTGGTCCTTGGAGCTGTCCTGTCCCCTGGCCTGGTGGCCAGAAGAAGGAGCTAATCCTCCTAATCCATCTAGGAGTCCATCCACATCCTAATCCATCCACACACTAATCCATCTAGGGTGTGATTATAGGGACTTCCGTAGCTGCTCAGAGAATGGAGGGAGAGAAGCAGGGTTATCTGTGTGCAGCCACTCTGAAGAGCAGGCCTTCTGGGTCCCCGCTGCCCTCTGATGGTGCCTCAGTGACCTGCCAGAGGGTGGGAATGGCCAGGTCAGTTCAAGGAAAAAATAGGCTTGACTAGCTTGCTGAGCTGGTGGCAGGGGAGCCTCTCCTGCACCCTTTCCTTCCCTGAGCCTTGCTTGGTGTGTGCCAGCATCTCCTCCCGGCCAGCAGATGGGGAGGAGGCCAAGTGGGGGCCCATGCAGGCCCCCGACCCTGCATACACCGCTGGGGACAGGGTGTCGGGCGGCCCTGGCAGAGCCCCGCTCTGAGCTCGCCTTTTTTCTCTTGCAGTACATCTTTGCAGATGCTTACGCCCAGTACCTCTGGATCACGTTTGACTTCTGCAATACTATCCAAGGCTTTTCCATCCCGTTCCGGGCAGCCGATCTCCTCCTGCACAGCAAGGCCTCCAACCTTCTCCTGGGCTTTGACAGGTCTCACCCCAACAAGCAGGTAAGAGAGCTCTGGAACCCTCCTTCTCTGGTTTTCTGTTCCTGCCCCTGTGGGTTGTGTGTCCTCTGGGTGAACTCCCCCCCACCCTCCCCCTTCCTCTGCCAAGCTAACCTTTGCGCTACTTGACTTCCCATGCCTGAGGGAAGTGTCTCTCCCTGGCCCTCTCTGTCTGCCTCCCAGCTCCCTGGGGGCAATGCCCGGTGCTCTGCAGGCCCTCGTAGCCAAACATCATACCCTTCTCGGTATCGACGCACCTTTGTGGGTGTGGGGCAACCTCGAAGCTCTGGAAATTAATCCGCGAGGGCCAGCTAAGGAAGCCTAGAGTCTGGGCTCTGCTGGGACCTCTTCTTGAATTTCTGTTCTACCTTTCCCATCCCCCACCTTAAACTCACTGCTTTTGTACCATTTATTTGAAATTACCATTAACTTTAATTTTGTCCCTACGTGTGTGTGTGTGTGTGTGTGTGTGTGTGTGCCTGTAATACACATATGTGTATTTTTCTCCTTTAATTTGGATTCAAAGGAGAGTGAGATGGGGAGAAAGCCCAAGTAGGGTTTTTATCTCAAGGTTGAAACTTGCCGAATCGGGGCTATTGGTCTGGTATAATCCCATGAAACCGGAAGACCCTGTAGGATTGGATTCATGATGAGTTTTGAAGGCTTGGGTCTGAGGAACCTTGGAACATTTATTTTTCTTCGCAAGTTGTTTAACCAAAACATGATCTGTTTACCTTCCCTTGCCTTAGGGAGTAACCTAAGTACGGGCTGGATCAGTTTACTGTGTAGGTGGATTAACGTTATTTTTAGTCTTCTGCTTCTTCTATGTGGCCGCTAGGGCCGGAGGAGCGCTCAGGTGCCGTCTTTGGGAGTTCAGGGGCTTTGGCCAAACCAGCAAGTTCATCACTCTCGGCGTGTCATTTGTACTCAAGTGGTTCCCCTTGGTGCTCTTTGCCTCTGCACTTAGCCAGGGTCCCCTCTGTTCACCTTTAAACACTGTGGGCCATTACGAGTTTTTAAGGAAAAGCAGGAAAGTACAGAGTGTAATCCTTTTGTTTTTACTACCCCTGATGGCTGGTGTCGAGTAAACTGTAATTTCAGATGATCCGTAAATGGAAGACAGTCCCCACTCATTTTTCCTTACAGCTATTCTTAAGGCCTTAGTAACTGCAGAGAGGAACAGGAAGGTACAGCTCTTGCCTCCCCCCAACTCGCCACTCTTGTTCGGATTTGGAGTAACCAAGCTGGCCTTGCTGATCTCCCAGCCGGCCTTCCCAGACTGTGTGTTACTTATGGTGGGGCCTGATGGCCATGCCGTTCAGGTTATGCCTGCCTCTTGCTTCTTTTTCTTCTTCTTCTTCTTTTTTTTTTTTTTTTTTTAAAGATTTTATTTATTTATTTGTCAGAGAGAGAGAGAGAGCACAAGCGCGAGCATGCACAAGTGGGGGAATGGCTGGCAGAGAGAGAAGCAGGCTCCCTGTTTAGCAGGGAGCCTGATGTGGGACTCGAACCCAAGACCCAGGATCATGACGTGAGCTAAAGTCAGACAAGGGAGCCACTCAGGCATCCCTGCATCTTGATCCCTTCTTGTCCTTTTGGTCTTTGCAGCTGTGGAAGTCAGACGATTTTGGCCAGACCTGGATCCTGATTCAGGAACACGTGAAGTCCTTTTCTTGGTAAGTCATCCATCTAAGAAGTTTGGATTATGTAATCACCTTTCTCCAGTTCTAGCTCCTTCCTGGAGGACAGACCTGCCCTCACCTGAAATGTGGAGCAGGTGGTTCAGAAAGGCACATTTTAGACCTGGGAATTAGAGCTTCGAGTACAACACACTCACTGCACAGGGCAGTGGGGGATGAGAAAGGAAGGTTATTTGTGAGAGAAGTAATGGAGCTTTTGCATTTTTTAATCCGTCGGGGAACCCAGGGGAGTCTTGGGGCACTTGCGTGGATTAGAATTTCTAAAGACCTTCACTCTTCGAGCATGATAACAGAAGTGGGATTTTTCTCTGTATAACATTTATTCACTTGTTCATTCATAACGTATTTTCTTTGGATGTCTGCTGAATATAAAACATGCTAGATGCTTTAGGGTAGAAGAAGTTGAATAATTTATGGATATAGTTATTAAGGAGACCGTAGCTGACGAGGTAAGAAAAGGCATTTCGTGCACATAACACGCATCCTGGAAGAGCGTAGAAGTCACAGACGTAAGCGGGAGAAGCCAGAGGGGGGAACGTAGTCTTTTCAGACGGGAGGGTCCCAGTCCATGGAGGAGGTTGCTTAGGAGCCAAGACATGTGCAAAGGCTGGAGGTCACAGGAGGGGCCTGCAGGTGTGCGGGGCAGGGATGCCAGACAGAAACAGAGTGGCCAAAGGCAGAGACAGGTCCCTGTGGCGCTTGGGTGGGGGAACAGGGAGTCTAACTTCTGGACAGTGTGTTGGGTGACGTATGGGAAGGGACACTGGTATCCGAAACCACAGTGCTTGGTAAAGGAATCTGAACTGAATTCCAAAAGCAGCGGGGAGCCCCTGTTGGGGTTCTGAGAAGGAGAGAGAAGTCAGTAGGGCTGGCCTTGAAGACGTACGGTTGATGTTAGTCGTCCTTGCTTCTGGCCTTTCACTGTTACAGGATGTAGGTGCTCTTGGACACGTGCAGACGAGCAGGCAGGACAGATACTCAGGAGCAGACCTGCTGGGTCAGTGGGTCACTCGACCCCTTCCCACTCAGCAAACATGATTCCTCCCACATTGACCCTTGACCTTCACTGCTCCCAGTCAGCTCCCCCTGGAACCTTACCCATTTCAGTTTCTCGTTGCTCAGGCCGAGAACTTGGAGTTGTCACTGAATTTCATGTTTGTTTCCTGCTTCGCCTTCTACCTATCAGGAAATCCTGTTGTCTCTACCTTCGGTTAATATCCAGGATCTACTCCTCTTCCATGACTTTACTCCAAGCCACTGCTGTCACTCGTTAGTTGTCCACCTGGTCTTTCCATTACTTCTGTCCTTCTGCAGTTTATTCACAGTACATGGCCAGGTTGATCTTTGTAAAAACAGGTCAGATCATGTTGTTCCTCTCTCTGCTTTGAACGCTTTAATATGCGCCATCACTTTTCTCAGATCAGTGCCAAGCACGTTCCTACCACTGGGCCTTTGCCCTTGCTTTTTTCCCTGCCTAGACTGTTCTTCTTCAAGATACACTTATTGCTTACTCCCTTACCTCATTCAAGTCTGCTCCAATAACACTTTCTAAATGAGGCTTGTCCTAAGGATCCTGTTAAAATTGCAACTACTTCCCTGTCATTTCCTGTGCCGTGATCTGTTCTTTTTTTACATAACCCTTACCACATTCTAATATGGGATTATTAGGCTTATTATTTGTCTTTCTCTCTTTGGTAGAATGAAAGCTCCACCAAAGCAGGGGCTTTGGTCAGTTTTGGAACTGAATAAAGCACTGAAATTATAACTTTGGTAGAGATTGCCAAATCTATGGAGACTGTCAAAATTTGCTCTCATCTCAGTAACATACAACTGTGCTTCTCTCCACAGCCAATGCGTCAGGTAAGACATAGTATCTCAGTATAGTTTTAGTTTGAGTTTTTCTTACTATGAATGAGTTTGAACATCTTTTAACTGCTTAAGCATCATTTTTATTTCTATTTTTATGACACATCTTTTCATACCCTTGACCCTTTTTTTGTTGAATGGTGAGTCTTTTTATTGATTTCCAGGAACTCTTTATATATTTGAGGTTAGGCCTCTGTGACATGAGATATCACATGTGTATATTCATTTGTAATTCTAAGTTTGTCATTTGTGTTTCGAGTTTTCCGTATAGTTTTTAGTGCTCATTAAGTGCAGTAGTACATACTGCCTGTGTTTCTTTTAGCTGTTTGCAGAGGAATGTCTTTGAGTTGGTGTTGCTTCCTTGGTAAATGAGGACAGTAGAGATGGAGCGAGCACAAGGAGGGGTCTTAGAGCTGAGTATCTTGAGGCTCCACTGGATTTCCTTTTCAAAGAGGGCAGCTGTTTCTGATTCTTTTTTTTTTTTCTTTTTTTAACTTGGGCAGAGGTTGTGGTGTCTTAGTGAAATTATGACCACAGTCTTATCCAAGTATAACCTCTACCCAAGGAGTACGTAGAACTTCCTTTTGCTTTATTTGTGTTTTAAGGGGACAAATTGCCCTTTCTTTGTTTATATATCATATATTAAGAGGGTACACAGTCATCCAGCAGGATGACTGAGTAAAGGAACATCACGCTTGGGAATTTGAATGTTGTACCTTTTCCTTCCGTGCACATATGCAGATATCTTAGGGGAAAGGGCTGGCTTTGCTGAATTTAGATAATTATGTGTCTGGTGTCAGGGCATTTCAGGCCATTTGGAGGCTTTTTCCCCTAGGAGTTCCTGTAATAAATGAGAGTGAAATCTAACTTCTCTGAGAATAATGGCATACATTTATTCAATAATGTGTGGCAGCCTCGGGGCAGCAGGAGTCCAGAAAACCAGTGATCTATGGAATCTGGAGCTGGAGATCGGCAAGATGGGACCATGGAAGGGCTGTGGGGGAGGGACTCAAGGATGCCCCGGGGAGCATGCATCACTGAAGGATTGTAGCTGAGGCCAGGTGAGGACTGGGGACTGTGCTTAGAGATGGAGCAAGGCTTGGAATTTTCAAATGAGGGCAAAGAGAAGAGAAAATCATGGAAGGCTATTGACGGCGGAGTAGCAGAGCTTGGAGGTGGAGGGGCTCTCAGAAAGGGCAGACCCACCTAGCGATCACAGAAGAGAATTGGGAGGAAAGTCACAGCTCTTTCTATCTCTAGATACCGGTTTTGTTTAGGAAAGGAAGCGCAGAGGTGAGCTCAGTCTCAAAATTATCTGAGCGAAGGTCCCTTTCTCTCTGCCTTTTTAAAAATACCAGCAGCTTTGTTTTAATTTGCATATCCTCTAGGGTAGAGGAAGTACTTTAATCAGTACTTCTAATTGTGGAAAAGAAGAGAACACGCCACCACCCCCACACATATGCACACGGGGAGTCTGATGACGAGTGCTTCTCTCCTGCACTAGGACCAAGGCCGCTGGCTTCTCTAGTGCCCTGCTAAGACTCCAGATTGTGGGGCCAAAGTCATCTCTTTTGGTTTCCTATTTTGTGTCTCCCCCTTCCTTCTTTCCTCCTTTCCTTCCTCCCCTCTTTTCTCCTTTCCACCCTCCCTCCCTTCCTGTGCTCTTGACAGTGTATCTTTACAGAAATTTTATATCCGAGCCTTCCTTACCCTGAGAGCCATCATGCATATGGCCCTGTGCAAAGACAGGCCCAGAAGCAAATCCTGCCATTCCTTGGGTCATCCCTGTAGCCTCCCTTGGAGGCGCTCCTGATTTTTCCCATGTGCTGAGCGGTACGCCTGGCCTGGTATCTGGTTGAGCATTAGGGAACCTGAGGCAGAGTAGTCCTCCTCCCAGCTGTTGCTGGGGGCCTTATTTGGGGTGGAACCCAGTTCTGAGCCTCTTCTCGAGGGAGTTGGATCAAGTCAACCTTACAGTTTTGCGTTTGGAATAGTCTTTGTACTGTGGTCCACGGATTCAGGGCAGCAAGATTCAGGTCAGCTGGGAGCCCTGTAGGACAAAAAGAAATATAAGACGTGGCCTTTGAAGGGATCTCTGCTCTCTCCGGGAGGCTCAGACACATTATGGTGAACAAAGGAACACAGTGAATCAGAAGCAGCATTGTATGAAGTCTTGAGAGTGATTCCAAAATCCACCTACCCCAAGCAGCTTTCTACCTCTGTTTGAAACTCACATAATGTTGAAATTGAACACTGCGCGGGTACATGGTGGGTATTGGGAGAAGGGAGGAGAGCTTTGGGGGAGGGCTTCCTGGAAGAGGGGCCTTGAATATGACCTCGGAAGAGTAGGATTTTGACATGCAGGTCCCGAGTGCATGCGGGGTGGGTGCTCTGTTGACGGAGCACAGGGAGCGGGGGAGCAGTGAGCTCTGAATTTCTGAAGGGTATCAGGGAGATCAGTACATGTGAGAAAGTTTGCAAAGGAGCCTCACAGAACATGACTGTACTGATAGAATGAGTCCCGATTGCACGGATCAGCAACAGCAGCACAGGACGGACAGACAGAAAGGGCAGGGCCCGTTAACAAGGTCAGGCTCACTGGTTCCTCATGTGGTTTCTTCTAGAGGACTGGGAAAACACGCTCCTTCCTTCTCTGAGCTTTATAGCTTGAGGCCAGAAACTCACCGGCAGCCTCGAGCAGTCCCATGGTTATTGATTCCGAAATACCCCTTCCTTTTACTTTTCCATCTTTTCGCTCATCTCAGGCATTGGCCAAGGCTTGCCTTGAGGGACACCCAGGGCGCTTCAAAGAGAGCAGTAACAACATCAAAACTTGACCAAGGGCGATCCCTTTGCCTTTCCACTGAGCCAAGGAGCAACCACAGGGCTCTGTTTGTGGCTGGGAGCGTATCATTTGTAGATCCCGCCATGGTGTCCCCCCGTTCCAGTTGGCTGTCTGCCTGGCGGAACCGTGGTGTCTCCCGTTGCTTAAACGGGGTGATGATAGCAACTTCTTTCTTTCCTCCAGGGGTATCGATCCCTATGACAAGCCAAACACCATCTACGTGGAACGGCATGAACCCTCTGGCTACTCCACGGTTGTCCGAAGTACGGACTTCTTCCAGTCCCGGGAGAACCAGGAAGTGATCCTGGAGGAAGTGAAGGACTTTCAGCTTCGGGACAAGTACATGTTTGCTACAAAGGTGGTGGTAAGTTGAAGGCGCTGAGGAATGTGGAAACTCCTTTCCCCGAGTTTCCTTTCCAAGGTTTGGCGTTCTGTGATCGAGCCAGTGAGCGTGTGTGTGCAGGGATGGGATCAGGGTGCCCCGTGGAGCTTGACTGAGGGGCACTGGACAGAGATGGACAATCCCTTGGGGCTTGGATGGTCCCAGGAGGTCAGCGGTGTGGAGAAGCTCAGACAGCCATTCGGGATGTCTCTGGGCTCTCGGAACGTGGATGTTTCCTGGTAGCCGAGCATCCTCGTCAAACACGTGTTTCTTTGAAATCCCAATTAAAAGAGCAAGGAAAGGAGAGGTAGGGCTCCGTGGCAATTTGCTTTAATCTCACCGCCCGATTTCCTTTCAGATTAGGCCAATGTCTTTGGGAATTTTGGACACATGTAAATTTCCATGGCTAATAGAATGTGTAGTCATTGGCTAGTGGGAGTTAATGCTCTAAGAAAAGCAGTGATTAAGCTTCCAGCTGTCAGTAAGTAGCTTAACTCTCAGCCTTTGGGAAAGTCTTCCCCTTGATTTGATGTTTTGGATGGAGCCAGATGTTGGAACGGGGTTGGGGGAGGGGTTTGCTCATTTAAAACTAGACTTGATTGTTTAACAGGGCTTGCCTTGCAACTGTCTTCAAGTTGCAAGTGATGGCTGTACTGCCCTGTGTAAAGGGAAAAACCATCCCGAAGAGAGTAAGTTGGGCCACTTTCTTGGGGTGCCATAGCTTATTTTCTTGATCGGGGCCATTCCCTCCTTGATCTCAGGCTCTGAAGATGGCCTCTGGTAACTGGCAGGTACTTTGCTTTCCATCACCATTAACCTTAGGGACCAAAGTCAGGTGTAATGTTTTCCTCCAGATTCTCACTTAAAATATATGATGGGTAGTTGGTCAGGCAGAAGCAGGCCACTCCCTTTGGTAGGATTCTAGGGTAGAGAGAGGACCTCCCCAGAGAGGACAGCAGAGAGTAAGGTTGAGATGAGAAGAGAAGAAGATGTGGGTGGGTTCCCTATTACATACTTTGCAAAATGTTTTTTAAAGCCACTGTAATTATGGAAGTTTTTTTTCTGTCAGGCTATTTGCGTTAGTTCTCTTGCTGGATCATTCCTTTCTTGCCTTGCCTATCACTTTCTCTCTTTCTCTTACACACACACACACACACACACACACACGGATGCGTGCGCACATGCACACACAGCGGCCAGAAACCCATGCAGAAGCTTTCAATAATAGTTCTTTTCTCATAGGATCATTGTAGATTGGATGGGTTGGTGAGGGAAGAGACCCAACTAGCAGTGCATGGTAAAATGAGTGCTTTCCCCCCTTTTATTTTCTTCCTTTTTATTACATTAGACTGCTGAGCCATAAGGATAAACAACATTGGCCTTGGTTGGATAACCCTATCCGTGGGAGTGTCGTGAGGTTTTTGCAAGTGTAACTTCTTATCTGGGGCGTGCTTAGCACTCAGGCTGCCTGAGTTTGGGGAATTCCAAGTGACCTTTATTAAACAGATTCAAACCAAATTAGGAAAGTCAAGGAACTAATTGCAGAACCACAGAAAATTGGTTTTGGGTGATTAACTTTTTTGTTTTTTTTCCAGTACTGTGAATGATTACAGTGCTTTGCAAGTTAGCTTTTTAGAACACGTGGGGACAGCCATCTGGATTCTGGACTGGAGCCGGTGTCAGACTCTCCAGGATCCCCCGGTGCCCTGTTAGCCTGGCTCTTATTTCATATGTGCTTTGTGTCTGAGGCCCCTTTGATTTTTTTTTTTTTTAAGATTTTACTTAATTATTAGAGAGAGAGAGAGAGAGAGAGAGAGAAAATCTCAAGCATAATCCGTGCGGAGTAGAGTGCCCAATTTGGGACTTAACTGTAAGAGTCTGAGATGACCCCAGTGGAAATCAGGAGTCGGTTGTTCAACCGACTGAACTGCTTGGGTGCCCCTACTCCCCCTTTGAGATATATATATATCTATATCTATATCTATATCTATATAGATATAGATATAGATATATTTTAACCCAAGTTTGATTTTTATTCCTTGTTTTTTGACATGAAGTTCACTTACTTGTCTTAATAGTCTACATGAGAATGATAGGCCATTAAGGCAGCAATGAGGCACTTCTGCAGACTGGACCAACATTGATTCCTTAACTTGGCAATAGAGAGCTGTTAGGGTCTTTCTGGTGGATAGCAGTAGTTGCCCGAATGTTGGAGAGAAGTGAGTCTGTAGCTTCACCATCAGCTTATCATGAAAGCCAGGTCCACACCTTTCTTGCACAAATGTATATCAGTAAGCAAAGACCCAATGTTGGGCTTGATGGCATCTCCTCTCTTGTTCTAGGTGATCCAGACACAATGTTCTGGAGCAGAGATTGGCAAACTATGGCCCTTCACTTGTTTTTGTCAATAAAGTTTTATTGAAATAGCTATGCTCATTTGCTTACATGTTGTCCATCACTGCTTTCATGTCACAGTGGCAGAATTGAATAGTTGCACGGAGGCAGGATGGCTCACAAACTCTAAAATATTTCTGTATGGATCTTTACAGACAACCAACCCTGCTGTAGAGGCAAGATGCTGTTACCCTTTGAGTTGGCATCAGGCAACCAGAATCCTCTCGTGTAAAAGCTTGATAAGTCATGGGCATTACCCCTAAGAGTTCACGTTACAGGCCTCCTTAAATTGTTATGTGCTGTTCATGCCCGAGTATTATCTTTAGGATATAGTGGCCACTTCAAATATCTTGCATGCCACTGATCTCCCGAGGGGGCTCATTTGTACTTTTGCTATTCTGACCAACCAACCACTATTGAAAACCAACTTCTTTTTTTTTTTTCAAGATTTTATTTATTTATTTGATAGACGGAGATCACAAGTAGGCAGAAAAGCAGGCAGAGAGAGAGGGGGAAGCAGGCTCCCTGCTAAGCAGAGAGCCCGATGTGGGGCCCCATCCCAGGACCCTGGAATCATGACCTGAGCCGAAGGCAGAGGCTTTAACCCACTGAGCCACCCAGGCTTCCCTGAAAACCAATTTCTAATCTTCATTATGCTCTTTTAAGGTCTCTAATGTTGGTAGAGATAACAAGAAAATTTAGTAATCATTGCAGGATTATGGGCTTCTCTATGAAACGTTAGTTGACCACAGTTGGAGCCTGATTTTTTAGGATAGCTGGCCAAAACCAAGCTATTGACAAATTTTTTTTTCTTTTAAAGATTTTGTTTGTTTGTTTGTTTATTTATTTATTTATTTCTCAGAGAGAGAGAGAGAGAGAGAGAGAGAGTGCGCAAATGCAGGCAAAGGCAGAGAAAGAAGCAGGCTCCCTGCTGAGCAAGGAACCCGATGCGGGACTCGATCCCAAGACCCTGGGATCATGACCTGAGCTGAAGGCAGTGGCCAAACTGACTGAGCTACCCAGGTGTCCCAACAAATTTTTTTAATCATAACATTACTTAAATGTATGTAAACATAAAGCTAGGTATAAATAGATGCTTAATGCATATAATTTATATGCAACAATAAAATCCAAACACATTATAAATAACAATAAATATAAAACCCCAATAAATTATAAATAAAACTATAATACCAATACATTTAATATAAATTTTTATAACACCTGTATTAAAATATAATTCCTATGCCGTAAAATTCACCCTTTTAAGGTATATAGCTCATTGGTTGTTCGCTTATTCACAAGTTGTTTTTGCTTACCCCTATCTAATTCTAGCCCCCACACCCCCATTCTGTTCCCCTCCCCTCCCAGCTCCTGGCAACCACAAACCTATTTCTGCCTCCTAGAATTGCCTGTTCTGGACATTTTATGTAATGAGTATCTTAAACCATGTGACCTTTTATAACTGTTTTCTTTCCTAGTATAATATTTTCAGATTTCATCTGTGTTTCATCAGAATTAATGTGTCTTCAGGTCCACTGCCTCTCTCTCCTGCCACTTCAAATCTCTTGTTGACCCCCTCTGGTGATTTTTTTCTTGTGACTTATTGTCCTTTCCCACTCAAGATTTTGTATCTGTACAAATTTCTGTTTCTTTATTGATATTCTCTCTTTGGTGAGACTGTGTTCTCATATTTTCCTTTAATTCTCGTGACATGGTTTCTTCTAATTTTTTAAGCATGTTTATGATAGGGGATTTAAATTTTTCATCTGTATGTCCAATATTGGGCCTTCCTCAAAACAGTTTCTATTGACGGTGTGTGTGTGTGAGCTGTGTCTATATAGGGAACATACTTTGCTGTTTGCTTGATCTTATTCTTTTCTTGAAAATCAAACAGTTTCGATGGTATATAATGTGGCAACTGCTCATATCAGAATAGCCCCTTCCCAGAATGGTTTTTGTTGCCTTTTCCTGCTGTTGCCGATGTTTGTTTTGTCTGTGAGTTTCCCGCATTAATTGTGTAGAGTTTGTATTCTTCATTGTGTATGGTATGAAATGTTTGATAATTAGGTTTCGTGCTCAGTTAATGATCAAATAGAGATTTTTCTTAAATGCTTTGAATCAATACATCTGGTAGCCTTTGCTGAGGGCCTCAGAGCGTGGGGGGGGGCCTGCCTTTGGTGCAGCCTACAGCTCTGCCTTAGCCTTCGGTTCCTGCTTCCACAGACCCAGCCGTGAGCCATTAGGCCCTTCTCGCTTCTCTCCTGAGTGTACTCACAGTTCTTGCGTGTGTGACCTTATAGAGTTCCCAGAACATTTCACAGCGTATTGAAGCCTCTCAGGAGCATCTACTTCCTCAGCTTTTCCTTTCATGCTTATGAGTGAGCCTTTTGTGAGCTCCCCGCCGTCATGTTGCTCCAGCAGCTGTGATGCGAAACATAGGCCATGTGTCTCTGTTTTTCTGTAAGCAAGCCAGCTATAGGTCTGTTTGAGCAGGGAGCTCCGTGCGGTTATAGGAAGAGAAGACCCGAGAACAGGGTTTTCACGCTGGGTGTGGCAACAGTCTGTCCCCTGCAGGGGCTGCACGGCTGCTGGTTTTCACAGTTCCTGTAGCTGCGAGGCTGTGGGTTTCCAGGGCTACCGCCAGGCCAGAGAGAAGGGGATGGGACTGAGGCCACGAAGTCGGCTGTTCCCGCTGAGCTTTGACACTGTTCTCCACTAAGTGCTCTCTGGGTTTTGGCAAGCCTTTGTTTAATTTTTCGAATTCTGAAAAAGTTGACTTGGAGAATTTTTGTCAGTGGTCCTGTTGCTTTTCGGATGAGTGGATTTTCAGAGTTCCTTTCTCTGTTGTTCTCAACGTAGGACTCTGGGATCACGACCTGAGTGCAGGCAGAGATGTCCAACCTACTGAGCCACCCAGGCGCCCCTATTATGCATGTTTTCAAATCTGTATAAAAGCACAGTTTATACTGATAGGACCACCACAGTTGCCCTCATTCAGCCTCAATATTATTTACATTTGCTAATCTCTTTTCGGCGGGATACCCATGAGTTATTTTTTTCTTGGAATATTTTATTTTGTTTTTTATTATTATTTTTTTAGTAGCCTCCACACCCAGCATGGACCTCAGTGTGAGGCTTGATCTCATGACCCTGAGATCAAGACCTGAACTGAGATCAAGAGTCAGATGCTTAACCGACTGAGCCACCCAGGTGCCCCTTTTTTCGAATATTTTTAAAGCAAATCATAAATATGTGTATATAAAATATATATAAATTGTTATCCATAAATATTTTAGTATGAACAACAGTAATGTGGATGATGATGTCTTGCTGATCCCTTGTCACGGTTTCAGAGGAGAAGGTGGCGGTGAATAGGCAAGCCCCTTCTGGACTGTGTCCTTGTCTGCCACGTGCCTTGGGGTGCCTCACTCTCTGACAGCTGTTCTCCACAAAACGTTCGGTTGAAGAGCTCACTGTGACATCCTGTGGCCTTCACTTGGCAAGAACGTGTCGTTTATTTAGTTCCTCTCTGCTCTTCCCTCCTTGACCTCTCATTTCCTTTGATAGAATCTCAAACATAAATGTAAGGGCACTTTCTGAAATTCACATTATTCAGAAACTTACATCAATTTATTTTTCCTTATTGGAATGAAAGCACCAAATGAAACAAAGATCTTATGCTACATTTTCAGATCCTAGAATCCTGGCATAACCTGAAGCATTGAAATACCTCCTGGATGCCATTGGAAGTATTTATGTGTATTAACTGGGGTGGCCTTTCAGGAAGGCTCTTTCTTCTGCTGAAAGTGAAAATGTTAATGTAGGGGTTTTAAGAACAGCATCCTATAGACACTCTTGTGTAGTTCTGACAAAGGTATATTCACTCAAGAGTGCTTCTGGAAATCATGTCAGAGCCCATGAGCTGTTAAATGAGAGACGCCTAAGAGACTCTGATAATGAAGAAGGTTGAATTGCGTAAGAATATTTCTAGCACAATCTGCATCGTGTGTGGAAAATAAAATTGCATGTATCACATTGACATTGTGTTCAATTACCGGTAACAGAGTAGAAGTGAAAAGTGGCTTAATGAATACAGATACTTATTTTTTTCTCCTCAGTGCTGCCTGGAGGCAGGCAATGTAGGGCTGGTTTGTTGATACCCTGGTGTCATTGGGGGCCCAGGCCTCTCTCTGTTCCACCAACCTGACAATGATTTCCATCCTCACTGTTCCCTCGTGGTCCAGGACATCTGTACTAGCCTTTGGGTCTTTACAGGAGTCAGAAAGAGTAAGGACAGATAGGCCACAGTAGGACCCCTTCCTTATGATTAATTCCCTTTAAGCAGCCTTCCTAGAAACCCAACACACCATTTAGGCTTACAGATCTGGATTAGTTCTCAGTCACATGGCCACATGTAGTTATGCAAAAGGCGGAGGACCCCAGTGCTTTATTTGGGGTGGCAGTCAATATCCTGTTGCTAAGGAGGAAAGAATAATGGATGTTGGGTAAGTGTAGCATTGTCTGTCACTATATAAATATGCCTGGGGTGATGGTACAGAACACTTCTCAAAGACCTCATAAGAGGGGTGCCCAGGTGGCTCAGTGGCTTAAAGCCTCTGCCTTCAGCTCAGGTCATGGTCTCAGGGTCCTGGGATTGGGCCCCACATCAGGCTCTCTGCTCAGCGGGGAGCCTGCTTCACCTTCTCTCTCTGCCTGCTTCTCTGCCTACTTGTGATCTCTCTCTGTCAAAATAAATAAATAAAATTACAAAGAAAAAAAAAAAAAGACCCCAGGAGAGCCTGTTCCCTGTTACTCCCTGGGGAGGAGGGCAGGAGGATCGAGTGGAGGATAGAGAGCTGAGCGCCTGCATTTTACCTTATAGCCGTCCATACTGTTGGGTGTTTGTTTCTCATGAGCATGTTTTACTTTTTTTTTTTTTTTTTAATTTTTATTTATTTAATTGACAGAGACACAGTGAGAAAGGGAACACAGGCGGGGGAGGGGGAGAGGGAGAAGCAGGCTTCCTATTGAGCGGGGAGCCCGATGTGGGTCTCGATCCCAGAACCCTGGGATCATGACCTGAGCCAAAGGCAGACGCTTAACGACTGAGCCACCCAGGCACCCCATGTTTTACTTTTATAATCGTGGTAAAGAGAAACTCAGCAACCACAAGAACCCATGGCTTATTAAGGAAAGTTAGTAGGAGCTTATGATACGTCTGTCTGACAATCCACAGTGTCCCACGGTGTAATTGTTAATGTGTTTCTTGGTGGCAAGAAAGTATTACAGTAGCTCCTTACGGGTGAGCCTCAATTGTCCAGGCTTTGGAACTATTGTCCCAAAGGAAAGTAGGATGCATGTGTTTTGAGCTTTCTATCTTTATTTTTTTTTGGTTTTTTTTTTGTTTTTGTTTTTTTTTGTTTTTTGGTTTGTTTTGAGGTTTCTTACAACCTTTGACTCTGACTTTTGCATCTATGGAGGAAGACTGACCTTGGTATGCATTCTCAATTCTTGTGCCAACCAACAGCATGCATTAAGAATGCTTAACTAATCATGGCCCTGGTGTCACTGAGAAAAGTGGCTCCTTTCTAAGGTTCAACCACAGTGGGAAGTAGTGAACAAGTTTAAGGCATCAAAGTGTGTGTTTCACGGACATCTGTGTATTCATATATGTTTATAGGGATTTATATAGGGTAACTTAACATGGATCCTCCGACCTTTATGAATAGCTTTAAAATTTTATTGACTTAAGGAGGGCTTTTGGGATCTATGCCTGACAGTTTTGCTGGGCACTGCTTTCTCACTCAGGTAATATGTTTTACATTTTTAATTTAAAATTAAATTTTAAATAACTTTTAAGAGATCCATGGCCTCATATTTAAGAGATTTCTCTGGCCTCATATTGAGTACAAGCCGTTAACATGGTTCTCCGTGTGGCATTTTAGAAAGGCAGTCTTTTGTACTTCCCTACCTGGCTTCTTTCAAATAAGCTACTTTTAAGCATTTGTTTGAATATGTGTGTGCGTGTACTTTCACGTTCATCAGCTTGCTCTTTACATAGCGCCTATTGGATATATATATTAGTGCTGGGAATTCAGTTACAGTTAAGAGAAATTGGTATGTTTCTTACTTTATAGGAATTTAAAATCTGTGGTAACAGTAGCAACGTGGTCAAGGATAAATGAAGCCAGATGTGAACCCCTTCTGGCTGGTGATCCCAATATTCTGATCAGCTTAATAGGCCCGTGTGTGATTCTGTCCACATGACGGTGTGTGTCCCTTTCTGTCTGGATAGATGTGCACCGTGTGGCTTCTGTTCTCAGTCCCATACGTTCAGAGCTGGAAAAACCCACATTAAGCCTTTACGGTGGTTCTCACCTTTTTCTGAATCATTGACCCTTTTGAGGATCCAATAAAGATTGTGTCCCTCCCTGGCAGGATGAATGGGTGCATCTATCACACTGTTTGCCTGTGTATTTATAGGGTGCCTGGACCCTGGAAACCCATCGACAGGAATCCCGTGCCTAATCAGCTTCTCAGCTTTATAGATGAAGGCATGAGACCTAGAGAGGCTTAGTGACTTCTCGAGGTGGTACAGCCAGCTCTTAATCTAGTGCTTTTGTACATATTTTCGAGATTCCAGCTGTGCTCCAGTATCTCTCAAACACAATGTGACGGGGCCGACCTCATGGGGCATGCCCTGGGCCCTACCGAAGAGAACATATTCCAGCAAAAACGTTCATCAGGGAGAAGTTATTAAAAGGTTTCAAAAGAGAATCAGTGAAAATTTCCTCACCTCTTTGTGCAAGTTAAAGCCCTTGAATTCGAGTATGCTCCTAACCTGAAAATAGGAGGGAAAGAACAAGGGAATAGGTTTTTATGTGCGCCGTGTGTGGCTGACCTCACCCTGGTTGGGCTTGGGGGCTGCCTGGTTAAGCCTCCACCCCCCTCCCACACTCAGCTTCAGCCGCAGGACCCTTTGCCCTTCGTCCTCATCTGGTGTCGGGGGGTGTCTAGTGCCTGCTGCAGACTAGCAGTCTGGAACTGAGTGAGCGCAGCCCGAGCTGCAGAGCAAATAGCGATGTTGCCAAAGTGTGCATTTGCAGTCACCCCTGTGCTCCCCGTTTTGGGTAGACTTGGAGGGGTCTGACCCTACTCTTTCCTTCTTCACTTATTTGAGTGGCTGTAATGTGGCGCCATTAACTTCTTTTTCCTCCTTTTCCTTAGCAGCATCTCTGGGGCAGTCTGTATCCATCTTCGGTCCAGCTCTGGGTCTCTTGTGGCAGGAAGCCCATGCGACCAGCCCAGTTTGTCACAAGGCATCCTATTAACGTGAGTGGGGTCCACTGTGGGGGTGGAAAGAAGTGTCATTGTGCATATGGAAGGCGTCAGCGGGAGCGTGTCGCAGGGATGTCCTTCTGGGTAGCTCGATCTCTGATAGAGGCTCCCTGAGGTCACTTTTGGAGATCGGCCCCGAGAGAGAACCATTATACTTTGGACATCTTGATCTGTTTCTTTTCCTGTTCACTTTCAAAGGGGTGGGATGGGAGCTTTAATTTGCTTTAGTGGAGGCGGATGGGTGGAGAGGCTTGCGACCAGAGTCAGTGGGCTCAGGGTGTCAGTCTTGAAGGAATGGGGAGCTGGTGACCGTGAGTGGTTTGTTCGGGACGTGCTCTGTTGCTTTACTTTAGGCAGCTCGATTCCAACAGGGGATAAGAGCTGGGTCCCACCCTTTTAGAAACACATAGGCTGGAGACACAGAGAACCAAGCAGAGGAGGAAGCCACACATGGTCCAAGGCCTGGCTGCTGTATGTGTGTGTGGTAACGTAGAGATCGATAGGAAGGATCCTCGTGGGCTGGGGTCATCAGAGAAGTGCCCACAGCCAGGAGGTGGCATTTGAAGGCCTTGCCGCTACCATTCGGTGTGGTGGAAGGTTTGGGAGCTCAGGTGGAGAACATTCTTGTCCATTCTTTGCTTTTTACGGCTTCCACCTTCCTTTAGTACCTTAGAGAGAATGAAAGGAAAGGAAATGCACATGATCACAGGTGACCCGAGTGAGCATGGCGGTCCTGGTGACCTTTAGGGTCACCGCCCGTGTCAGCCACTCCCTGCGTTCCTCCTCCTCAGTTGTCTGGCTCCGTGGTCTCTGAGCCCCTTGGGAAAAGGCACGGGAAAATGTCAGCTCGGGGTGAGCTGGCGTGGGGAGCCCCGAGGGTCTTGCCTCCAAGTGACGGGTTCATTGACTTTTTTTTTCTTATTGTAATTGCAAGTCCTGCTCTGTGCATGTCTGTGGGAAATACCAGTGTTGTCCATCCTTTATCAGTACCTCTGGGCTTGGAGCTGTTTTGTAGTAATGGACGTTTTCCATGGGCTGTCGGGGAGTCCAGGGTTTGGGAGGGATGAACGACCTGTGACCCTGGAGGGCCAGGAGTGCGTTTATTCCCTTGTCCTCTGTGAGGCGTCTGACTGGTGAGCCTCACTGTCTGCCCTTGGAAGGAGCCCTCTGCTGGAGCTGGCCGCTGGGCAGCGAAGTCCAGCTCCAAGGCCATGACCGCCAGGTCACAGGACGTGGCATTGCCGTCCATGGTCTCTCGTCAGGCTGGTGATTTATTCAGTCACCAGCTCTTTCAGCAGGGACAGTGCTGCGCGGGGCCAGCCCTTCTTCCGGGCACAGCACTGAGATAATGTGTCCGGCCATGAAAAGTCAAAACAGGGTCCCCGTTCTGTGGATCTTCTGTTCTCCTCGGGGGGAAGACAGAACATAAACTGGTGTGTAATTTCCCTGGTGGTGGTAGGTGCTGGGAGGCAAAGTGAACCAAATTAAGAGGACAGGGCACTGGGAGCGTGTTACTTCATACTGGCTGGTCGTGCAAGGCTGTTCGAGGTGCCTGAGTTCCGTGAGCGAGGGAGCCGGCAGGTGCCGGGGGCAGGGCACTGCAGGCAGAAGGAACAGCATGCTCAGAGGCTCTGAGGTTGGATTCTGGGGGTTTATTTTAGGAGCAGGGAGGAGACCAGGGTGGATCCAATAGGAGGAGGAGGGAGGGAGAGAATCCAAGAGACAGGCACTGAGAGAGCAGAGCTCAGTTTGTAAAAGGCCTTCGAGGACATGGAAAGCACTTTTTTCCCAAGTGAAATATGGAGGGTTTTGACCAGAAGATGGATATCATCTGATTTAACCTGTTATATTTTTTTAACCATTAAGAAAATTGTGAATTGCATGATATAAGGGGAAGCACCTGAAACATAAAGGGACAGTGTTATCAGTCATCTCAGACGAGCACTCAGGCAATCTGTGTTTTAAAGAAGCCGTCCTCAGTGCTGTGTGTGAAGCAGGCTCCCGGAGAGGAGCCGGGGTGTGGGGGCCGGAAGGCTGGCTGTGGGGGTGAGACGGGGGTGGGACGACAATCCAGCGAGCAGGGATTGCTCTTGGCTGGGCCCAGGGCAGCAGCGGCAGAGATGACGGAATTGGGCAAATTCTGATGGTTTGCTGGTAGATTGGCTGCTTGTCTCTGGAGAGTCAAGGGCCCACGGTTACTTGGGCTGAGCCACTGGCAGAATGATGGCCATGGGCTGAGTCAGGGAGTCGGGGAGGGCTGGGTGCGGAGCTGGTGTTGAGGAAAAGAGCCGGACCATGGGTTTGAACTCACCAGGACCTGAGGGGAGAACTTTCTACCTGGTCTCTGAGCATGCTTTTCCATGCCCTGTTTTGGCTCTTTTGGAGGTATGTCCTATTTTATGCCTAATTTTTTTTTTTTTTTCCCTCCCAGTATAGTCTCACGAGTTATTTATTACTTGGTGCATGTTAATGTGTTGTAAACCATTCCTACCATGATTCAGCGTCAGGTTTTTCTGGTTTGGTCAGTGGCAGCCTGGCCGCTGCCAATGGGCTGGCACTTGGGCTGGCTCCTGCGTTCTTTTCGTGTTTGTTTTGTTTTGTTTTGTTTTTAAAGTAATTTATTGAGGTGAAATTCACAGAACATTAGCTTAACCATTTTAAAGTGAACAACTCAGTGATACTTAGTGCATTCACAGTATTGTACAACCACCAGCTTTAATTCCAAAACATTTTTACTTCCCCGAAAGAAAATCCCTTACTGCTAAGCAGTTTTTAGTGCCCCCCTCACCCCAAACCCAGCCCTTGGCAGCCACTAATCTCCTTTCTGTCTCTGTAGATTTATCTTCTCTGGATATTCTATGTAAACAGAATCACAGCATAATATGTGACCTTTGGGCCTGGCCTCTTGCCCCTTGCGCATATTCAGGGTTTGTCCACATTTTATTATTATTTTTTTAATGGGTGAATAATCTTTTCTTTACTTTTTTTTTTTTTTAAAGATTTTATTTACTTATTTGACAGAGAGAGAAAGATCACAAGGAGGCAGAGAGGCAGGCAGAGAGAGGGGGGGAAGCAGGCTCCCCGCTGAGCAGAGAGCCCGATGCGGGGCTCCATCCCAGGACCCTGGGACCATGACCTGAGCCGAAGGCAGAGGCTTAACCCACTAAGCCACCCAGGCGCCCCTCTTTACTCTTAACAATTAAAATTATAAGCCCATTATTCCTCAAGCCTTTCACAGACTCTGATTTTTTTTTCCCCCCACGTTTGAGAGCCCTTCGATACGGAGTGGACAAATCAGAGCTCGCCGAAGGTTTCTGGATCCTCCACACATGGGGGCTGTTTGGGATGGGTATCTCGTGACTGGGCAGAGCCAGAGCCAGAAGCTCCCCCAGGAAGTATTAAGCCCAGTTTGTTGACTGTGTGGCCCTCTCGTAGACGCATAAGGCCCTTTCTGTGGTCACAAAGGTCGCTCCCGCCGTGCCAGAGCGTACAGTCCCGTTAGGAAACTGGAAAGAGTTTTATGTCTATGTTCACAGAACCACATAGGCTCAGCCTTCTGGTTGTTTTCTTTAGACTCTATCTCAGGGCCTGGAGATCTTCACAGGGGCTCATGTGAGTGAACTTGTCACCTGCTTCTGCCTCTCAGCGAGATGAAATGGGATAAGGGTGAATTAGCAGATTATGTGGACAGGCTGATTTGAAAAAACAAAACAAAACAAAACACAGCCTTTCTGTGGTATTGGAAATGAGTTGTTCTTTGAACTCAATAGGCAAGTGCGGTGCCAAGGAACCCATCCTAATTTGCTTAGAGGACTGGAGAAAGAATTCTTAATGGGGTGCTCTTGGCATTAGTGAGATGTGTGGAATAGAAATCTCCTGGCAAGCGGTGTCCGTGTGGAGGACCAGGTGTGGAGAAATGTCAGGCCTGGCGGGGCCTCTGTGGAGGGCCTGGGTTGTGCGTAGCGAGGCAGACTTGGGTTCTGCAGGAGGGTGGCCTAGGGGCCCTGGGGTGCTGGCCAGGGAGCAGGGGACAAGTGCTGTCCTGAGGGCTGGTGAGAGGAAATGTAAGAAAAATGGATGGAGAGAGGGCACCTAGGGGTCGGTGAATTGTCATAGGACCACAGAGACTCTGATAGGACAGTTTGGGGAGCGTGTGAGGCACAGAGAACAGGTTTCTAGAACCTTGGAACCGAAAGACAAAAATCCAGGAGAGTGACCAGAGGGAAGAAGCAGAGCTTATCTAGGTGAGAGAAAGCCAGACCCTCCTTCATGTTTGAAGGAAGCCTTTGAACCTGATGGTGGCGGCCTCGTGATGATGGGATCCAATGCTGAGGTGAACACATGAACAGAGAGCCGGTGGGTGATAGACCTTCAACTGATTTCTAAGGAAGCAACCGAAAAACAACTCCAGTAGACCTAAGGAAACCACATGTTAGAATATTTGGTCTCAACATCAGTATCTTATTTAGGATTTTGCTCGGTCTCTTAGTCTGAAGTAGCTCTGTCAGTGCTTTTTAAAAATTTTCCTTTCTGCCTCAGAGCTTGTAGTGTGCTTCTTTCTGTCTGAGGAGACAGAGCACTCCTCCAGCTCAAGATCTGTACAGTGGATAACAGAAAAAAGCAGTTCTGTGATTGTTTTTTAATTTTAATTTTATTTATTTATTTGACACACAGAGAGAGAAATCACAAGTAGGCAGAGAGGCAGGCAGGGAGAGAAGGGGAAGCAGGCTCTCTGCTGAGTACAGAGCCTGATGCAGGACTCAATCCCAGGACCCTGAAATCATGACCTGAGCCGAAGGCAGAGGCTTACTTAACCCACTGAGCCACCCAGGCTCCCAGTTCTATGATTTTTTTAATTAAAATTTTCTTTTCTTCTTCTTTTTTTTTTTTTTTTACACAGCCCAGTGGCTCAGAACCCTTCTAAACAAAGGACACATGTCCAGTTAAAAGCCATGTGTGAACTCTGGCGCTTCTCAGAAATTCATTCCATTTGGGATGGGTGGACCATTTCAGGGCAAAATGGCTTCCCAGTGAAATCAGTATCCCAGCGTAGTAGTTCAGGCCCTGGGAGGGCCTTATTCTCTGTTTCACTATTAAGAAGTATAACCTCAAGGTTCTAGAGCCACTTTTGCTCTCTATCCTGCTTCCTTGGGTAGGAGTTCTGCTCTGCTTTCTGAGAGGAACCCCGTGGGCTTGGGTCTGTCAGGGCATCAGAGAATGAGTCGTCAGTGTGTGGACAGTGGCTGGGGGAACCTTTCGCGCTGGATTTCTGCCGCTTGTAAGCCCGCCGCTTTGACTAGTGTCTGGCAAGTCTGGCTTCCTGTTCCTGTTCATCGAGGCTCACTGGAGGATTTGGGGTGAATTCGTCAGTGAAGTGATAGCTGTGACCCTGTCATCAGCTCTGTGTGTTGGCTACAACTCCCTGCGAGGACTTATTGATCCAATAAGCATCTTAGCCTTCAAAGTTAAAACACAAGCACGTTTAAAAAAAAAAAAAAAGAGTGAGAGAAGGCTATTCATCTATATGAAGGAATGGAGTACTGATTTGTGTTACAATATGGGTGAACCTTGAAAATATTACGCTGTGGGAAAAGAACCATTAAAAAAGCGTGTTTCCGTGTATATGAAATGTCCAGAATAGGCAAATCTGTAGCGACAGAAAACTCAGTGGTGGTTTCCGGGGCCTGGGGTGGGCAGGGGAAAGGGGCGATGACTGCTGGTGGGTACAGGGTTTCTTTTTGAGATGCGGAAAATTCTGGAACGAGATAGTGATGCAGGTACAACACAACATTGGGAATGTGCTTAATGCCACTGAATTTTGTACTTCTCAACAGTTAAATTTTATGTCATTTATGATAAAAACACACCAAGGAAATATCGGTTCAGGTTCACAGCTGTTTATTTTCTCTTACCGTAGGTATTTTGCAAATGAGCCGTTTGCCGACTTCCACCGCGTGGAAGGGTTGCAAGGAGTCTACATCGCTACTCTGATTAACGGTTCCATGAATGAAGAGAACATGAGATCAGTCATCACCTTTGACAAAGGGGGTACCTGGGAGTTCCTTCAGGCTCCAGCCTTCACAGAATATGGAGAAAAAATCAACTGTGAGGTAGAGATGCTTTCGTCTTGTTTGACCTTTTACTACAAATTTTTTAGCTGGTTATGCTGCCCTTAGAGTTCTCAAACTCAGCAGCAGGGCACCTAGGGGGTGCCGTAGTGAACTCCCAGGGGGCACTCTGGGATGTTTTAAATTTTTTGAGGGAAACATAAGGTACTTGGTATTTGTTGGTCATTGTGGCAAGTACCATCTTTAGTTCCTCGTTTCAAAATGAGTTCATGCTGAATTTCTTTGGAAGGCATCCTGTTTGTGTGAAGCTGGATTTCCTAGCAGTTGATGTGATAAAAAGCAAGGGAGAAAATCAGGGTGGAACAGGTAATGACGGTGGTGGGATCTAATGACTCTAAACTTTGAGAAGGGGCGTGGTACCCAGCAGGTACATATATCCCATGTTAAATAATTGTGGTTATCTAAGAGTGAAATAGAAATTTTGTTTTCTCTCTTTCTCTTTCTCTATGTGTGTGTGTATATATTTACATATGCACGCACACTATTATTTTGAACTGCTAAGTTATTAGAACTACTTATTAAGTTGTTTGGCCTTAACTATGTAAAACAATAAATGTTGGTATTTCTTCTGGCTTGAAGCTGCTATAAAAATTTTATGAGGACACTAATTGTGCTGCGAAGCAAGAAAGTTTGGGAAATTCTGTTAAGTTTTTTATTTCTGTGGAACTTTAAAAAAAAAAAAGTGCCTTCCTGAATATAATTTAGGGTTCTACAGTTTTCCCAATCTGTGGCTTCATCTGAAAAGCTGGGAATACTAAAATGTATTCTTTGGCCTCAGTAAGTGTTCCTGCCCGCCTCAGCAGCTCTGTTCTTTTCCCTCGGAAGAATATTCTGTGGACTGAGTTCCTTGGCTTTATATGATGCCCCACACTTCACTTCCCTTTTTGCCTCACTTAAGGGATCTGGAATAAATAATGTAGGTAGGCAGAAGGAACTAAAAAAAAAATCATGTAGTAGCAATTTTTGGGAAAACTGTAACATTTAATTAGACGGTTACCTGATCTTTGAGGTTTTTGAGTCTTGTTTGCCCATGATGAGGTGTGTTGACTGTACTGCATGCTGTAGCTCTGGCCACTGGGGAAAATTTTCTGGAGACTCTTTTTCTCCTTGGATTTCTTGATTACTCTTGCTGATTTCGCAACAGGTGCCGACTTTGTACATCAAGTCTAACTTTGGAAAGAGGCAGGGTATGAGTAGAAAGAGACAACTACACAGGTGCTTCTTTCTTCTGGAGCGGCTTCTAGATTTTAAGAGCTCTGCACTGGCCTGTGTGGATGGGGGTGGCCTGCTTTTCAGCGTGCTGTTGGGGTCTGAGCCTTAGTTAAGTAGAATTAATGGCATTATTAAAACCCCGCTTATTCCCTGACTGACCTTTTTATGAGCTGTACAGCAGTTGGTGAGCTCTTAGCTTCTGCCTGTGATTTTAGATGATGAAAGAACAGGTTGGTTGACAGATATTTCCTTGAGATCCAACCTTCCTCATTTGCTCACATCAAACTGTGATCCTAGCAAGACGGACATTTGCTAGAGAGATCCTTTTGTTATAAAAATGAGTATATGTAGCAAAACCGTGTCTATTTTTACCTGCTCACGTAAGCACACCAGACGAGGCTGAGTAACACTTGACACCGACTTTCTGGCCAGGACGATCAGGAGTGACCACACGGCAAACGGTGTTGTTTGCAGAACTATTAAAATCCGAATGTTAGTGGCCCGTTCGAATGACTTGTTTTGCAGTGGACATAGCATAGCTGGTGCCCTGTACAAATGCTCACTACTTTAAATCTGTTTTAATGTGGATCCTTTGGTGTTTGTAGCTCTCATGTGGTACATCTGGGAGCTTATCAGGGAGACTTAATGATTTCCGATTCTTGGTTTTTCCTCTAATGGCATTGCTTACCTCCTATTTGAAATGTATGTCTACGGACTTAGGAAATAAGTCCCACGAAAGCATTTCATTTCTTTTTCGTGCCGAGTCACGCGAGAGTATCTCTGGGATAAAACAGAGGGAGGAATCACTTTCGATCGACTTGCGTTGGCACTGATTTCTAATTGCTGTTCCCTGAGAGTCTCAGGAGGATTTTTTTACTCGTATTTTTCTCTTTTCTTCAAGGAGAGGCCTTTTTGTGATTCAGATAATCATATCCACCTGAGACAGGCCGCGAGGGGCCAGCTGGGCTCTGCGTCTGGGTTCCTCTGAGCCAGATTTCCTTTCTGTGTGTGCGGCTGCATGGTCTGCACCCAGGCCTGTGTTTTGAGGGAGCTGGAGGCCTCCTGTCCCGCACTGACGGTGCCTGGCTTGTGTCCTTGTGCCTTGTGTCCCGTAGCTCGCCCAGGGCTGTTCCCTGCACCTGGCCCAGCGGCTCAGTCAGCTGCTCAACCTCCAGCTCCGAAGGATGCCCGTCCTGTCCAAGGAGTCCGCTCCCGGTCTCATCATCGCCACTGGTAAGTCCACGACGCTTGTCCCCGCTGCGGCCTTAAGCTCTGCGGGGACGCGCGGCCGAGTACACGGGGACCGCTGACCTCTGCCGTGGCCACGGTGTTTGTGATGTTCGGAGGCATCTGTAGTTGCTAAATGTGACTGGCAGTTCTGGTCTGGCAGGGTGAGTGTCCGACCTCTTCTTGAAGTGGAAGGTCGTTACCCCTCTTCTTGCCTTTCAGGTTCGGTGGGAAAGAACTTGGCAAGCAAGACGAACGTGTACGTTTCTAGCAGCGCGGGAGCCCGGTGGCGAGAGGTCAGCTTCCCACCCCCCCCCCCCCCCCCCCCCCCCCCCCGCCCCGGGTCTGGTTTGTCAGAGATCATGGCCGTGCCTCCACCTTTCAGGATCACGTGTGGCCCACGGGGAGGCCAGCGGCACCAAGTGTGACTATGAAATTAAAGGAGGGTACCCAGAGCCACACGAGAGCGTCAGCTGCACTGATCTTGTGTTCGCACCTTGTAATGTGGGCTCGTGATGCTGCCAGAAATATTCCTTTGAATCAAAAACAGACCTTCTCTTGCCCTCATGACTATAAATTTAACTAAATGCCCCGAGGGGACAAAGCAATGTCTCTCTGCTTAACTTCTTCACCCCTAGAACCGAGCAGTGCCTGGCAGGGAGGGGGCACTGCGTAAATATTTGCAGAATCTATCAGCAAATGGCTGTGGGGTTGTATGGGCGTCTGGCGTGAAACTGGCCATTTGTTGTTGCATCGTAACGAAATCGACGTCGGGCCTCTCCTCGGCGGGCCGTGCCGGGCAGGCCCTTCCATTTCACTCTGCGCTGTGGAAGAAGACCGTTTCTGCCTTAAAACGTCCGCAGAGCTGCTTCGGGTCCGTAGGCACTGCTGATACCAGTTCTGAGAGTAGAGCTAGTCCTGTGGTCCCCGAATGCTAACTCGGCCTTGGGCATTAGAGGATTGCCAAACTTGTAAACAAAACAAAACAAAACTTTCACCAGCCTCTCATGATTTACGAGGGCCAAGGGAACTAGAGCTGGTCTCATTCTGTGGGGGTTGCCTTTAGCGGGGCTCTGTTGCCCGTGTGGGGAGTCAGCAGGAAAACTCAACAGATCATAGGATAAGAATTTAATTGAGCACCTTGTGTAGGTGGAGCATGATGGCAGGAGGGATGTGGTTCTCAGAAGACCCAGCCAGCCTCATGGTGCCCCTTCCTTCCTTCCTTCCTCCTTCCTTCCTTCTTTAAGATTTTTAAATTTATTTATTGGGAGAGAGAGAGAGCATGAGGCAGGCAGAGGGAGAAGCAGGCTCCCCTTTGAGCAGGGAGCCTGACGTGGGGCTTGATCTCAGGACTCTGGGATCGTGACCTGAGCCAAAGGCAGCTGCTTAACCGACTGAGCCACCCAGGGGTCCCCTCATGGTGCTTCCCTTTGGGAACGCAATATATACACGTTTGTATTTAAATCCGTCCTATGTAAAGCATTGGTGATACCCAGCATTCATTGGCTCTGTGCGGTTGGCAGGGACCCATCACATCTTATCTCTGTGAGGTAGGTAGGGCCTCCCATCCCTGAGGCTGAGTGATCCGGGACCCAGAGCTTGCAGGTGTGCCTACATGAACAACTGGCCGGTAAGGTGGAGACCATGATCACATGTTCGGATGTAAGACGAGGTGAAGGCCCGGTAGTCCTAAAGGGTGAATGGTTTGGAGTTTGGGGAGCACTCTTGCTCTGCCCCCGCGGGAAGGATTAAGCAGCTGTTCTCCTCTTCACTGGAGCCAGACATTCCTTTTGAAATTGGGTGTTCTCTCCTCAGCGACCAGGCTTGTGGTTTGTTTGGACCTTCTGATGGTGGTGTAATCTGGGATTTGAACATCTGCAAGTGATTTCCTTCTGGGGAGAAAGCAGGGTCTTGTTCCTCCTCCGGTGAAGTGGTATCGTCTGGCTCACACTGGGGCAGCTGCCCGTGCCTCCTGCCTGGCCTGCTTCACGCCTGCCAGGAAGCAGCCATTGCACAAGGGACCTTAGTTTTGCAAAGAGCAGAGAGCGAAGTAGGGGAGAAGGCTGAGATCATGTCTCTGTGAGTGGGCATCTGAGTGCCCTTGGGCAGCAGTGATCACGTGAGAGGGACAGCCTGGGGCGTGAGGGGCAAAGACAGGGAAGGGTGAGGTAGGATGTGGTGGACAGAGTTGTCTAGAAAATCAGTGACTAGAAGACTTACTCTTCCTCCGCTACTAAAGACTTGTGCAAATTCTCCGATCTTGAGTTCCTTTTCTATGCTTTTCTTCCTTAACAACTTTATGGAGGCCCCTGCATATTTCAAGTGTACAATTTCATCAGAGTTGGTCACCATTGCTACACCGTCACCAACACCATGATGAAGACAACAAGCATGTCCATCACTCCCCCAAAGCATCTTCGTCCCCTCTGTAATCCATCCTTCTCTTTACCTCATCCCTGCCCAATGGTTAGTTAGCATTTCCTAGAATTTTATGTAAATGGACTCATAATATGCTGGTTTTTTGCTTGGCTTCTGACACTCATCATGATGATTTTGAGGCCCATTTGTGTTGTTTCATGTATCAGTGGTTCTTTCCTATTTTATCGTAGATTTGTATCCCATTGTAGGGATATTCCACAATTCACTTATCCATTCATCTGTTGGTGGACATTACAGTGTTTGCTGATTATAAGTATAGCTATTATAAACATTTAATTAAGTGCTTTTTTTTTTTTTTTAAATAGATGCACATTTGTATTCCTTTTGGGTAAATACCTCAGAGTGGAATGATGGGCAGCTTGATGGGTCTGTGTTTAACTTTTTTTAAGGAATGACCAAATTTTTGTCCAAAGTGGGGGCTGTCTCAGTATTGTCTGAGACTTCTAATTGCCTCAGGTCCACACTGGCACTTGGTATGGTCACTCTTTTTAATTTTAGACATTTTAATGAGTACACAGTGGTGTCTCATTATGGTTTTAATTGGCATTTCCTTGGTGACTAATGACTTCAAGCTTCTTCTCACGTGCCCATTGGGCATTTAAAAATCATTTTGTGAAGTGTCTGTTCAAATCTTATACTTATTTTAAAAAATTGAGTTGTTTGCCTTCTTATGGATGTGTAGGATTTTTTTTTTGAAAAATGTAAAGTTAAGTCTTTCGTTTGATATGTGTGTCATGAGTATCTTCCTTAGTCTGTGGCTTGCTTTTTTAAAAAAAATTTTCTTAATGGTGTTTTTCAAAGAGCAAATGTTTTAAATTTTGCTGAGGTCTGATTTAGCAGGATTTTTCCTCTGGATATTATGCTCTTTGTTGTTCTGAGAAATGTTTGTCCCTTTTGCAAAGATTTACCCCCTAAATTTCATAGTGTAAGGCTGTAGTTTAGGGTTATGATCCATTTGAGTTAATCTTGATATCTGTTGCGATGGGAGGGTTTGCCACTCATTTTTCCATGTGGAGATTCAGGGATCCAGCCCCACTTACTGAGAAAGACTTCTTTCTCCCCTCGCATTGCCTTCATGTCTGTTTGAAAATCAACTGGTCGTCTATGCATGGGTCTGTTTCAGAACTTGGTAGACTTTCTCATCTGTTCCATTTATCGGCATGTCTGTCCTTTCACTTGTACCAAATTGTCTTGAATATGGGAGACTTAACAGTAAGTGTTGGGATCAAGTGCTTAAGTCTTCCAACTTTGTTGTTGTTCTTTTTTTTTTTAAAATTTTTTTTTTTTTAGAAGGAGAGAGAGGGAGTCAGAGTGAGCGAGGGGGGTGGGGGGGTGAGGTGTGGGGTGAGTGGGGGTGTGTGTGTGGGAGGGGCAGAGAGAGAGAGATAGTCTAGGGAGACTCTGACCTAAGCCCGGAGCCTAACCTGGGCCTCAGTCTCATGACCCTGAGATCACTATCTGAAGCGAAACCAAGAGTCGTTCGTTTAACTGATGAGCCATCCAGGCGCCTCTGAACCTTGTTCTTCTTAAAAATTTCTTTGACTATTCTAGATCCTTTGTATTTCTACAACATTTTAGAATCCGCTGGTCAACTTCTGCAAAACCTGCTGTGATTTGGGCTTGGATTGCATTGAATTTATAGATCAATTTGGGGATAATTGAACTCTTAGCACTACTTAGTGTTCTGATCTGTGAATGTAGTATGTTTCTTCATTTCTTTTTATTTTTAAAAATATTTTTAAAGATTTTATTTATTTATTGGACAGAGTTCACAAGTAGGCAGAGGGGCAGGCAGAGCGGGGTGGTGGAGGGGGAAGCAGGCTCCCCGCTGAGCAGAGAGCCCGATGCTGAGCTCGATTCCAGGACCCTGGGATAATGACCTGAGCCGAAGACAGAAGCTTTACACCACTGAGCCATCCAGGCGCCCCTCTTCATTTCTTTTTAAATCTCACTGAGCAATATTTTTTAGATTTCAGTGTGGAGGCCTTGTATATACCTTGTATATACCTTGTAGGTTAGTTTTATTGCTAGATATTTTACAAATTTTTGGTATTATTGTAAATACAGTTTTTTTCAAGTTTACATCCTAATTTTTATTATAGGATATAGGAATACCGTTGATTTTTATCGATTAACCTTGTATTCTACAGCCTTGCTAAAATAATTCGTTAGTGTTAGGAGTAGTTTTGTAGATTCTGTATAAGAGATGATAATCATCTGTCTGCACATAGGGACCTGTTTTATTTCTTCCTTTTTGATCTTTATGTCTTTTGTTTCTTTCTCTCTCTTCCTTTTCTTCTCTTCCCTAATATGTAATAATATGGCAATATGTAATATAGTGTAAAAAACCCCTCTTTTCCTTTACTCTTGATACCAAATGCTAGGGGAGGTTCCCCTCACAGTGAGCAATTCTCCAGTTCTCTGGACACCAACCAGATGTCCTGTATTTCAGTCATGATACTAGCTGGCTGGAGTTAGCACAGACCCCACAGGTGAGGGGCTCAGGCTCACAAGACTGCCCCCCACTCACTTCACATGCTCATTGCAAGTCCCAAGTTGTCACCCATATTTCTGACTGACCAGCTTATAAATAGGGTGCTCCCCTGACCCCCCTTCTTGGGCTCAGGAATTTGCTGGAATGGCTGGCAGAATTCGGGAAATACTTATTTACATCCAGTTGATTATAAGGATATTACAAAGGCTACACCTGGATGGAGAGGTCCATTGGGCAAGGTCTGGAAGGATCCTAAGCACGGGAGCTTCTGTCCCTCATGGCGTTGCGATGTGCCAACCTCCCAGCTTGTGGACGTGTTTGCCAACCTGGGATCTCTCTCAATACTGCAGTTTAGGGATTTTTTTTTTTTTTTTTTTTAATGGAGGCTTCATCACAAAGGCATGATTGATTATTAACTCCGTCTCCAGCCCCTGTCTTTTCCCTGGGGGTTGAGGCAGGGCTGGAAGTTTCAAGCTTCTAGTCATGCTTTGTCTTTCTGGTGGCCAGTGCCTGTACTGTCCAGGAGTCCACCAAGAGTTTCCTCCTTACAGCCAAAGACTCTGCTATCTTCCTGGAAGTTCTCAACGATATAGAAGTTTCTGTGTAAGACCCACATCATACATCACCCCCATCAGTCAGGAGATGATGCAGGGGTTTTTAGGAGCTCTGACTGGAAGCTGGGACCCAAGACCAAAATACATATTTCTTTTCATATCACATAGGTGATACGGTATGTTACATGTATGTTGTGGTATGTTATATTGATTGATTCTTGACGGTTATATGAACCTTGAATTACTGGGACAGACCCTGTTTATTTATGATCTATTATCCTTTCTATACAATGTTAGGTTTGAGTGTCTAATAGTTTGTTAAAGATTTTTACATTATTCATGAGAGAGATTGGTCTGGTTTTATGTTTTTTTGGGTGGGGATAATGTCTTTTTCAAGTTTTGGTGTTAGGGTTGGGCTGGTGTCATTGAACAAGTTGAACAGTGACTCCTCTTTCATCTAAAAATGGGGTGATTTTTCTTTCTTGAATAACTCACCAGTGAAACTATCTGAACCCGGAGTCTTCTTTTTGGGAATGTGGTTAGAAAAAATTCAGTGTCTCTGGCTGCTAGAAAACGGTTTAGATTTTCTGCTACTTGCGTCAGTTTTGGTGAGTTTCATCGGAGTCATTGAATTTGTTGGCTTAATGTCTCCAGGGTATGTGGTGCTCACCTGTTTTTATTCCTGATATTGAGGATTTGTGGGGTTTTTCCCATTTTGCTTAATAGTTTAGTTAGTGGTTTGTCAATATTACTGATCTTTTCAAAGAAGGTGCTTATGGCTTTGTTTGGTTTGTCTTCTATTTTGTTGATTTTTTCTCTTTAGTATTTTCCCTTATTTGGATTTAATTTGCTTTTCTTTTTGTAGCTTTTTTAAAGGTATAACTTTAGGTCATTGATTTTTAGATGTTTTTTTCCCCAATATAAGCATTTAAAGCTGTTAAGTTTTCCTCTAAATCCTGCATTGGCTACGGTCACAAATTTAGAGATGTTGTATTTTTTTTGTCATTCAGTTCAGAATATTTCTTAATGTCCCCCTTTGAAGTTGAGATGTAAATCACATACCATAAAATTCACCACTTTAAAGTGTACAGTTTGGTGGGGTTTTGCTATATTCACAAGTGATATGATGTGCAACCATCACCTCTCTCTAATTCCAGAATGTTTTTATTACTTCAAAATATCCCTTCTGCTTTTTGTCTTTGATAAGTTATTTAGAAAAGGGTTGTTTAGTTTTCAGATACTTGAAATTTCCTAGATATCGTACGTTTGATTTCTAATTTAATTGCCTTATAGTGAGAATATACTTTGTGTGATTTTGATCCCTTTAAATTTATTGGGACTTACTTTGGGATCTAATATGTGGCCTATCTTGCATCCATCATATGCATTAGGAAGGAATGTGTATTCTGCTGTTGTCAGATGTTAGTTACATGAAGGTGTTATTTCTATGAAGGTGGTTGATACGCTGCTGTTCAGATCTTTTATGTTCTTTCTTTTTCTTTTTCTTTTTTTGGCTAGTTCTGGTAATTGCTAAGAGAACCATGGTGAAATCTCCAACTATGTGGAATTGCCAAGTTTTTCTTTAAATCTCCTCAGTTTTATCTTTTGTATTTTGAGGCTCTGATTCAGTACATGCACATTTTATAATTATCTTTTCTGTTCTTGTCCCGTTTATTGTTATGAAATAGCCCTCTCTGTCAATGGTGATAACTTTGTCTTGAAGTCTGTTTTATCTAGTATTGAAATAATCATTACAACCCTTTTATGTTTACTGTTTCAGTAGTGTATCTTTTACCATGCTTTTACTTTGTGCTCACTGGTGTCTGTATCTGCAGCGTTTCTTACAGGCAGCATATAGGATGGTCTTGCTTTTTTATCCATTCTTCAAGGCTTTGTTTTTTAACTGAAATGCCTGGACCATTAGCATTTAACATAATTATTGGTATGATTGGATTTAGGTCCAAGGTTTTATGTATGTACGTATGATCTTTGTTTTTTATCCCTCTGTTCTTCCTTTACTGACTTTTCTATATCATTTAGATGGCTTTGGCATTTTACTTTTATTTAGAGACTGGGTTTTTTTTTTTTTTTTATTATATTTCTTTCAGTGGTTGCTGTAAGGATTACAACATGCGTATTTAATCTTTCATAGTCTTTTTAAAATTAATATTGCTCTTAATATAATGTTGCCCTTCACATAAAATTTAGAAACCGTGCAAGCATGTACATCCCTTTTCTCTTTCCCTGACATTTCTGTTATTGTTGCCTGTGTATCTCATTGACGTCCATTAAAAAACCTACAAGACAATGTTCTTGCTTTCATTTTGCTTTACATTATTATATCAGTTTTAGAGAATTTAAGGGGAAAGAAGCAATTTTTTTATATTTACCCAGATATTTCTTTTGCTCTTCCTTCATTCCCGAGAATCCCTGTATCCCCCTGGTAAGTTTCCCTATGGTCTTAAGAAATTCCTTTACTGTTTCTTCTTGCGCCTATCTACCATACACATTGTCTTGGTTTTTCCCTCATTTGAGAATCTCTTTATTTCCCCTTCCTTCCCAGAAGATATGTTCGTTGGATATAGAATTCTGGTTTGATGGCGATTTTCTCTCAGTGCTTTAAAGATGTGCTATAGCCGTCTTGCCTCTCTGGTTTGTGATGAGAAAGCTAGAGTCATTTCAGTCATCACTGTCTTGCACGCAATCTGTCATTTTGTCTAAAGGCTTCAGGAGCTTTTTCCTTATCTTTGGTGTTCAGCAGTTTTGCTGTGATGTATCTAGGTGTGGTTTTCTTTGTGTTTATCCTGTTTGGGTATGCTGATCTTGAATCTATAAATGTATGTCTTTTTACCAAATATGGCAAATTTTTAGCCATTATTTCTTTAAAAAAAATTTTTTTTTCCTGCTCTGGTCCCTTTTTCCTGTTCTTCTTGGACTCCAGTCATACACACTAGACCTTTTATTATTATCCTCCCAGTCTTTGGGACTTTTTCCCTCTTCATTCTTTTTTGAGTGTTCTTTGGAACGGGTAATTTCTCCATTCTGTATTTCTCACCGTGTTTACCAGTTCCTCTGTCATTTCCATTCAGTTGTTGAGCTCATTCATGAATTTCTTAATGTCACATGTTATATTTTTCTGTTCTAAAATTCTTTTCTTAAAGGATAGCTTCCACTTCTCTGGGAAGGATCCTTGTCTTTTGTTCATTTCAAGTGTGTTTTCCTTTACTCCATGAGACACAGTTATGATCAATAATTTCAAGTCTTTGGTAATTCCAGCATTTGAGCCATCTTGGTGAGGTTGACACCTGTTGATTGCCTTTTCCCTTGAGAACCGGACACGATTCGTTGGCAGGTGTCTGTGTTGAGTTATTTTGGGTTGTCTCTTGGACATGTGAATGACATGCATGGAATACAGTCTTCTGGAAGGTGTGGGTATTTTCGTTTTAGCGTGGAGTGAATCTGCTTAGGTTCAGACCGTGGGTTTCTTCCTGCATTCTCAGGGTGACAGTGCAACTCTCCATTGTGTTCACTAACCCTTTGCTGTGTTGGTTTCAGTCTGCTCCATACACGTATGGTTAGGGGTTAGGGTGAGTGTTGTGTGAGTTCATACACAGAGGATTTACTTGTTTGATTCTCTCCCTGCTGGCATTTCAACCACATTCTCCCCGGCCTGCACAAATGGTTTCTGGTGACGCTGCGGCCATCCACCTGGGACTGAGGTGTCCAGGACTGGGACTTTCCCTTGGGACAAAACCACACCAGGAAACCCCAGCCTCGTGGTGACTCCTCAGGTTTGAAGTCCTTGCCACAGCCCGCCTAATTTAGTTTCCTTTTCAGCATCCTTGGGCAGCCCTTTTTTGTATTTTGTTCCAAGTTTTTTTTCTTGTAATTGGCAGGAAGGATGGGCTGCTGTGCGTTTGTATACTCATGATAGAGACTCCAGTTGAATTGTAATCTCTCACGGGGGAGGGCCAGAGATCAGGGCTTGACTCCTCGCCCTGCTGTTTACAGTCAGCCGCTTTAATACCAACCTTTGTTTCTTCATTTGTGGGAAGAATTGGGGTTTGCGAGAAGTCGCTGTCCCGTCCTCACCGCTGTATGGAGCAAAGGAGGGAATGGATGTGAATGTGCTCTGGAAACTGAAATGTTGTATTCAAGTGATTGGCATGATGGCCATGTGCTTCTGTGTGTGTCTGCGCGTGTGTGTGCCCGTGGGGTGTGCATGGTTTCTGCCCGGTCACTCCAGAGCGGTGGCATCAGCACTGGCTTTTCCTCTTCAGGCACTTCCTGGACCTCACTACTATACTTGGGGAGATCATGGCGGCATCATCATGGCCATCGCCCAGGGCATGGAAACCAATGAGCTGAAGTAAGTGTCTCTGATGAAACTTTTTCTCCTGACATCACACCACTCTCCCAGATGTAAGTCTGTGAGTACAAGTAGATTGACCTCAGCAAATTATTTCAACTTTCCTCATCTGTAGCAGAGGGATAATAATCTGTCCCTCCTTCTCAAGGAGGAACAAAGGATACCCTTTTATTGATTCCGGCAAATACAGCTTTATAGAAATATAAATTCATATATTTATATTTATATATTATATATTGATATAAATTCATATATATAGAAATATAAATTCATGATGACTAAAAAATTAACTAGAGATGTCAACTTGTCTATCTTTGCTTGGTGTGTGACCTAGAAGGAGTGATGATAGAAGCAGGAAAGAAAAATAAATAATAATAATACCTGAGTAATTATTTCAGAATGTACCCTACTTGGTAACCAGTGAGTTTTGCTGTTGACCCATTTGCTTTGGGGATTCATACCAACAGACCTGGAAGGGACGTTTGGGGTTAACTGTTTCGTTTTACAAATGAAGAAACTGAGACTCAGCAAGGTCAAGTCAACCGGCCGAAGATACCCCCCTTTGTTAGTGACGTTAAATCACATTCTGTACTCTTTGCCACTGTATTGCTCTGAAAAGCAAGAATGTTGGAAGTCTGTAACCTCTGCTTACTTGATCTAATGTTATCAGAACCAGTTCTTGATTTTTGTCCGAATTAGGACCAAAGTTAATTTTGTTGATGGTACATCAGAGCAGACTGGCCCTCCCTTCTCCCCTATTTGCCCTGAACCCATGAGATGTGTTGCCATAGGAGGACGGGGAGGCCTCAACAATGGTCTTGTTTCATGCAAAGAAGAAAGCCTTCTCTTCCTTTGCTGCTTTTAGAAGCAGAGCCAGCAGCAAGAGAGAAGTGGGCGGTTTGAAAAGAGAGATCTTAGCCTCTGGTTTCCCGCGTGGTGAATTTGACCTGTGCTGAGTAGGCTGGCCTCAGGCAGACGGAAGCAAAGCATGGTGTCTGGCTGATCTCAGCTCTGTGCCGTGCTGGTCAGCAGCTGCTCTTAGGGCCGAGAGCCGGAGGCCAGTCCTGTTGTACACGGTGCTGTATCCACATTCCCACTGGCGTTCAGTCGGAGGAGGACAGTCACAAAGCACCGTGCTTTCCCCGCTCTGCTGCCATATATCGATTTACACATTAATTTATCAATTCCCATCTCACACGTTTAGCAAGCATGAATTGTGCTGGGGAGTGCATATGTAAAGAAATAAAGACGATCTGTCCCCTCCCTCGTCAGGAACCCATCCTCCAGGGGTAAGATGCACAAGTCAGCCATGTGATGGTGGGGACTCGGCTGTGTGAGGACGACAGCAGAGGACACAGTTCAGCTTCCCGGGCAGCATACGTGTCACGCTCTGCGTGGCCGCCTGATCGTAGAGTCCGTTTCTGAGGTTCCCTGTTTAACTTCTCTGCAGACGGCATTTGCATTCCAAGCCAGCTCCCCCGAAGTCGTTAGCATGATTCTAGTCCTCTGACACCATCTGTCGGTGCATATCGGCTCAGGGAAACGCAGCGTCATGGCTACACTAGATGGAGCAAAATGCGACTGGGAAAATAAACCCCACTGCCAGAAAATTACCGTGCCCTCCCCGGACACAAAAAATGACCGCGGGGTTGGTGGGCTCGAGGATTACAGGCACTGCAGCCCCCTTCTACTTCTGTAGGTTATTTGGAGGTGTCTGTGCCTATGGTTCACCTAGAGCGCTTGCAATTAGGAGGATATATTCTGGCTTCCTGTTGATAGGTGCACGTGTCCCAAGTATCAGTCCGAGCTTGGCCTCAATCTGTGTAGCCACCTGGCACTCACTCAGTAGGTTGCTCTCAGGTTTTTTTCTTGCTGCTTCTCCTGCTGCCCTTCTTTTGATCTGTCGCTGTGTGCTATCGGCTTCATCAGAAGACAAGCAGGAAATAATACTGTAGCTAGTTCCTAGCCTCAGACCACAGCGACGACTTACTGTGAGAGCGTAGCATGCATGGACAGAGGAAGGATTTCTGTTGCCGAGCTAGGGCAGTGATGTCTCTCCTGGAGTCTCACAGCATTTATTGGTGGGCTTGTTAATTGGGCATCGATCACATATGGACTTCTTAACATTAGTTACCGTTTCATTATACGCCTGAGTTCTTCAACTCATCGGCAAGGTCTTTTGAATAGTATTTCTATTCTGGACAGGCTCACAGGCACTTTGTAAATGCTCGATCAGTCAGTAAATAGGTTATGCACACTCATTCTTCCAAGATTGCGTATTTTTTTTATTGATTTATAAAACCAGAATAGGTGTGGTCGTGTGACAGGTGCATGGCTCTGAGGGGACCCCTCCCACCGTCCTCTGTGTAAATGACAGTCTCTGGAGCTCAGGTAGGAAAAGGGAGCCCCCTGGATGTGTGCCCTTCCCCGGAGGCACTGGGGCTGGCCCAGTCCACCTTCCTCTGTTTTCACATGAGGAAATAACGTGACTTGTCAGTCGGTAGGGCCCAAGCTGGAACTTGGGCTTATTTCTGTTAGACGTTATCTCAGGTCAATGACAGCAATGAACATGGACAATGAACCAGGCATTGTTCTAGGTACCGCGTGTGCAAAGGTGAGTCAGGCGTCCATCAGGGGCTGCCCCTGCCCCCTGTGGCTCTGTTATGTTTCTGAGCCAGCTGGAGAGAGAGGCCAGCGGAAGGGCTTTTTCTGAAATGAAGTGTTCTGACCCAGACTCTTCGGGAGGAAGGCCACACGGGATAACATCAGGAACCCCCATAAGAGTTTTAGGAAGGACAGAGGTTGGAACATTGCTTAACGCAAGAGTGAGGTTTTTGTTTTGTTTCATTTCAATTGTTGTTACCTTTACATTATTCATGTCTTTCTTTCCCCGATTAGCCCAGATAACGAAGAGTTGACTGTTACTTGTCTCGGCTTCTGCCTCGACTCTCCACTGAGGCTGTTACCTTTGTTACTGCTAATTGAAATCGAGAGCAAGAAGTGGAACGCTTTGTTTTGCTCCTGTGTCTACATGTCTGAAATGAGTAAATAAGAACCCCTTCTGGGGATTCACATATTCATTCGGTCAGCACGCTGTCACAGTGAACCTGCTCAGGGGAGGCAGGTTTCTCTTGTGTACAATGCCTGTGTCCTTCAGAGAAGGGTATGCTGTGTTCTTGAACTTTGGCCAAAAAAAAAAAGACCCAAGCACAAGTTCATTAACACAAATTCATGGGCTCGATCATGAAAGAGATCAATTTCCATTTCTTCTTGCTGGTTTACCTGCCAGCAAAATGCTGTCCTTGGTAGTTACTAATAATATTTCGGACTTGCCCAACAGCCTCTTTCTCTGTGGGAGATTTCTGATTTCATAGGGCTTTCCTCCAGGAGTCCCTAAAAGGTCGTGCAAAGATTATACCCAGCAGCTGTTTTTTCAGGACCTGAGTTGCGGAAGCAACCTCCGGGTTCCAGAATGTGGGAGGTGGCAGTTCACCTGCACACGGGGTGGCAGCTCCTGATGCCACTGGTAACACTCAGGGGGACACTCACCGAACCATCCCCGCCTGTGACATTTCCACCCTCACTTGGTTTCTCTGGCCTTTGGGTTACAGTGGAGTGGGCGTTACCACCTTTAAAAGTGAGACTCAGTGAAGGGGTTGAAAAAAATACAGTGCCGTTCATTTCATCTCCTTTAGCAAATGTTAATTAACACTTACCCTTCTGTGTGCCAGGAAAGGTGCCAGGTGCCAGGGGCAGAAAAGTGAGTAAGGGGGTTTGTTGCTGGCACATTGCAGTCTAGGAGGATATGCTTGCAAAATCAGGCCATGAAAACGGAGTAGAATGTAAGGTAGAGGGAGCACAGGGGGCTGTGCGAGCACAGCCAGGAGGAGGAGGGAGGGGAAGAGGGAGCTTGAGCAAGGTTGGAGTGCCATTTCAGAGTTAGAAAGACCTTGGGCAAAGAAGGCCCAGCAAGCATCAGCATGGAAGGTATAAGGCTTTAGTAAGATGGAATGCAGATTGCAGGGAAGGGGCGGTGAGAGGCGGGGATTGAGGGAGGTGTAGGTAGGGGCCTGGAGCTGTAGGTGAGGGCCGGGAGCTCGAGGCCTGTGTGTACTGCACTGGAGAGATCAGACTTGGCTGTTGAAGTGATCGTGTCCCTTTAGGATTTTCAGTAGGGGAATGACGTAGCTAGAGCTGCGTTACAGAGCTTGGGCCCTGGCAAGCTGAGGCGGATACGTTTAAAAGAAGCAAGACTGGAGGTGAGAACGGAAGTTGAGGGGTGGGGGACTAAGCGTTTTGGGGGCAAAGTCTGCAGGACAGCTCTGCTGTACCCGGGCAGACCCCTCCTGGAAGAGCAGGGGAAAGGAGCAGGCCCTGAAGGGCCAGTGGAGGCATGTGGATTTGGACGGGTCGGACCGGACTGCCCTGTGCTGTGCATGGGGAGAGGTCCAGGGGGAATCCACGCACGCCCCGTCATCCGCTCTGGCCTCCCAGGCCTTGTGTGCGTCTTCCCTTGACGTCTGCGATGGAAGATCTGCCTGTCTTTGCTTGGACGCTTGCAGTGGTAGGAAGTGGCCAGACCAGAGGGGATTTCGTTTCACTTTGGGACAGCTTGTTGGTTGTTTCTTCTTTCTGCCACTTGTTTATCCATCTAGTCCTTCATGAATAAAAGGAATTCATCCCTCCTCAGCCCTCTCACGTGTCTCCCATTCCGTGGCAGACGGCTCTGCTTCCTTTCCTCCAATGCCGTGACTTACCACGTGTATCCTTGTCTGTGTATCCTTTAGGTCACCTCCCCATGTCAGCACCTTCACGTATGGGGCCTGGGTCTGACCCCAGCAGCTGACCCCAGCAGCGTACAGGGATTCACACCGATGAGGCTCAGAATGCTCAGTTCCTGCCTGTGAACCCCCAAGACTGATTATATTTCTGACAGCCTCCCCAGCATTTTAGCTTCTACTGAATTACTTTTTTAAAAAAATTGAGGTTTCCATTTACACACCATGAGATGCTTGGATTGTAAAGACACCCGTTAATCTGTTCTGGAGGGCACTTGTCAAGATGCAGAGAATTTCTGTCACCCCAGAAAAGACCTGCGTGCCCCTTCCCAGCCAACACCCCTGCCCCTGCCCCACCCCAGTTAGAGGCAACTGATGGTGTGATTATATTTTTACCGCATATGTTAGTTCTGCCTTTTCCAGAATTTCCTGTGTTTGCATTTGGCTTCCTTTGCTCAGTGTGTTTTTGAGATTCTATCTCCGCCGTGACTTGTACCAGTAGCTCAAGTTTCGTTTAACTACAAAACATGGAGATCCCTTTTTCCTTATGAATTTTATTAAAGACCAGATGTTCTCCACCCTGTATCTGAGCAGGTCGGTGTTTGAAACAACATGTGGAACTTCATTCTCATTTTCACTTCTCCTTTCGATGTAATGAAAGCGGTTTGAACCCTCTTTGGGCCTTAACTGCATCATTGGTGCCATTAGCCTTGTCTGCTTTGCAAATCTGATAGATTGACTGACCGTGGTGTTATTCATATCTTTGATTAAGGCGTCAAGCTGTGTGGAAGGAGGTCTTCTTTTGGGTTGAAGTCACACCGTATTGTCAACAATCAGCACACTTGGGATTTGTTTCACCAGCAGTGAATTTTATCTAGCTGTGTGGCCCGCAGAGATCCTTAATGAAAAAAGAATATTTTGTATTATTGCCCTCTTCTTCCAATCGAGGATCACCATGAAAAATGAAAAATGGGATTCGTTTGTTGTGACTCTTGTGTGAAACTTTGGGAGTCCCAACCCTGACGGACTGCCTTCTGTTCTAAGACCCATCAGATCAGCCATCCTTTTTTTTTTTTTTTTAAAGATTTTATTTATTTATTTATTTGACAGAGAGATATTGAGAGCAGAACACAAGCAGGGGGAGTGGGAGATGGAGAAGCAGGCTTCCTGCCAAGCAGGGAGCCCAATGTGGGGCTCGATCACGGGACCCTGGGATCATGACCTGATTCGAAGGCAGATGCTTAATGACTGAGCCACCCTGGCACCCCAGCTGAAACCACTTTTTCTTCTTTATGGGAGTAAAGCTACTCTTCCTCCTCTGGGCTTTGAGAGATCTCTGTCTGTCCTCCATGATTCTGTCAGAGATTCTTAGAAGGAACTCCGCAGTCATTTTTAAGTCTTTCCATTCCCCAGAACGTGCTCTCTTTTGTGCTTATTTTCTTTTAATGTCCCTAGTTTTTTCTTAATTTTTTTTCCTATCTTGTCCAGTTTAAAGATCATTCTTCTTGATAAAGACACAACCAAAATAGAAATTGAGTGGTTCCACCTTTTTTTCCCCTATTATTACTATTTATACCATTGAGCATCAGAAGGATGATTCTTTCTAGTTCTTTATAGAATTTTTTGCTAATTCTTTGTAGAATTTACCAGACAACCAACCCACCATCCTGCTGACCCACTAATCTGCCACTTATTTTTATAATTTGACTCACTTTGAATTTGTTTGGCCACTGTTCCCACAGATCACTTGGTGTAAGAATTATAGCTGAAATTAACTAGCAAATCACTATTGCTTTTGACGTTTTTGCCTTTGGTTATAAGACTCTTTTCTCATCGTGAACATGCTGTTCAAAAATCTGAGTTCATCAAGGACCTTTCTGGACAGCCAGCCACAGAGATACTCCTCAGCTGAGTTCCTAGCAACACTACCCTTGCTTAGTGCATGTTGGGTTCTGTTTATGTTTTATTACATTTTTCTATTAAATGACCTTCCCATCCTCTTGAGAGTTTTTGACCATGGGGTTTATGACTGCATTTTTATCTGAACGTTTTGAATCCTCCATTCCTAAAAGTTGGGACTCTGTATGGTCTTTCATGATTATAGGAGCACAGACATGATGTGGGTTTGTTTTCTTCCAAAGTTCTTATCATTTTCAGGACATCAAGACAAGTCCTCCTCTAGGGGTCAGAACTTGGTGCAGAGTAGATGATCTCCCAAACTGTTGCAGTGGTAATGTGACCTGCCCCTTCCCGAAATTCTGAACAAGCATCATTTTCTGAATGCACAGTTCCTTCTCGAATACATGGCTGTGCTTGGCTATGCACCTGTTTCTTCGCCTCATTCAAAGCGTCCTCCCAGAGGCCTCTGGGAACCTCTCAAGAAACGGGATGCTTGGCTTCCTATGGTTATCTGGGGTTTGAAGAGCTCTTAAATGGTATTAACTAAGCAATGTGCAAATAGATGGCCTTCCAGCATTATTGCAGAGCAGATGGACAGCTCCCATCCCGTCTGGATAATGGACTGACGGATGCTCCTGGAAAAGTGGTACCTCACCCTTAGCTCGTCACACTGGTACCAGGCAAGTGAACTAGCTCACTTATCCCTGGATAGGTTTCAAAATTAGCTTCAACCAGAAGTGTTTCAACCAGGGGAGAATTTGTCCTCTTTACGGATCTGTAGAGGAGTCCCTTAGTCCTCCCTGACATTCATGATTTATGTGGCCTTGTAGCCTCGCCCCTCTCCGCTTTGAACCTGCAGCCTCTTGCCGAAGTATCCATTTTAGTAATCTCAACTGGGGAGGAAGTGTTTGGATCACATGATGTTGTGAAAAGATTTGTGTCAAGGATGAGGGGTCAACCTAAAATCTCAAATATATGGGAAAGGTGAAGAAGGAAAGAAGTTCTGCGTGTCATTAGAACTAGAGCTCTAGGTCCTAAAGGAAGCTCTCCCTGAGTGCTTTCTCAGGCTGAGCATGTCGCCAGGGTTCTGGGTGATGAAGCAAGTGTTAGGCAGATTTTCCCTTCCTCCTCCTCCCCTTCAATACAAAAGATAATATAAAATCAGCACAGTTTTTTCATTGCCGGTTTTTTTCAAGAGCTTTCTCTTTCTGAGGTAATCTTCCTTGGAGACTTTGCTCTGCACATATTTTTCCCTCCGACTTAAAAATCTGTCAGGCCGCAGGGAGAGGTGCAAGAATTGTGTAAAGAACACTCCGCATACGTTCGCTCAGAATCAACGGTTAACACTCTGCCAGCCTGCTTTCCTTCTGTCAGTTACGTGTTCGTCCTGTCTGCCTGTCTTTCCATCTGCCTGTCCTTCTTCACTGAGTCACGGGAAAGCAAGTTGGAGCCGTCACGCCCCTTCTCAGCTAAATACTGAAAGCATGTATCTCCAATAAATAAGGGCATTTTCCTCTGCAATCAGAATGCCGTTATCACACCTAATAATGGGAGCTCAGTCTCCCTTATCCACTATATTTATGTGTATGTACTGACCGCAGCCCCCCCCCCCCCACCCCCGCAGCCAGTCCAGGGTTCAGTCAAGGTTGACACACTGCCTGTGGCCATTAACACCTCTTCAGTCTCTATAACAAGCCTCCTGCCTTCTTTTGTTGGTTTGGTAACTTTTTCATGGCCTCACTTTGGCTTTGGAAGAATCCAGACCAGTCACCACGTAGCATGTTGCCCATGCTGGACTTGTCCGGTGGTACAGGCTAGCAGGTAGCTGATGTGATATTCGCAGTGTTTTATCCAGGAGGCCTGTAACGTCAGGTTGTCCCATTGTCTGTGGTGCTGCGTCTGGTGAAGGCTCTGGCTCTGGTCCGCTGTGGAATTGCATTTCCCCATCGGTAGTGAGTGATTCCTCGGGGGGCCGGTAGCTTTAGACCATGTGAGCACCCTGGTCCCCAGCACTCTTTTCCCCCCCGTGGCCTTAACGTCCAGTGGTCATGTGGCCCGGCTCGGTTATTAGAGCGTGGGTGATGGGATGGTCGTTTTTCTCATGCTGTCATTGTTTCCAGCCTAGATCGGGTATTGTAATGTATTGTAATGTAAGAAAAACGTTTCCCTCTTTCCCTTCTCTGTCCCTTTTAGGATCATTCAGAGACCCATACCCTACTTTGACTTAGTGCAAAATCTGTTCGCATCATTTTTCTTTCTATGTTCAAATTGTCCCCAACTGACCAGCCGGAGAGCCCATCGAGCTGGCCGCTCTCTGCTTCTGCACCGACCCCGTTAGTCCCTGAGCACTTCCTTGCTTTCTGCCTCAACCCTGAACGTCCCTGCTTCATCCGTTTGTCCAGGGAGCCCCACCAACGCCCCACCCCGCCCGCCCCAGTGACTCTTTGGGAACCGAGCCTTTGCCCTAGAGACTAACTGCAGGGATCCTCTTGCTCGTCTGTGGACAGATACAGCACCAATGAAGGGGAGACCTGGAAAACGTTCATCTTCTCCGAGAGGCCGGTGTTCGTGTATGGGCTCCTCACGGAACCCGGCGAGAAGAGCACCGTCTTCACCATCTTCGGCTCCAGCAAGGAGAACGCCCACAGCTGGCTGATCTTCCAGCTCAACGCCACGAATGCCTTGGGTAAGCCGCTGCCTCCTTGGCCTTTTTGTGGAGACATTCGCTGACCGGAGCACCCGCGTAGGCCCTCCGTACCGCGCGGAGTTTGTAGCCACGCAAGCAGCAGCACACGCGTACGCCGAGTGACGGGGACATGTGAAGACAGCGACTCGGGCCATTCTTGGGAGGACGGAGGAGAGTTGCGACTCCGCATCTTCCTTCCTCCCCCGTCCTCCCTGCAGCCCTGCTCTTTCCTCCTCCTCCTGCCTGGGCTCTCATCCTTCCGACTGACCGAAGTGTTCCCCTTGCTCCCCGTTCAGTTTCCGCTGGTTGAAGTCCTTCCCCTGCTTCAGGATCCAGTGCACTTGGCTGCTAAAAGTCCCACCAGGGGACCTTTCCCCTCGTCTCTGGGTCCAGAGCATAAGCCTACACCTCACGCCCTGAATTCTGCACTTGTGTGTGTCGCCCTGTTTGCATCATCCCCCATCAACTAGGTGATAAGGTCCTCGGAAATAGGAACCTGTCCCGCACGTGTGTTTTCCACCCGCTGAACAGCCGGGGAGCCTTACAGCCGGGGTTTAGAAAGTCCTCGCTGATGGGAATGGTGACGAGCTGACAGCTTTGCACCGGTTCCAGGCAGCCTGTCATCCGTGGGAAGACACAGCTGTAAAGAAGACAGGGAGTACCACTGTAGACATAGGCATACTTTGGATTCCTGTGGGAACCACTCTACCTAGATTCCAAGTGAATGCGGGTAGGCTGAGGGATCATCCAGGCTATTTCACCATTTCTCAGCCTCCTTCCGTGACGACTCTGTACCTTCCCAGTAGTGACAGCAAATTGTCTATTGCTCTCTCGGGTCATTGCTTCTGGGCATGCCCACCCTGCCCCCGGCCCCCCCATCCCTCCAGAGGTGGGCGGGGAACCATACTCCCGAAGGACACCATCTATCTCTCCAGGATCCAGCCTGACCCTAACTCCCTGGGGGACAGGCCCCTCGATACGTACTTCTGGAGGCAACTGCAGAATCTGCTAAAATATTTCAGAAGTTTAGATGGTGCCAAACTGGGGCTTGCTTCTTCCCAGCTTTCTCAGAAGAGCATCTGTGTTTCAGGAGGCACCATGTCCATTGGCGTGGGTGCCTCCCTGCCTCAGAGCAAGCAGATTCAAGGCCTGGGATAGCACCAGAGGCCCGTGTGCCTGCCAAGCAGCGGGATGCGCCAGAGGCAGGGTCTCGGGGCCAGAGGGCTGGGGCAAACGGGAAAGCCTGCGTGCGTAGGTCTCCCTCAAAGGCTTCCTGCTGTGTTTCCTTTTCCCAGGGGTTCCCTGCACAGAGAACGACTACAAGCTCTGGTCGCCATCGGATGAGCGGGGCAACGAGTGTTTGCTAGGACACAAGACCGTTTTCAAGCGGAGGACTCCCCACGCCACGTGCTTTAACGGAGAAGACTTCGACCGGCCCGTGGTCGTGTCCAACTGCTCTTGCACGCGAGAGGACTATGAGTGGTTGGTTCTTCTTTGCTGCCCCGGGCTTGGGTTGTGACTTCCTCAGCCAGCAGTGTGGCCCACCAGGCTAGGTGGTCCCTTCCCCTGAGCAAAAGAAGGCAGATCATAGGAAGTCAGCATTTATGAAGCATTTTTTTTTTAAGTGCTAGGCACTTTCTACCTAGTTTATTCCATTTTGTTCTTACAGCTATGAAATGAGGGAGAGGTGTTACCCCTGGGGAAGCTGTGCTAGCTGATTTAGGAAGAGATCACCCTGGGATGTATTCCTATGAGGGCAGCTTCAAAATTCCACTGTAGATCACTCCTTTTCCTTAGGGGCCCTATTCTGCAGAAGCGAGGGGATGTCAGTACATACGTATTTGTATATCCCTCTGTCCTGGAGCAGGGTACCCAAGCATGGCTGAGAAAGGAGAAAGCGGAAGAAGCCACAGGTGCACAAATAATATGGCCAGAGGGTGAAAGCCACCGGCGCCTTGGAGGAGGAATGGGTGTTTTTATTGTGGTCATCGGCAGGAAGGAGGAGACTGATGTGTTGCAGGCAAATTGGGAGGTTTGGGGGGACTGCACTGTTTGAGGTGGGCCTTAAGGAAGCACCTGGATCTGTGGACAGGGGTAGTCTGAGACGCGGCAGTCATGGGGGGGGCAGAGGTGGGGAAGTCATTGGCGGTTTGGCTCGGATGCTTTGGAGGTACAAAGTTAGGTCAGGGAGTGGAGCTGAGGCTGATCCGGGAGCGCGGAGACAGAAAGGGTACAGGCCTTATTCTGTAAGCAGGCGGGGGTCTTTGAAGGCTTTTGAGGAGAGTCGGTGATCAGAACAGAGCTTAGCTTGACAAGGAAATTCTAGACCGAAAGCACGTAGGGTCTCGGAGCCCTGAGGCAGGACTTTGAGTCTCTAATCCGCATGCGATCACCCCAGGCGAGGCAGGGCCCTCGGTAGAGCCTGGGTATCAACCTAAGCACGGAACTGATTTCTCAGTAGTTGCCAAGGCACAAGAAAACTGAAGTTTGCTTTGGAAAAGCCACCCTTATCTTGACGAAAGCCAGAAGCCTCTGAGTATGTTCTGGTCCAGAGCTTGGACCAGGGCCTTGGCTCTGGAGGCCCTATGGTCGCTGTGAGCAGCTCCGCGACTGCTCGTGGTAGCACGGAACCAGCCACAGGTGGTGATTGGGGCCATGGCTATGGCCCCATAAAGTTTTCTTTGCGAGAACAGCCAGCTGGGTTTGCCAGCTCCTGCCCTAGACCAGTGCCTCTGAAACTTGAGTGCGCATGTGCCACACCTGGGATCTTGTGAAAATGCCAGCTCTGAGTCTTTTGTTCTGGGGGTCTGTAGCTCTGCGATGTTCTGGCTGATCCTGGTGCTGCTTGTCTATAAACCCCTCCTTCGAACAACGGGGTTTTCGAGGCTACAAGACGTGCATTGCCTTTGGAAGCTCTGTGGTTCCAAGATTATAGCACAGACCCTTCCATTGCAAAACCACGGAGCTGTTTGATGTCCCCAGAGGTGCAGTCGAGTGCCCTTCTTGCCCTGTGCTGCCTTCTGCTCTCCCTTTGGTACTTTCAAATTGTAATTCTAATCAGAGCGCTTTTGCTGGCCCGATGTCCCCCTGACTGCAGAGGCCCTTGATGGAAGAAGTCACAATGCTCTCTTCCTTCCCTCTCGTATCCCCATTAACTACTTCAAAACAAAATGAAGTAAAAAAACATGCGAGAAAATCTAACAACCCTTTGGGTTTTTTTCTTAATGACCACTACTGTGGTTTTTCTCTGAATTTGGCCCCTCTTCTACCAAAACATCAACAAACCAAAACCAGAGGCTGGTGTGCCTTCCTGGTAAACCGGCCTGGCTCCCACTGGCCTGCAGGCTCTCCCCAGCAACCTCACAGAAACCCACTAGGTGCTGAGTCTTTCTTACAGACCAGGAAAACCAGCTGCCCTTGCCCCTCACGGAGTTGGGCTTTCGGCCAAATGAGATCGTGAGGACGATGAACCAAGGCCTGTGTTTGTGTAGTTGCTAGAAAGGAGCTGGCTGGACCGTGTGGCTCTTAGAAATGTTTGGTGACCTTGGACTGTGGCAGTGAGGAAGGAGATGGTCTGAAAGTCAGCAGCGGCGGGGAGTGGGGGGTGAGAATGAGGGAGCTTCTAGTCTCTGTGCGTTAGTTCAGCTCCTGAGGGACAGCTGCATTGGAAAATCTGGTTGCTATTGACGGTCCTTTCTGGCCTCTCTGGGAAGCCCAGCACCTGGCCCATATGTTCCCTGATTTCAGAGGGAGAGTCTTTCAGAAGCCGCCCTTGACCCTTCAGTGAGTGTCTATTCACGGCCTGTTAGGTCATGACCTACAGATTGAGGAAACCTTCCTGAGAACGGGTGCTTTGGCGTTGGAGGCAAATAAATAATTAGCTAAAGCTCCAGCTGGCCCCCAAAAAGATTTTAAGCAGCCATTCGGTAAAAATTACCTAATTATTGCCTACAGCAATAAAACTCTCCCTTCTGAAAAATTCCTACAAATTGCTAAATGTGGATTATGACACAATAAACAACATTTAGCCTTGTACCTGTTGGTCTTTCATGGAGAAGGTGTTAAAAAAGTATTCATTGGACTGAACAGAGCAAATGAAGCCTTTTGAATAGAACACATCAATGTGGAAAATCCCTCTGAATTAGAATCGAAGTTTTGGGCAGGGCTTCGGGAATTAGCTAGGGTGATTGCCTGATCTTGGGATTGTTGGATGCAGCCCAGACAAGTCGTGCAGGGAAGGGTAGAGCTGGGACTACACCTCTTCTGCCTGATGGGTGTTTTGGCAGAGATATGTGACCCCCAAACTGTGAATGTTCTCATGGACCAAAGCACTGTGTCCCGAAGTGCAGGGACACAGAGTGATTTTAGGTAGTACATGGGCATGGTCTTAAATAACATTGAATCTTTTAATTTAAAAAAGGATTATTCTTTTAAATTTCCTTTTTAATTCTCCGACTCACATCAAGGAGAAAGGATCATGGGTGCTAGTAACTTTTTAATATTTTCTAATCCCTCTTTTTAAAGATTTTATTTATTTTAGAGACAGTGAGCATGAGTAGGAGGGGCAGAAAGAGAGAGAGGGAGAGGCAGAGAATCTCAAGCAGACTCTGTGCTGAGCAGGGAGCCTGATACAGGGCTCCATCCCAGGACCCTGAGATCATGACCTGAACCAAAACCAAAAGTCAGATGCCTAACTGACTACACAACCCAGGGGCCTCCATTTCCTAATCCCTACATTTCTTTTTAATTTTAAAAAATATTAATTTATTTGACAGAGTGAGAGAGCACAATCAGGGGAAGCAGCAGGCAGAGGCAGAGAGAGAGGGAGAAGCAGGCTCCCCCTGAGCAGGGAGCCCGATGCGGGGCTCGATCCCAGGACCCTGGGATCGTGACCCGAGCCGAAGGCAGAGGCTTAACCCACCGAGCCACCCAGGCACCCCCGTTTCCTAATCTCTCTTAAGAAGGACCAGGCAGACCTAGAGTCTTTGGGTAGGGAATTGGATCCAGCTAAAAAATTTAATATTATTTTGGTTTTTGGTAATAATGATTTTTATTGTTTTTGTCTTGTTTTTGGCATATGATTGTGGTTTTCCAATCATGGTTCAGATGTAAAGTTTCTTTTGAAAATGCGTTAACATAAAAAGGTGAGTGTTCTTTAAAGGGACATATTAAGTAACTGACATTAAAGCAGGGGGCGCTATGGGAGAAGTCATAAGGGTTGGTACTGACATGCCCCAAGTTTGTAAACCAATGGCCCTAACGAGCCCCAATTGCTTTTTTAGTGACTTCGGCTTCAAGATGAGTGAAGATTTGTTCTTAGAGGTGTGTGTTCCTGATCCGGAGTTTTCTGGGAAGTCCTACTCTCCTCCCGTGCCGTGTCCTGTGGGTTCTACTTACAGGAGAACAAGAGGGTATGTCTCACAACAGTCGCCATGGCCGGGGACACGAGGAGTCTGCACTGGGTTTGAGAGTAGAGAGGGCCACTGGGTTCTTTTCCTACTCCCAAGTGCTTGGATTCCAAGCTTGCAGGTCTCAGGGTGCTTGGGCAATATTTGGAATTAAGATGTTTATAAACTCTTGTACCTTCAGCGAGCAAAATGCAAATCTGTGGACTTCTCTGCAGCTCTGGCTGTGTGTTAAGTTACGAACTTCAGCAAGGATGTGTCTTCATGGGAGTTCATTGGAGAGAGAGATGTACACTCTTGCCCAGGACAGCTTCCCAACTGTGTGGGCTGCCCAGTGTAACTCGAAGCAGGACCAGTTCAGAATGATTACACGTCGTCTTGGCCTATGGGGAAATGAATATTGTCCATGGATGAGAAATAGATTTCCAATTATGGCGACTCAATGACTATTCCTGGTTGTCTCTGACCTCTTGCTCTTGGGGTGGGGGGGTGACAGCTATCGGAAGATTTCTGGGGACACTTGTAGTGGAGGAGACGTTGAAACACGACTGGAAGGAGAACTGGTCCCGTGTCCCTTGGCAGGTAAGAGGTGGCTTCTTGCCTTTGAGTTCTTGAGATTCTCACTATAGCGTCGTCACAGTCCGACCCAGGTCTAGTCTTGTGACTCTTCTTAGTGGAGGAAAGACATGGAAATTACAAGCATCACAGAGCCCCCCTTTTCCCCTAAGCTTGGTAGCCAAACCAAATTTATTTAGAGCCTTATGCTTCTGTAGGAATGGAAAGTATTTTCTGAGGGAAACCCCTTTTGTTTTGAAAAGTGTTTATTCTTCATCTCTCGTATTCTAGGCATGGGCGGGAGGGAGGGGCTTTGGTGATTTACCTCAATCTGTGTGTCAGAGCTGAACATAAAGAGCCTTGTGGCTTCTGGGGACGTAGCTAAGTGGCGTGTCTTAATTTTTATAGTAATAAGTGCCATGAATATTTAAGCAGAATTTCACACGTCTTAATGTGCTCTTTCCATGTGTTGTCATTTTAATCCTTCTCACTACCTCGTGGAGCAGATCCTGTCCTAAGCTCCGTTAAAAAAGATAAAAAAATAAAAAAGCACGTTCAGAGGAGAGGGTCAATGCCCCTGTCGAAGGTCACACACCCGCTAAGTGGCAGAGCTCAGATGCAGACTCTCCAGCCTCGTGCTCTTCCTTGGATGTCGCCCGAGTCGCCAATGAGTGTCGTTCCCATCACGTCAGGGAATCATTATGCAAATCATTAGGAAACACTTCTTTGGAGTGAGTGCACCTGCTGTAAAGGGAGAGTGTGGTCCAGACATGCTTTTGAGTTGAGTGAGCGGTGGCGGCACAGGTGGTGCATGGAAAGGATCTGCAGTCTAGTCTCGAAATGATGATACCCTCGCAAATAGTTCATCTCTTAGCACCTTTCCTTTCCGGCTCTGTTTTGAGTACTTACTCGTGCAGAACCTCCTTATTCCCTGGGAACCCTTCCTCCTGCTCTGACCTCTCGGGGAAGGTGGATGGTCGGCGCACGCTTGCAGCCGTGGCGTCTGATGGAACAGCCGTTGGCGCCCACTGGGTGGCGAGAAGCACGTGGTCCTCCGCCAGCGGGGCAGCACGCCCCCTCGTTCGCTTGCCAGCGTGCCCCGGTGTTTTTCATGCTAAGCTCATTAGCCCTTTAATTTAATCTTCCATCATTAACAGAGTAATTAACATCCCTCACTGTGGAGACTTCAAAAAAAACACGGTTTCAGCAGATTCCTGCAGATGAGCAGATAATACTCGAATACGCTCCTCACGAGGGCTGTTACTGATGAGGGCTTGGGTGAGCAGGGTTTGAGTGATTGCTCGTAAGGGCTGGAGTACATGCTTTTGTAATAAACATTTCTGGAGATAATTCAGTGAGGGGCAAAAACAGTTTGTTTAAAGCTGTCTCAACTGGTAGGAGAGCTATTTTCTTTTCTGAGAGGAGAAAAATAGAGCAGGGAACAAAGTAGAAGAATCACATTTGCCGTGTAAGGCCACCTCCTAAATGTTTAAAAAAAAAAAAAAGTGGCACAGAGAGCAAGGGTATCCTGCAAAAAGAAAAGATTTCCTAGAGCTGATGGGAACCAAAGCCTCTTTGCAAAGAGGAGGTTGTCGGGGCATCTGGAAGGACTTTTAAAAATGAAGTCATCCTTCCTTTTTGATGACTGTAATAACACAGATGTCCAGGCGGTTCTCAGGGAGGGCTGGGATTGGCCAAGAATTGTGTTCTCCTAAGTTGAGTCTTGGACACGGACAAGCAGAATGTTCCTCTGTATCTAATCCTAAGGCAGGTCTTTCTGGATCCAGGCTCTGCTGTAAAGGCATCAGTTGGTTGGGAGAAAAACGGAAGCCACAGAATGGGGTTTGTGGACGTTAGAGAGATGGGAGGCTGGCAGGTGTGAGGATAACCTCTGTGGCCCTCCGTGGCAGCTTTGATGAGAGTCCTTGGTTTCTGTTAGGTTTCATCTTAACGATCCCCTTCCCTGGGAAGTACGGTGGGAAGCTCCTCTTAAAAATCAGAAGAAGAGAGCGGTTACCACGTGGTGGAGGCTTAGACACTTTGGAAGTGCAGTGAGACCAAAGGGAAAGAAGGCAAACGTACCTTTACTAAAAATTGTAGGTCCATTTATCATTGCGGTGCATTATCTGTGCGGGAGCCCTTGTAAAGTGGGTAGCTAGCGTGCGCATACCCCCTGAATGAGGGGAATGAAGGAGCGGGAGAGAAACGGCCACAGGGCAGGCGTGCAGGGGGGGGCTTCAGGTCCCATAAGCAGCCCTCTGTCAACATGGTTAACAAAGACATGGATGCGGGTGTGTTGCACCTCTCTGTTGCTGTGGAGACAGAGTAAGGACTTGGAATGTTTTCCATGCTATTCCCTAAAGTGGAAGAGAGGGAGCACCACGTCTTTCTGTTACTTGTCTGATATAAGTAACTCTTCTGGGGCGCCTGAGTGGCTCAGTTGTTGAGCGTCTGCCTTCAGCTCAGGTCATGATCCTGGGGTCCTGGGATCGAGCCCTGCATCGGGCTCCTTGCTCAGCAGGAAGCGTGCTTCCCCTTCTTCCCTCACCCTCTGTCCCTGCTTGTGCTTGCTCTCTGGCTATCTCCTTTAGTGAAATAACTAAAATCTTAAAAAAAAAAAAAAAGTAAGCCTTCTTAAGCACTCAGAGCCAATATTTCTGCGTCAGCATTAGCCTCTACATTGCAAGAGGCAGCCTTGTGTAGGGGGTGAAACACAGATTCTGGATCCAGACTGCCTGGGTTCAAGCCTTGGTCCTGCCACTTACCAGTTGTGTGACCTCGGGTATGGCCACCTCTCTGTTTTCTCATTTGTAAAGTGGAGTTCATTGTGGTCCTTCCATGACGCAGTCATTACAGCAGTGAAATGACGCCCGGTGCGTAGTATGGACATTGTGTAGTGTTTGTCAGGAAGAAACAGAACCTTTGAGATGATTACATTGGAAGCATTTTGTTAAGTATTCAGGAATGAATGTATTATTACTGTGTTGAAACTATAATAGGTTAATGTAACTGCTCTGTGTCATTGTGAATAATGTTGGATGGGTGAGCCAGCAGATTAGCTACAAGTCTTCTGCGACGAAGGCTCTCTCCTCAACATGATTATGGTGCCATGTGACACCGTCATGTGACGAGGGAGAACATGCTGAGTGGGGTAATCATTTTGTCATGTGCAACTCTAAAGACCTCTGGGCCAAGCTCAGAATTGTGGATGTTGGAGCATGACTGGGGCCTCTCAATTAAAAAAAAAAAAAATATATATATATATATATATATATATATATATAACAAGTAAGACAGTTTGCAGAGGAGAAAACAGATTTACAGGAGTCGAAGTAACTTGCCCCTCTAGGTGGACACGGGATTCCATTTTTCAGACCTTCTAATCTCGAGTCCTGTGTTCTGCTGGATCTGTGCCGTGTGTCCTTGGCTCCGAGGTGTGTGGGTGAGCAGAAAAGAGGTCAGACATGCTAGGACCTCCTCAGCACCCACTCTGCCCACCCTCTCTCTTGTTTGTCTGTGTCTGTGCAGAGGAGAACGAGTTTATCCTGTACGCCATGCGGAAGTCCATCCACCGCTATGACCTGGCCTCGGGAGCCACAGAGCAGTTGCCTCTCACCGGGCTGCGGGCCGCAGTGGCCCTGGACTTCGACTACGAGCACAACTGCTTATACTGGTCCGACCTGGCCTTGGACACCATCCAGGTGCGTCAGCCCTCGGTCTGCTCATGGGGGTGGTGCCTTGTGACCACCCAATCCCAGTAAGCTTCCTTCAGGACGGTCTCAGGAAATGGATATTAGAAGTTTTAAGTCATAGCTCCTCTCAGGGCCAATGGATGAAACGTTGCATTTTTTTTTTTGTTTGTTTGTTTTAAGATCTCATTTATTTATTTGACAGCAAGAGAGGGGAACACAAGCAGGGGGAGTGGGAGAGGGAGAAGCCGGCTTCTTGCTGGGCAGGGAGCTGGATGCGAGGCTCGATCCCAGGACTCTGGGATCATGACCTGAGCCGAAGGCAGACGCTTAACGACTGAGCCACCCAGGCGCCCCAAAACTTTGTATTCTTGTGTTTCGGTATTTTCTTGGCCTATCTCTGTCGTTGTAGGAAGAACTGAGGGACCCCCAGCTCTGCCCTCTTGCTTGTAAGCAAGGCCTCCCTTTTCCTGCTGGGGAAATTTGAGGACTAGGAGTATAGGATAACTTGTCACTATCCCACCAGCTGCCTCTGAGGCGTCCTCCTTCCTGAGCCATGACACAGGCACCCTTGACTATTGGTGGTTCCCGTAACGACCCACTTCAGCTGTTCTAAACACAGCCAAGAACCAGGAAGTGAGCTATAAAGATCCCTACACAGGCCAGGTAGATAGCCATAGACTCAAGCCCATGCATTTTAAAGGGGAGCTGTTTGATCTGTATTCATTGCCTATTTAATCCTCTTTAGCGAAGCAATTTCAGCAGGTTTTATCTGGAGTTCCAACCCAGCAGACATTTCACAGTGCCTGGGCTTTCGAGGGGCTGGGCCTGGGGGGATGTGGGCAACCGTACAGCATAGCTTGTCCTGGCGACAGCACCTGACAGCCAGGACCCCCCCAGGGAGGACAGTCTAGAGGAGCCGATGCAAAAACTTAAAAATAACAGGAGCCTGGTTTCCTTTCTTTCAAAAGCAGACAGACTCCAGCTTCTCAGTAATCTGCAACCTCGTTATTGGGATACAGCATCGTTCAGTAACCAGCATTCATAACAATAACGCAGAGTAATGCCAATGATTAAGTTCTGTGTAGCTCTTCTACTTGAAACAGGAAGCCATGATATATCTTGGAAAAGCTTTTATTAAAAACCAGCTTTGCTCGTGTGGAAAGTTTACCGACAGAAGGCATCTCATGCCTTGCCAGTCACAGTCAGTGGAGTAGCGGGTTGCCATCCACGGGACTGAGCTGGCACGAGGTCATTCGAGCACTCACGGTCTTTTCTCCCTGCTTCCCCCCTTTAGCGCCTCTGTTTGAACGGGAGCACAGGGCAAGAGGTGATCATCAATTCTGGCCTGGAAACCGTAGAAGCCTTGGCTTTCGAGCCCCTCAGCCAGTTACTTTATTGGGTGGACTCTGGCTTTAAAAAGATTGAGGTAGGTATATCCCATGCTGTCCTTAATGAAGCGAGCGGGGGTGGGGGGGGTACATGGGCTTTGAGCCAGGTTAGGCACAGGAGGCGGAGCCAGTGTGTCCGACTTCTCTGGAAGTCCTTGGAGAATTCCAGAGGCTGGACCAGCGGAGCCTCCAGCAAGGGAAGAAAAGGGGGATAGTTTCAGAGTTCTTGCTCGTTGTCCTGAGGGTCCCGCATGAGAACAGGATGTCTGAACCCAAGCAGAGATTTCATTAAGATGCCCTGAGCGGTTCTGTTTTGGCTAGTTGAGGCGCGTGGTGGTAACAATGACTATAATTACATAACACCATAGCACGAGTGTAGTGCTGTATTATCAGTGCTCTAGTATTATTGGAGTTGATTAGAGTAATTAAGACGATATCATGATCATGATTATGATTATTGATGACAACGAGCACTTACTTTGTGCCAAGCCCGGTGGGAAGCCCTTGGCTTGAATTATTGGATTCAGTTCTCACAACAGCCCTGCTAACAGTGCTCTGATTCTCCCACTTGATTTATCTGCCCCTTAGCGACCTGACGCAGCGTGAGAGGAAGACAGGGCCTCTCCAACACCAAAGTCATGGTGTCATAGGCACACTCGCCTCTGGGAAGGCACTGCTGAGCCCCTGGGACATTGTGTCCATCCCTCTTTGTACTGAGTAGAGGGAGGCATGGTGTATGGGTTACACGTGGGACGCTCAGTAGAGGCAAGGAGGCACCATCAGGAGAAGTCACAAAGACAGACCCCAAAGTTGGGAGCCAGACCTGGGTTCAGTCTTCATTCCGGTAGCTTAAGTGTGTTGGGCAAGTTTCTTATCCCCTGAAGCTTCAGTTCTGAGTCTGTGAGGCAGAAGTTCATTGATCCACACCGTCGTTGCAAGGGGGCTCTTTCTTGCATGGTGCTTGCCAGGTGTGGTTCAAGGCTGTGAGGATACAGACATAGGTGAGACACTCAAGTTCCTGTTCTGAGAGAGAGGAGATGATAGTAGAGGAGGCAAACTGAGGAAGACCTACGTCCGTTGGTTGTGTCAGCGATGAGTCCTAGAGAGACTCTCTAACGGGCAGTGTGACCGTGTGACTGCAGAGGGGGGCAGCGTTATACAAGGTGCGCAGGAAGGCCTTTGGGATGTGACATCCGAGCCAAGGACATTCTGTGTCCCCCTCACAGTGCGGTTGAGGAAAGCGAGTGAAAAGACCCACGGTGCCTGACACGTACCGAGTGCAGCGCTGGTGGTCTTGTTATTCTCGTTTCCTTCCTTCCTTCCTTTAACCGTGTGTGGTCAGCACTCTGCCAGGTGCTGGAGGGATGCTGGAGAGCGTGCATGTGCACGTGCTCATAGCATACAACACGGGTACTGTTTGTGGGAAATGGTAAGACGAGTCACCGGCAAGAACTGTAGATGCTCGTTGAGGAAGGCTCGTCAGAAGAGTTAGCCGAGGAGCCGGGCCTGGAGGGGCCTTCTGAAGGAGAGAGGTTCGGAAAGAGAGATGCGATTTGATTACAGAGCAAAGGACAGGCCCGGGAGTGGGTATGGCGCGAGTAGAGGGATGAGGAGGGGTATGTCAGGCTTAGAGAGCCATGAGAAGGCCAGCCTCCCCAAAGTTGTAGGGGCTGAAGTGGACGAGACCGAGCATGGAGGAGAGAGACTTAGAAGTCCGTGGAGATTCTTAATTGGAAGGCTGGGACGTTGCGTGTTTGCTTTGTGGACAGTGTGGAGCCATTGGTGGCTTTGGAGCATGGAGCAACATAGGTGGGTTCAGTCAGTCATACGTACTGAGTACTTTGTGCAGACCTGTCCTCGTGCCCCCAGAACCGTGGCACGGGCAGCAGCACTGCTGTCAGACCATGTAAGAATTGTCGCAGGAGCCCAAGGAGGGAACGGCTCATTCTGACCGGAAGTCAGGGCAGGTTTCCCAGGTGAGCCTGCAGGGGTATCTGGCAGCCGGAGAGGCGCGTGTCCGGAGGTGGCAGCCCAGCAGGAAATGTGAGGTGGGCTTTCAAGGAGTTCAGATCCATCCTGGCCTCCCCTCCGGCCCCTCCCCTCTCCTTTTTCTATCAGGTAGCCAATCCAGATGGCGACTTCCGGCTCACGATCGTCAACGCCTCCGTGCTCGACCGGCCCAGGGCTCTGGTCCTCCTGCCCCAAGACGGGTGAGTGTGGCCCCAGAGGAAATCAGCGTGTGGCCGATGTCGCAACGGACAGATGCTCGTGGGAACGCAGACTGTCGGACACAGGCTTGGTCTCTGATGATGGCGGTTGAAGTAGTCTGGTGACTTTGAGTCTTGAAACTAGAGCTCAGTCATGTTGTCGGTTAACTCCATTCCCTTTTTGGTAGCAAGTCTCAGAGTCTCCACATCCACACGTCTCACGTCTGGGGGGTGTTTCTCCTACGAAAGGTGTTATTGAAAGTCTCTCCACAGACATAGCGTAGTTGGGCCTGGTTGGATAGTGTAAGGATTCTTTATCTCGAGTTGGGCGCATGATGCAAGCATATGATCCCTTCCATCTCCAACCTGCCTGCAAACCCCCCCCCACCGCCCACCCCAGCTTGGGTGGGTTTTCTTACTAGTGATTTATATGTACCTGGGAAATGCAAAGGTGCTTTTTATCAATTTCTTAACTGAAGGAAACATAGCTGAAAGGAAATTCTGAGTTAGGCTTTCTATCCTTCTAGTATTTATGATAGAGAATTAGATCTTTTTAAAATTTTTTAAATTTATATATATATATATTTTAAGATTATTTATTTATTTATTTGACAGACAGAGATCAAAAGCAGGCAGAGAGAGAGAGAAGCAGGCTCCCCGCCAAGCAGAGAACCCGATTTGGGGCTCAATCCCAGGACCCTGAGATCATGACCTGAGGCGAAGGCAGAGGCTTTAACCCACTGAGCCACCCAGGCGGCCCTAGATCTTTTTTTAAAAAGAAAAAATATAGTTGTGCTTCATTAAAAATTACAAGAGAACAGAAGTTTATGAAATGAAAAACAGGGGCGCCTGGGTGGCTCAGTGGGTTAGGGCCTCTGCCTTCAGCTTGGGTCTTGATCCCGGGGTCCTGGGATCGAGCCCCGCATCGGGCTCTCTGCTCATCGGGGAGTCTGCTTCCTCCTCTCTCTGCCTGCCTCTCTGCCTACTTGTGCTCTCTCTCTCAATAAAAATTAAAAAAAAAAAAAGAAATGAAAAACATTTTTTTCCTTCTTTTTCACTCTTAATCCTTCTCCCTCACACTTCCTAGGGGTAATCTTGGTTAGTAATTTCTTATATATCATTCAGAATTCTTTTTTACCCACGTGCAAGCACATAGCCTTAAGACACAGGGACACACACACACATACTCAAGCATCAAATAGAAATGTAGATATGGACTGTTCTGCCTGTTTTCAACACATTTAACGTGGGTTGAAGATGACCTTTTTGTGTGAGCAAACCTGGAAACATGGAGATTTTCAGGCATCAAAATACTCTTTTGTATGTACCATCGTGTTTCATTTTCTCTGTAGATTAACATGTTGGCGTGTATACACATATATCCCCCTTAAAGTGTATGTGTTTTTAAACACACATAACACCAGTGTCATTTTTTTGCTGGTGTGAACAGTGCTTCGATGAATGTCGTGGTATGTTGTCTTGACATAACCTGATTACATCTGTGGATAAATTCCAGCAGAGGAATTTCTGGATCTAGAAATTTGGTGGCGTTAAGTATTATAATTACCTCTTACAATAATCATACTGCTGACCTAACTGGCTCTACGGTTCTGGAGGCTTCTTACCTCCTGGGGTAGCATTTGACTCCCTAGGTCGGATGTGATGTGCGTTCTTCTCCCATTTTGACCAGGGTGATGTTCTGGACCGACTGGGGAGACCTGAAGCCGGGAATCTATCGGAGCAACATGGACGGCTCGGCTGTCCATCGTCTCGTGTCAGAGGATGTGAAATGGCCCAATGGCATCTCTGTGGATGACCAGTGGGTCTACTGGACAGACGCCTACCTGGACTGCATCGAGCGGATCACTTTTGACGGCCAACAGCGCTCCATCATCCTGGACAACCTCCCGCACCCCTACGCCATTGCCGTCTTTAAGGTGGGGCCTCCTTTGCTCCCAGCTTCGGGCAGTCTGGTAGAGCGGGGGAAGAGCTGCCCATGGGTTTTTGCAGAGCTGCTTGTCTGACTGACTTCTAGAAAATCAGCTCCCTTCTGCCTTTGAGGCTGTTGCCTTTAGCTCATCTGGATGGATGTCAGAGTTGGCAGGCATCCGGGCGACTCACTGTTCCTGGTTCAGAAGGTTAAAAGTTGAGGTTGTTTCATAGAAAAATCCCCATTTGCCCCTGAGTGCTGGCAGTTTGGGCTCAGTGTCCTTATCTCTTGCTCAGCTCGTGTCCTGATGGGCTCCGATGGGCTCTGTCCCACCCGTGTGGCCTGCCACTGCTGCTTTGACTCTAGAGAACAGAGTGGTTGGTTTTTCCTGCTACTGGGAAGCAGATTTCGAACTGAAGGGTTGGGCTGTGGTCAAAGTCTATGCTGCTTAGATAGTTTCTGTCGGGCCGTCCAGGCCGTTCCTTCATGGTGGCTCTTGGGTGAGGTCTGGAAGAATCCACTGTCTTGCGTTTCGGTGGAAATCTCGGGCTGATCACTCACCACTGCATGTTAGGTGTCCTCTGTATGGGGGAGCCCTTGTTCGTCCTGAGGGCCCAGGATCGGAGACCCAGGAGCTGGACTGATGAGCAAGGCTTTTCTTTCTAGAACGAGATCTACTGGGATGACTGGTCACAGCTCAGCATCTTCCGAGCTTCCAAATACAGCGGCTCCCAGATGGCGGTTCTCGCGAGTCAGCTCACGGGGCTGATGGACATGAAGATTTTCTACAAGGGCAAGACGACTGGTAAGGCTGCATCGCCGGCGCCATCTCCCTCGCGTGCTGGTCTCCGGGAAGGGGCTGGGTGTGGGCAATCTCCGCTCAGGCGGGAGCTGGCAGCCTGCGTCTTTCTTGTCACGACAACATGCCCATTATTTAATTTCTGCCTAATGACATCTTAATTTCTTTTCTAATGGTACACAAACAGCTGGAAGACAGCATGTTTTCGCCTGCCTAGAGTGTGATCCTTGGTGGGTAATTACACCCTCCTCCTGCCTTTGGCCCCTGACTGATTGGTGGCGTAGCTTCTGCAGCTGGAGAGTCCCAGCGTGCGCTAACTCCCCATTTGGCAACCTCACAGGGAGCTGTGCTGTGCTGAGTCTGATGCCAGTTGCTGCTTCCCGACGGGAGTCCCATCATGTCCTCTGCTTGCCCAGATGACCTGTTGCTCACTGAGCACCTACCTCCTTTCTAATGCGAGGTGTCATCATATGACGCATGGATTCACCTGTCCCCGCCTGAAACTCTTAAACCACACAAAGAAGGAGATGGGTCTTTTTTTTTTTTTTTTCCCCCCCTCTCAACAGTTTGGCCACTGCCTAGCACTGAGTAGGGCTCAGCATTTGTTGAAAGAGGTCATGAAAAGGGACCGGTTGCCAGTGGGTGCAGACAGGAGCTGTCTTAAAGCTTGCTGGGTGAGGCTTCAAGAGCTTCTCCAAGCTTGTGACCCGCTCGCTGGTCCTGGAGACCAAGACTGTGCCGCAGAAAGCCTCCTGCCTCACTTCCTGCCTTCTCCCTCCATGTGCTCCCCCACCGTTGGCTCTACAAGACAGAGAGCAGGATGGTCTGAGAAGAGTAGTCCCTTTAAGAAGTACCCTGTTTATCGCAGTGGGATTAAATAGCACCCTGGGGTCGGCTGACTTGTCTTTATTGACTGACCAGCTGCTGGGTTTCTGTTTGGCACTAGAATGTTGATGTTGTTTTGTGGGTTTTGGCTGGCGCTGTACTAGGAGAAGATTGACAAAGGGAGAGAATAGGGTTGCAGATAGCATTGTTATTTTGGGGGGACCAGTGAAGATAGCATTAAGAACACCCTTGTGAAATGGTAAAGAATGTTCGAAATGTAAGTCTGCCTTAATGTTCTGTCTTTGCACCGGACCTGTGGTGTGGGCGGGGCTGGTGTCACCATCCATGGTTCACAGATCGGGGAACGGCATCTCAGAGGCCAACGAGCTTTCTCAAAGGTCCCTCGCTAGCTCAGGAGCAGGGCCTTTGTTCCAGTTCTGCCGCTAAACCGAGAAGTCACAGTTTTCTCGGAGGAAGTGCCTGTTTGTTGTTGTTATTTTTTAAAATTTTTTTAATATATATTTTTTAGATTTATTTATTTGACAGAGAGAGACACAGAGAGAAAGGGAACACAAGCAGGGGGAGTGGGAGAGGGAGAAGTAGGCTTCCCACCAAGCAGAGAGCCCGATGTGGGGCTCAATCCCAGGACCCTAGGATCATGACCTGAGCCAAAGGCAGACGCTTAATGACTGAGCCGCCCAGGTGCCCCTATATTATTTGTGTTGTCTCCTCAACACATACAAGACTGCCCATTAATCACATGTATGAGAATAATACACATAACAACCTACGTTTATTAAGGGATCACCGTGTCGGAAGCCCCACACCGATGCGCTTTGTGGGCTCAAATAACCTCCATTCATCTTCCCAAAATCCATGTGTACTGAATACAGTTCCATTTTTGTAGGTGAGGACGTGAAAGTCAGGTTCACGTTTCTACATCACACGTTTAGTAAGTGGTAAGAATTTGAACCATGGCCTAATGGACTTCTGAGCTGGACTTCGAGAAAACTGTTGGGCTCTGCTCCCTTTGTCATCCCACGGGGGAGCAGCCATGCCCTGGCATATGATAGCGATACAGAAGTACTGGATTCTGATGGATTCTTGTTTGTGATAGAAATTTTGTTCACTTGGAACATTTGTCCATTGGGTTACTTGTTTATAAACAGACTCCTCTCTTAATCTTTATGTCTGCTGGATTTTTATGCAGGGTCACTGGGATCTGTTCTTCATAAAGAGTGCTTTTTCTTTAAAGAGCTTCCTTTGCAAGGCTGTCGATATATCCAGGGGGTGTTGCAATGAATGAAAATATTTTGGAGCTCTGGGAGTTGTCCTTCAGACTCGGCAGTAAGCCACGGCTTTTAAGTACCTACAGTGATGGCAGATTCTCAGTGGGGTGGATTTGAGCTTGATAATTCTCAAGTGTAGAGATAGTTAAGCAAAGTAGCACCATTTCTGGCTCCTTAACGGGTTCTGGAGGAATTTTCCAAAAGGAAATCTGAGTGTGTTCTGAATCTGCCCCATGAAGACATCGTGCGGCCGTTTGATCTTCAAAGGGGACGTCTTTGGAGGTGATGACTGTCACTTGTCCACTCTTCACATCTGCCCACCGTGCCCACAGGGTACTGGAGCCTCCTGTATGAAGATTGTGTGGCTATGTTCTGGTGGAATTCTGCTGACTGCTCCTTCCATGCTCACCCAGGTTTTCTGTGGCTTTGTAGCACCCCATAAGCACCTGCCCTGCCTACCTCCTGGGGTCCATGACTCGGTCTGCTCGGTCTGGGGTGTGCCCCTGGTTACAGCCTCTCAGACTGTATACACCTCTGTCCAGACCAGCCTCCTGAAATGCCGCAGCCCGTTTGGGGTTCCGTGCTCGTAGCTTTTGCTTCTTTGGGTGGGAGCATTTCACATGCTCCCCACGTGACAATGTTAGTCATGCTATTTTACAGACCTAGCCCCATGTGAAATTGTCATCCTGTCCCCAAGTATTTTTCAGATACTCTGTTATTGTTCGGTTTCTTGGAACATTAAATGATACGTAGTCCTTTGAATACAGAGAACACGTTCCAGATCCTTTTGGAATTGTTTTCCATTAGCTGCAGCTCTGTGTTCCCCCCCGTAGCCTAGGGCATGTGTCTTCTGAGAAAGGAACAGCCTCTGCCCATGGACCAGATCAGGGAGAATTGATTCTTGGCATTTCTGCTCTCATCAACAGGTTATTCTGCTATGGTAACTCTACCTTTAGAATGGGTTGAATTATTTGTAGAAACTTCTGAATGTTTCCTCGTACGGATTCTTGTCTGTGGGTGTGTGTACTTCATGTCTTTGGGAATTCTTCATACTCTCTGGTCTTTAGCATTGAAACAACATTGTTGCTGCATTACTGCCGTTTTATTTTTATTTTTTATAAGATTTTATTTATTTTAAAGAGAGAGAGCGTGCGTGAGTGTGCCCATGCCTGAGCTGGACGGGGGCAGAGGGAGAGAGAAAGACTCCCCAGCAGACTCTGTGCTGAGCACGGAGCCTGACGCGGGCCTTGATCTCACCACCCTGAGGTCATGACCTGGGCCCCAATCAAGAGTCAGACACTTAACCACTGAGTCACCCAGGTGCACCTGCAATTTTTAGTTTATGTGTATGCCAGTTGAACTCTGATGAAGTGCCAGCCCATCCAGAGCTACTGCGGGAATGGTCACCCATATCAATACTGATTGTCATTAATGGACCCTGTTTTCCAACCTGCATTTCGGTGTAGGTATGACACAGCTAAAATCTTGGCTGGTTGGAAGCAGGTGGCTTGGATGTGACTTGCGGGGACGGCAGGGGGGTTTCTCTGTCCATGAGATGGCAAAACATTATCAGTCGAGTTTTAGCAAAGTATTTATGTTTATTTTCCCCAGTTTTGATGCCGAGCCGTCACAGCCAAAAGAACAAGCATCCATTTCATGGTTGATGTGGCGTTTATGGTGCTCAGTAGTCACATCGTGTGTCCAGCTGTGACAAAACGGTTTATGCATCCCGTCCCCTCCTTCAAGTAAGGTGTGGGGGTAGGAAGATACCTTTTTCAGCACTGTTCATCCATAAAGGTTCTCTCTCCAGACTATAGTGAAGGATTTTATGGACTTGTATCCGGCCCTTTCTTTGGAAAGCCGAACCAGAGACAAGATTAGAAATAGGGACAGGTCTGCATTTACTAGCCTCATGTGGGTTTATTGTGTGGCTCATAGTGTGAAAGCTGATGAGGGCCCCATGGCTGGGTCTTCGTTCAGCTCGGTGGCTGCGCTCGGGCACTGAAGAAGTGAGAGGCAGAGACCCAGATGTTTGTCCGGGGCCCCGTCATGACTCAGGTGGTTGGCTCCAAATTAAGGGCTGTGGGGTCTTAGGAGCAGAACCCCACTCACGCTAACTCAAGTCAAATGGGCTAATGAAAACATAAAGGGAGATTGTAAGGAACTCAGAGATGGAAAACATAGGTGAGCCTGATGGGGCCTGGTGCTGGGAATGGCCAAGCTGCCCTTTCTCTCTCTCTTTTCCTCTCCCTGGGGGCCCCGGTGTTACCCTTTTCCTCACCTCCGGAAGTCTGCTGTGTTCTCTTGATTCCCTCTCTCTCTCTCTCTTTTTTTTTTTTAAAGATTTTATTTATTTATTTATTTGATAGAGATCACAAGTAGGCAGAGGGGCAGGCAGAGAGAAAGGAGGAAGTGGGCTCCCTGCTGAGCAGAGAGCCTGAGGCGGGGCTCGATCCCAGGACCCTGAGATCATGACCTGAACTGAAGGCAGAGGCTTAACACACTGAGCCACCCAGGCGCCCTCCACTCCCTCTCTTGAGTCTGTTTCTGCTCGTCTGTGCCCTGCATCCCCTTTGACACCTGCACTCTGGGACCAGCTCCCAGGTCCAGCTCCCCAGTGACTCTGTGGTTCCTCGCTAGCCCCATTCCGAATTCCCAGGACGCGTGGCTGATGCCTGGCCTGGTTCCAGGGCAGCCTCTTGGGCTGGAGACCCTGCATGGCGTGTCCCCTATCTGGGCTCTGAGCAGAGGTGGTCGCCATACCCTTTTTGTCTTTCCAGGCTTTGTTCACACTGTCCAGTCTGTAAAAGGAGGGGGTGGTCTTGGATTTCAGTCCCCCGTCCGGGGTCTCCCCGGTCCCGATTAACCTGGATGTGGCCGCTGTTTGTCTTCTCCCCAGGAAGCAATGCCTGCGTGTCCAGGCCATGCAGCCTGCTGTGCTTGCCCAAAGCCAACAATAGTAAAAGCTGCAGGTGTCCAGAGGGCGTGGCCAGCAGCATCCTCCCATCCGGGGACCTGATGTGTGAGTGCCCTCAAGGCTACCAGCGGGAGAACGACACCTGCCTCAAAGAAGGTGGGTCCCAGTCATCTTTTCTGCCCGCTGGCCTCCCCCACTTCTTCCCTCCCCTCGCCCCGCGCTCTCTGTTCCCCTCTCTGTTCCCCGTGGGTTTGGGTGATTGAAATGCCCTCGGTAAAAATCAAATCCGCTAGATCCTTTAAGACACATCCTGGTCCGGGTTCTGAGGCCTGTGCTCCTCAGTCCTCATTGGGAACAGCCCTGCATGGTTTGTATAAACAATAACTGTGCTTTTGGTTTTCCTGTCAGATGACACAGGCCTTCCTCGATGTCCCCTTTTTGTCTCCTCACCCATCCCTTGTCCTTGCTTCCTGTAAGTTGGGACCAAGCCCGACTTGGAGAAAGGACTGGTGGGACTGTATAGGCTTTTCGAGGCTCATGCAGTGGTTCTCCCTCACCCCCCACCCCTGCCAGCCTGGAAACGTCCAGAACATTGGGAACAATGTTATAGACTCTGAGGCTTCACCTCACGCTGTGACCAAGTGGCCGTAGCAGCCTCATCCACTCTTCCTTTGAATTTAAATACATGGATTCTAAAATTTTTCCTCAGAACCTGTCTTGATCTTTCTTTCCCGTCTGATTTATGTTCCCAGCCTGGTGTTACTGTGAGGTGAACCTCTGGAAGAAGGGCCCTGCCAGGAAGCACCCACATCCTTGCCTTTTTTTTTTTTTTTTTTTTTTTTTTTAATTCTCACAGTTATATTGGCTTTGGAATCGCAACCTCCCTCCTCATAGAAGCCTCTTAGTCCTAGGGGGTGGGCACACAAAGGAGCCCTGTGGTCCCTTTTCCTATAAGAAATACACATGGAGAAAGGCTCACCCTTCCTTTCGTAGACACAGGAGAGTCTCGTTCAGGCTCCAGACACCATCTTAAAGCTATTCACAAAGAAAAAGTGTTAACAATTAAGTTAGAGAACAGCTTTTCAATATTTTCTTTCAGAATGCTTTTGGTGACCCAAACAAGAGGCCAGCCTTCATGTGTTCTTGTCTTGGTTTACTAAACAATGCATTTTTTTTTTTCCCGTGTGTCATGAGTGGAATAAGGTCCTCAGAGTATTATGTATCCTTTGTCATCTACTTGGCTGAAAAATGGAATATATGTGGATACAATGGTTGTATATACAAAAATACATATAGGTACAGATCTGTGGAACATGTATGTTTTCGTACTGTGTAGATAGAGCCCCTTAAGCAGTTCTTTGTATAATTAGTGTTTTATGACGGCGATGTTTGGTATCGACCCATTGGACCCAACTGGCACCATTGCCGTTACCACCATTATAAACACCCCCAACACCGATCCAGCTGGCCTCTTGTCCTTTAGTTATAATTAAGAGAGGAAGGGAGGAGGTCTCTGTTGTACGCTCCCGTGTGCAGGTGTGCTTGGCACCATTTTCCTCTTTACCACGTAAGGCATGGTATTTGAGGAAGAGAAATGGAAACTCAGTGAAAAGTGAAAGTCTCGCGGTCTGGCTGTAAGAATAATACGGGTCTCGTCCCTCCCCCCCGCCCCCCTCCGCTGTCCAGAGAACACCTGTCTCGGGAACCAGTATCGTTGCGGCAACGGGAACTGTATCAACAGCATTTGGTGGTGTGACTTTGACAATGACTGCGGTGACATGAGCGACGAGAGAAACTGCCGTGAGTCTTCCTGGCTTGGCCGGGCTTTCGGGACAGGGCGCACGGACTGTACTCGGAAGGCGGGCCAGCCAGCTCTGCCCAGGCTGGGGGGGGGGCCTGCAGCCTGGGGTGCCCACCCGTGACTGGTGATGCCCATGCCGGCTGATGGGGCTCAGAGACCAGAGAAGACACATAGATAATAGGTTGTTATTGAAAACCCAGCCCCACCAGTAAGGGAACTGCTCATTCCAGAGGGTTGACCGGTCAGCGTCTCTCCGCTGGAACTGAGCTGACTGCACAGTGGGGGAGTCTGGGCTCTCATTGTGGCTTTACCACCGTGACAAAGGTGGTGACCAGGCGACATCCCGTGGTCTGTAAATTCAGCCTTTTCGGAGATGGGAAATGGGTTTCATTCCAGTCAGCAGCTCTTGGCTGCCCTCCGGTCTCCAGAGAGACGGTTCTCCCTGACTGGGGATGCCTCGTCAGGCCTGAAATGTGGGGACGTTGATCTGTGCACATGGAAACATCATCTTGGGCTGTGCGCTTTCTGAGGGGCATTACCGAGGCACGGGTTTAAAGACAAATAACTACTTACGATGAGCAGACTTATTTACTGCAAGGTTTTCATTTTTGATAGCTTTGACATTATCTTCCAAGAAGGCGCTTGGCCCTCGGACCATGAGTAGTACGTTCCTACATTCGCTCAGCAAGTAGTTGTTGAGGACTCCTTTGGGCTAGACACTGTGTGCGGCCTGGGGTACCGGGTGATGAGTTGAACACGGAGTTAACTCCGTAGGGGAGTAGGGAGAGTGGAGACGTGGTTACGGTAGAGCTGTAATGGGGAGGCGCCCTATGCATCCGGGAAGAGCGCACAACTCAGACTCAGGTTGGTATTTATGGGGAACCCTGAAAGGTGGGCAGGGCGGAACCAAGCAGAGGTGGAGGGAGCATGGCTGTCGGCAGGAGAACAGCAGGTGTGAAAGCCCAGAGGTCAGAGCGTGTGCGGCATGGTTAGGAAGCTGGTGCGGCTCATTGTTGACGTGACTATGGAAGCTGTGGGGCAGGGGGCAGACGGGCTCGTGACGGGGCCCAGGGCAGCAAGTGCCTGTGGGCTTTCTTCAGAAGAGCCGCTGGGAACCGCGGAAATAACATGATAAGATTTTTGTCTTTGGAAAGATAAGCTGTGGGCAGAAGGCACTGGATGGGAGGAAGACCAGAAGCAGGGAAGCCAGAAACCACTGTGAAGGCTTCTCTTGCAAATATTTTCCCATTGGAAAGCCAGAAGCTCATTTACCCTTTTGGGCTTTGAGAAGAGTGGGTGATGCCTGGCTCCGGGGTGGACATATGTCGGCAGCCGTCTGTGGGGTCTGTGCCTGGTTCCCACGCCCTACTCTCCCTCCCCCGCCCCAGCCAGAAAGCAAGCTTAGCAGTCGACTCCCTGAACTCACCTGGTCCCAGCAAACCTCTGTGCTGGCCTTGCTGGTGCTTGGGACGTTATTTAACTAACACTTTCTTAATCATTTCTCCTTGGTTTCCGTGGAGCAGGGAGATGAGCTCACTACTGAATGGCAGAGCTGGAGAAGCGTTAGACCGTCTCTGTTTTCTTCTCTGCCAAAAGGACACTGATACAACCTTCTCTACCTACCAGGGTCTCAGGAGAGGGCGCTATTTGTGGGGGAAGAGCCAAAGCTCGTAAAAACAATAAATATCAACAACGCTGGACCCGAGCCTGGAAAGGACTTCTTACATAATGGGGTGGGAGAGGAGATGCTTCTTAGAATTAACACCTTGCTGTGGAGATTGTCCAGACATGATTAGGTTTAGTGGAAGCAGACAGATGTAAACTAGATGACCTTGTGTCCGATCTACGGGGATTCCATGCGGGGGCTTTGGGTTCCACTAGGTGACAAGCTGAGATCTTGTACCAGTTCAGTGTTCTGAGAGAGGGAGCTCCCTCCATCTTCAGGAGGGACGCCCTCTCCCTGCATCCCCTAGCCCTGGAGCTCAGCGCCGGCCTCACAGGCTTCCACACACCGTTCACACTCCTCCTCTGGGTCAAGTGTGCAGCTGGCACTGACCTCCTCGTCGTCTGGTGTCAGCGTCCGCTGGGATCGACCTTCCCCGGGACCATGGGACCGTGGAACTTGCTCGCTGCTCTGCTCTCTCTCTATTCATTCCACTTGGCAGGGGGGAGGTGGTGAGGTGGGGTGCAGGGGTCACAACGTGGAGCCTGGGAACCAGAGAGGGTGCCTGACTGTGCTTGCATGAGTGGCTCCCTTATCGAGGAGGATGAGAGTTGTGGTTATCCTGATGGTGGAGGCGCCCCGTCCGTGGGCAGGGCTGCAGGGAAGGGACAGGCCGCTACAGGGCGCTGCTGCTGTCTGGGCAGCTAATCGCAGCATCCCCATCAGCTGCAGGGGAGGAGAAGGGGAGTGGCGACCGGGGAGCCGGGGAGGGCTGTTGTCAGCTCATCTCCCTCCCGCGCGCACAGACTCCTGCGCTGGGAACTTGTCAGGCGCTCTGGGTTTTGACGGGAAGCCCCTGCGGCCTTGTCATTTTTGTATTCATCCTCTGCCTCCCACCATGAGCTCAATTACAGAGAAGAAATGGAGCCTCAAATAAGAGCCGCTGGGATGTCTGAGTGTATAGCGTTGCCCTTGGCTTTTTATTTCCTGGCACACCGCTGCTCCCCCACCCCCGGATCCTGTTCTGTCATGTTGTACCTCATGTGTCAGCCGCTCCCAAGCGCGGCCTTCCTCCCCAAAGCCTCGCCTCGAGGGTCTTTTGCTGGGTTCTAGGGGTTGTGCTTCCCCCCAACCCCAGATGATTTCCGTTTAGAAGAAGGAGAAGGATCTGTGTCTCTACTCATTCTGGTGCAGGAGGGCAGAGGAAGGACAAGGAAGAGACATGACATTGGTTTGGAGCTATTCCGTTTTGCAGCCCATGTCATGGCTCTGGTCCCAAACCGATTTGCTTATTTACGTTCATAATACTGCCTCGGCGTAGGTGTTCTGTTATCTCCGTTTTACAGTAGAGAAAACAGAGGCGCACATCAGTTAGGTTACATAAGCTATAGAATTGAGATCTGTATCTAGTCTTTCTGTCATCACAGCACTTGGCCACCTGACTTTAACCTCCTCCTGCTGTGCAGGAAGCAGGCCCGAGGGGGTTCAAGTTAATTGCTTGAGGCAGAGTCAGAGCCAGGATCTGAAACCCAGTCCTGCCTGACGACAGGGCCCAGGTGCCCACTGCAGAATTCTTGCCCGACGCTTCCTGTGTCATCAATATGAGGAGCACGTGGGACTGGGCTTCTCCGTGGTCGTTGTCTGGACGAAGGTATCTTTGCTGCTGACTTAGAGGCCGTAGGAGGTGATCCAGCCCATCAGTCTCTCTCCCAGCTGAGGGCAGTTTCTTACCCTCCCAGCCCGCTGCCCATCTGGAAGCTGTCCTGCCCTTCTCTCCCTTGCTTGTAAATGTCAGGTTCTCACGGGACTGATTTTTTTTTTTTTTTTTTTTTGTCGCTGCAATTCAGGTCTGCTTCCTTCTCTGTTTCAATTCGTTTTCCACGGGGGCAGGGGGGCGGTGTTGGCCAGGGAATAAATTGTCCCTCATGAGTATGTCATCTCTTCCCTTGTAGCGACTACCGTCTGTGATCTGGACACCCAGTTCCGCTGCCAGGAGTCTGGGACCTGCATCCCACTCTCCTACAAATGTGACCTTGAGGATGACTGTGGTGACAACAGCGATGAAAGTCACTGTGGTAAGGGGACATGATGTCCAGGAACCCCACTCCTGAGTGGGGCAGCGCCCTTGCTCATGGGGCTTTTGTGTGCTGCAGATGGAGAGTTTCTGGAAGTGTCCTGGTTTTTCTTTCTTTCTTTCTTTGAGGGAGAGAATGCACTTGTGTGCGCAGGTGGTGGGGGGAGGGGAGACACAGGAGAGGGGAGGGGCAGAGGGAGAGAGAGAACACACGAGAATCCTAAGTAGGTTCCTTGCTGAGCACAGAGCCCAAAGCAGGGCTCCATCCCAGGACACCGATATCATGACCTGAACCGAAACCAGTAGTTGGACGCTTAAACAACAGCCACCCAGTCGCCCCCATCAGGGTTTCTGATACCCAGCTGTGTGACCCTGATGAGATAGGGAGATTTCTGACTAAACACAGGCAGTTAATAACAGCTCTATGCGGCACAGACTTGGCCCATGTCTGGGTGGCTATGAGATTAGCCTACTGAAGACACAGATCTATACCTTTGTGAACGTTGTGTTTTTTGTTTTTTAAACCAGTCTAATTCAGTAAACTGTTGGAAGCCAGCAGATGGTACAAACGTTGTTCGAACATCTGTTTTCTGAATGGAAATTTTTATGTTTAGAAAAATAGTGTGTTGGAATTGCCAGGAGTGATTGGGGTTCTCTAGCTCAGCCCTCTTGATTTCCAATTAAATGACTGAAGGGACTTACTCAAGGTGACACTCTTAGTTTGTGTCAGGATATGGACCCGGAGCCTGTGGTTCCCCCCTCCTCGCTGCCGCCCCTGGCCCTGCCCAGTACGGAAGGCCTGTTGTCAGGAGTGGCTCTGGTACCACACTCAGTATTGCTGGCCATCCAAGGAGGAAACATCCTGCGGTGCTCGTAGCACACCAGACCGAAGGAGTCCTGACTGAGAAGGGGAAGTGAGAACAGGGCCAGGCGCCGACCCAGACAGCGTGATGAGTTCGTGGCTCTCCCTGCCCACCCACGGGTCAGGTTGCGCACCTTCCACGCACATGTTTACGGATGGGACCTGCCTTTTGACAGGGTTTGCCGTTTGACCCCAGGGACCGAAATGAGGGGGGCAAGGGAAATGCCCTTTGGCTGGCTCTTAGAGGAATTTTGTGTGTATGGGGGTCCCCTCATTTTCCCTTATCTTTGTAAAGATAGAAAGTTCTGGAAGGGAGTCTTTGGGATTCAGTGCTGCTTTCTCTGCATTCCTCCCACTCCCTCCTTAGCTCCTGCACAGAGTTGAAGGGCACAGCTTCGTAGGAAGGAGAGTCCAGCATCAGATTCCTTGTTCACAGTCTGTTTGTGCTAATGTCTCCCGAATCCATCTCAGGGTCTCAGTCCCGGATATCCTCAGAGCCAGGTCCTCATAAGTCTCCAGACTGTTTCCCCACCAATATCTGAATTTCCAACTTCACCATCAATCCGAACGACTCAACTCAGGGAGCCACCCTGGGCTCCAGGCTTGGCTACCCCTTTTACAATTCCATTTGACTGAGATTCCCAGGGTCTAGAAAGATGTTGCCGGTGTAACCTGCTTGCAGGTCTTGGGCAGGCTGCGTGGGTTCATTTGCCTCAGGACCTCACCTTTCTAGAGAGAGCCAGCCAGCCAGCGTCCCTGGAGCTCTGCCCGCAGAAGGGCCCCAGTTTCCTCTCTGTTGGGAGCTCAGCACTTATCTTCACTTTCCCCGATCTGAGCATCTCAAACCGATTGGCTCCCTTGAAGTTCTCATAACTTCTTTTCTGAAACCACAGGCTCTGTCTCTAGAAGCTTCTGTTTCTTGAGAATTGTTGAGGATTCTACTTTCTGGGTAACTGGAGCATTGCCTCCTAACCTTCCCCTTGTAGCAAGCTTAAAGAGTATTTGTGAAGTGCCCTGAGGTGCATGGATAATGCTGTTCGTGGCCTGGAGGCAGCCAATGGCAAGGATGTGAGGGTGTCAGGGGCTCCTGGATGGCTCAGTCGGTTCAGCTTCTGACACTCTTGATTTCAGCTCAGGCTGTGATCTTGGGGTCCTGGGATCAAGCCCTGCATCGAGCTCCATGTTCAGCCTGGAGTCTACTTGAGATTTCCCCTCTCGCTCTATCTTCACCCCCTCCCTCTGCTTGCACTCTCTGGCTCTCAAATAAATAAATACTCTTTAAAAAATGTGAGGGTGTCTGTTTCTCTGCCCACCTGGGGTCTGTCCTCGATGGGCTGGCGCCCCCGGTTACGATCCATGCTGTCTCTGGATAATTAGTGATGGATAACGCGTGCATCTCTGGCCCTTAGGGACGCCGACGCCTGAGCTCGGTTTGAGATGGGTTTCTGAGTAAGCGTTTGTCCTCCCAGCTCTGTGTTTGTGCTCCCTCCCGTAGAAATGCACCAGTGCCGGAGCGACGAGTACAGCTGCAGCTCTGGGATGTGCATCCGCTCGTCCTGGGTGTGCGATGGGGACAATGACTGCAGGGACTGGTCCGATGAAGCCAACTGTACCGGTCAGTATTTTCTGCTCTCCCTTCATAGCACGTGTGTGTGTGTGTGTGTGTGTGTGTGTGTGCTGCTTAGCCCGGCAGCCCTACGCGATCATAGAGCCGAGGCTCTAAGAAATAGACCCCGTTAGCCATTTCTTAGCTAGCCATCAGCCAGCTGCATGCGGTTTACACAACTATTTCTCTGAGTTCATTTTCGTTTCAAGGTGACCTTCTAGGACCTTCAGGAGTAAATGGATCTCAAATGCCATATCATCCCACAGGATGATCTGTGGTGTTACCCAGTTCTATCCCCTTACGAACTTAACCTAAACTTGCCCCCCTTGTCCTTTCTGGGGCAGTCTCAGTGTCTGCACCTCCGCTTCTCGAAGGACTGCGGGAAAAGGCTTCTCTCCAAATGGCCTGCAGAAGGAGGAAAAGCCAGGGTCCACAAAGGAACTGCTGTCAGCCCAGGAACCACGGAGTGCTGTTTGGAAGTGTTGGGCCTGGGTGGATAATTGGTTAATAAATTAGAGGGGTGCACTTGGGCATTTCAGTTTAGTAAATTGCAAAATGATTGAACACCTTGTTAGCATAACCACATTAGTCAGTTGTGTGTGTTTCAGCAGCATGTGCTGCTCCTCCGGGATGAATTGTCAACTCCTTGTCTGTGGGAGGGTTTGTCCGAGATTCCTGATTTTCTCTCCGATTTTTATCTTATTTATTTATTTTTTTGACAGGGCTATCTGGGGAAAATGCAAAGTGCTTGCGCCTCCCCTGTTCCCTTTTTCCAGTGACCGTTCTTCCAGATCTATTAAAGACGATTTTCCTTCCCCATCATCTCAAAATAATTGGCGGTCAGCTGTGAGCTTCTTAGGATATGTGGCGTGTCCCCTCCTTTCCTGGTCTGATCGCCCAAGTCACCTGCAAAGCCAGAGAAGATCAGTCCAGGTCGGCAGACTTCCTGTTGGCCTCCGCTCACGTGCATGGTCTTTGTTCTTCTCTGTCCTGGTTTTGGTTTTCCGGGGACTGAGTTTTCTTTATTCCCTTCTCCCCACCTCCCTGCATGGATTTTGAGCTTAAACATTTGATTTCTGTTCTTTCAGTGGTTACGCTCAAGACACCCTGTGTGTCTTTGTGTGGTAACGTTGCCCTCCCCTAGACCTCCTGGGACTTGAGAACAGACTCCAAAAATACTTTGTATTTTAGCTATACATTTTAAGAACACTAACATTCATCACTGTTATTATATTTTATTAACCATTTACCTTTACTTCTTGTCTCTGACATCTCCCTCCCGGGTCCATCTTTCTCTGTTTCTTGCAACAGGAGTCCACAAATAGTAAGCTCTTTCAAGATTTTGTTTCCATAAACGTGTCTTTATTTCACTCTCAATCCTGAATTCAGATGGATCTGGGTTTCTCGGTTTGTAGTAATTTTCCTTTAAATGTTTTTTTTTCAAAGATTTTATTTTAAAGATTTTATTTATTGGACAGACAGAGATCACAAGTAGGCAGAGAGGCAGGCAGAGAGAGAGGAGGAAGCAGGCTCCTCGCTGAACAGAGAGCCCGATGCGGGTCTCGATCCCAGGACCCTGAGATCATGACCCCAGCTGAAGGCAGAGGCTTTAACCCACTGAGCCACCCAGGCGCCGTTCCTTTAAATGTTCTGATGGGACTATTCTATTTCCTTCCGGCCTCTTCTGTGTTGATTTGAATTCTCCCGGCAGGTGATCTTGTTCAGTCAGACGTTTTCTCCCCAGGTATCTGTTTGTTTGTTCTCGTTAGGTGTTTTGACTTAGGCGTTTTGACTTCCTTCAGTGAAATGATCTTTATTCAGCCTGCTCAAGTCTTGTTTTCTTTCTAGAGGCTGAGGATTTGTTTTTCACCAATTCTGGGGAATCACAGGCAGGCTCTTTTCAACTCTATTTGCTATTTTCTCTGGACTTGTCTTCAGTGCTTACTCTCAGGGGTCTGTTGGGCTGGGTCCTTCTGTCATTCATGCTTCCTGGTTTTGTATCTGCCGCCTCTTTATGACTCTGTGCTCGCATCTGAGTTACTTCCTCAGTCTTCTCTTCCAGTTCAACAATTCTCTTTCTAGCTGAATCTAACGGGCTGTCCCACACATCCCCTGAGCTATGCTTATTTCCACGAGTATATTTTTTGTATCCAGAATTTCCATCTGGTTCTTTTTCAAAGTCTGCCTTTTATTTTTCAAGGCCCCTTCTTTATGCTTTATGTTGTTCTTTCTGTGTCACTCATCCTTCAGGTTGAATCGATAGTCGCATTTTCTCTCCCCCCATTTGCTTCTTCATGGTCCAGCCCTTGGAAATGAACGTGGTAGTGCTTTCTTACCATGTGAATTCATTCATCTCTTTTGCTCCACTTGTATTTGGTTAATGCTTCTGATCAAGTTTTCCAGAGGGTCTTGTTGAGTCCAGGAAGATCTGTCCCAGTCAGAGAGTTAGGTGTAGGATAATGGCCTCTATTAGAAACCCGACCCTCTAATTTCATGGTCATTTACCCCATTAGCCCATCCAGTTACAATGATTCCTGCCACATGGAGGATTCTTATTTTTCTCCCCCCATTCTTTAGTCTGTATTAAAGTCAGTCTCTTCCCTCTTTGTAATTAAAAGAAAAAGGTGGTAATTGAACATGTATTACGGTAATTAAAACACTCTATGTCAGAGAGCTAGTAAGTTACTCAGAAGATGGGAAAATTCAGGAAAAGAGACTGTGTTAAGAATCCCATTCATAACAGGCCACTTACATGAAATTTTACCAAACTGATTAGTCTTTCTGAGCTCAGCTTCGGTGATAGATTTTTGGAGATCTCAGACGTGCCTCCCAGAATGGTCATTTGGAAACTCCATCAGCACTCCGAAATTGTTTTCAATTAAAAGGGAAAGGCATAAGCTGAATAATAACAAGTAGCTCACCAGGGCAGTGAGTTTAGGCAACAGTATATTTTATGAACATGAGCAAGGCTTTGCTGAGGAGTATTTCCAAGGGCGGTCAGACTTGCAAAACCAACAGGTCAGAAGTCTTCCAGGCAGTGGCTGTTACTAGTACAAAAACTCACGTACTGTGCAACATACCCATAGTCCTCTTATCAGAGATAGAAGTATATTTTAAAAAGATGTTTAGTGGATTCCAAGTGCCAAAGGTTGTAAAATATAGAAACTTCCTCTAGACCTGTTTGCACGCTGCACCTATAGCCTTGATCTTCAGAGAAATGAGAAGACAGTGGTGGTAATGGACCCCCACTTGTTTTAAAGTGGTTTGAAAAATCACTTTCTTTGCATTTTAGACTGCTGCACAAAATAGCCTCAAATTCAGTACAAATTCTAGAGGGCATTGGAAGCCAATTTTGTTAATCCTTGAGTAACAGTTGCCAACCATCTTGATCACATTAAATAACTGTAGTATGCACTCAGTAACCCACTTTTGTTGGTTCTGCCTCATCTGTTGCAAAGACATCCTGTTCGCACAGTTAAGCTAACAGCCCATCCCTCTTGGTTGTATTATTTTATGTCCGTGGTAAACAAGGCCAGACCTGGCTTCCATTCAGCCATGAGCAGACACAAACAGCTTTCTGTTTTAGCAGAGGAAGGGGAAATCCGACAGACAGTAGTGCTGGTTGGATTTGAGACAGTTACTCTGCGTTCTAACTAGTCTTTCACCAGGGTTTTGAGACGTTTCTAAAGGACTTCCAGGTGGCCTCAGCCCATGTATGCAAAGAAGGCTGTCGGTTTATAATAATGGCACTGTTTCACTTGTGTCTTTTTCTTCTAATGATTGTAGCGGACACCATATGTCGTAGGCTGGGGGACGTCACTCCCGACGGTCGAGAGAGTTAGATAAGGCGAGGAGGTTCTGGGACCTTCCTGTGTGAGTTTGGATAAGTCTTCCGTGCTCTCTGGATCTGAGGTTTTCCACATTTGAAATTGGGCCGTTTATTGAGAATTATAAGATCACAGCCTGTCCGAGCTTACAAGGGTCCTTATATGTCAAGATAGATCATGAAATTGAGGCCCCCAAAGAGTGGCTGGACCAGGTCTAGAGCAGGTCTCTGGGGCCCACACCACCTCTCCCTGTCGCACAGAATCTGGATGAGTGAGTGGGTTGATGAGAGAAGATAAAGCTGCAAGACAGAGCTGACCCTGAGCCACACAGGCTTTGGACTTGGAGGGGGCCAGCGCCCTTATTTAATTATCTTTGCCAATGTGGGGAAGTTTCTTAATCTCTCTAAAGCCTATTTCTTTTTTTTTTTTCTCATTTTTTAAAAAACTGATTTTCTTTATTTGAGAGAGAGTGTGAGAGAGAACACAAGAGGAGGGGGAGAGACAGAGGGAGAAGCAGACTCCCCATTGAGCAGAGAGCCTCACTCGGGGCTCGATCTCAGGACTTTGAGATCACGCCCTGAGCCCAGGGCAGATGCTTCACCGACCAAGCCACCCCGGCACCCCTCTAAGGCTGTTTCTTATCTGTGAATGGGGACTAACCCTCACGTCATAGGTGGTGGCGAAACGTGAATGATTCTTTTTAAGCCTGTGTGTCTAAGCTTGTGTAACTTCACAGACTCACAGAGTCAAGGGATTTCCTTGATTAGGAGGCTGCACTCTACTGCCCTCAGGGCAACCCAGATGCCTAGCTCCTGGCCAGGGAGGAAATCTGGCACTCTGGGCTGTCCCGTCCCTATTACCCAGTGCCGTCTCTCTCTGGTCAGCTCCTTGGCAGTTGGTGGGGGAGAGAGGGTGAGGGCAGCATTGACGCTTTCTCTCCTCTCTCTTGTTGACAGCCATCTATCACACCTGCGAGGCCTCCAACTTCCAGTGCCACAACGGACACTGTATCCCCCAGCGGTGGGCGTGCGATGGTGACATGGATTGCCAGGATGGTTCCGATGAGGACCCAGTGAACTGTGGTAAATGCCCATGCTTTGGCCTCTCCCGGGAGCGTCCCTCGTATCTGCCGTCCTGGAAAACAGGCAACAGTTGGGCCGGGGATTGGGGTACTGTTCTCCTGCGCCCGGGTCCACGCAGACAACCAAAGTTTTCCTCACGGTTCTCTGTGGCTCTGCTATAGGGTGTCGAGGGGGTGTGTAGTGTCATCCTCACTGCCTTTCCCTAACAACTTTGAAATGAAGAAGCGGAAACCAGTTCACGCACCCAGAGTGCTAAACACCGTTACCACCTACAGATATGACCAGGGTTCCGTGGAAATTAACCAACTATTTCTGTATCAGTGGCATGTGTTATGACTCAGAGTCCTCTGTCACGGTCCTCTGGGAAAATGGCTCACCGCCCCAAAGGCAGGACTCTTTCAGCATAACCGATTTCAGAGAGAACTCTGAGGTGGTCATTTACCTTCACAAAGTAGCTGCCATACAAACATGATTTGTAAAATTCTGCTTTATACCAAATATTTTTAAAGTCCTCTCTCATTACCCCTTTTCTCTAACGTCTATAGAAAGAGAATCCTCGTGTTTCTCCTCTGCTCCCATAGTACTTCCAACACTTTGTGGCCACCGTGTGTTTTCCACACCACATAATCCTTCAGCACCAGCTGGGGGTCCTCCAGCTAACACAGTCCTTGGATAGCGTCTCTCTCACAGGAGGAGGGTGCGGTCCCCAGCACTGCCCTCCAGCTCACATGCTGGTCAGCAGCCTCGAGTTGTCACCCGTCCCTCTGACTGACCACCTGTACATCCGGGTCCCCTTTCTTGGGTTCAGTGATTTACTAGAATGTCTCACAGAACTCAGGGAAACACGTCTCCTTGTTTGTTAGAAAAGGATGTGGTAGAGGATAGAATGAACTTTCCTATGGAGGAGATAGGTAGGGCAAGGTATGGGGAATCATTGTGGGGCTTCCGTGCCCTCTCCAGACCTGCCGCTCTCCCAGCATCTCTGAGGTCAACAACCTGGAGGCTCTCTGAGCCCCAAACTTTTAAGATTTTTATAGTGACTTTATCGCCTGGGTCTGGCTGATCATTACCCCAGTCTCCATCCCTCGCCCCTTCCTGGAGGATCCGGGGTGGGGTTCAAAGTTCCAAGCCCCTAATCATGGCATGATTTTTCTGGTGACCAGCCCCTATCCAAAATCTGTGCAGGAGCCCACCCAGATTTGCCCCATTAGAACATGAGACACTTCTGTCTCCTACAGAATTACAAGGGTTTCAAGAGCTCTGTGGCAGTAGCCAGGGTCAGAGACCGGTAGGTATTTCCTGTTACTTACACCGTATTTCCAGATCTTCGTGGGATTGCAGGCTTTGTCGGCATGTTGTACACCCTATTGCTCTCATGTCAGCGTCTTAAAGATGTTTGCCTCGATCTCTGTTTTTTTAGACTCAGCATTTTCATGGCAGACACATCTTACTTCGTGTTTCTCTGGCTCACTTAGTTGCTTCCTGGTCAGGCATTTGAGTGTTTTTAGTTTTACGCTATCATGCGTCGTAAAATTAATCCATTTCTTTGGAAACAAAGGCTGATATTTCCTTGACGATCCTTCCTAGGACATGTTCCTCAGTATGGCATTGCTGGGTCAGCGGTCCTGATGGACCTCAGTGATTCTCATGAAGTGTCCCCAGACTGCGTTTCCAAGCAGTGATACCCAAAGCGTCTCTACCAGTAGTGTTGTATCTGTTTCCCCAAGTCTCCCTTGAGCTTGCATTTTATTTTTTTAGCTGTTTCCACTGATTGAACGAACGGGAGTTTGTCTCATATAATTTTAATTTTATACTTTTCTTAAAAAGCTGTTATTCTTAGAGACATTAGATATTTCCCCGACTCATGGTACTCATTTACTATTTTCTGTTTGGTGTCCTTCGAGTAATTTCCTCTTCCATGATGACTTTTTATGGGGTGAAAACACATTTTCTTGCGTTATAGCTGACCCTCCTGGAACCATTCTCCTAAGAGTTGGGTTCTCAGTGGCCATGCCTGACCTGCTAGAATTTACTTTGAAGCCTAACATCAGGCAGTAGCTCTGCATTCAGGAGAAAGGGTTACCTCAGGCTAAGAATTGTCCACTAAGTGTGAAACCTAAGATTCTCAAGATTTCTAGGATGGGCTTTCTCCAAAAGGGCTTTGGTTTAGCATTCCTGAAGAATTAAGATGGTGCTCTATGAGAGCTTTAAAAGATCAGGATGTATAATTAGGATTCATATCCCCCTCCTTTTTTTTTTTTTAAATCACTGAAACTTTTCTTAAATATGTACTTATGAATATGCAACACATTTTCATGGTTCAAAATGGAAAAAAAGTATCAGGAGGGGTATAGTAAACATTTTTCTCCCCACCTGACAAATTCTGACCCTGTTCCACATAGGAAATTATGGTTGTATACCCTTTTGGGTATATTTTTTGGGATACCCTTTTGGGATATTTTTGTGCATATGTGCAAACTTAAATGTACTGTGTATTCTTGTTCTCTCTCTCTCTTTTTTAAAAAGATTTTATTTATTTATTTGACAGAGATCACAAGTAGGCAGAGAGGCAGGGAGAGAGAGAGAAGAGGAAACAGGCTTCCTGCTGAGCAGAGAGCCCGATGTGGGGCTTGATCCCAGGACCCTGGGATCACAACCTGAGCCGAAAGCAGAGGCTTTAACCCACTGAGCCACCCAGGCGCCCCTTCTTGTTATCTTTTATACAAATAGTCTGCTATGCATATTTTTTGTACCTTTTTTTTTTTTTTCATACAACTGTGTACGCAGGACACATTTTTTACAGAGCGCTTCCTCAGTGCCTTTATGACTGTCCCCGTGTTCTGTGTACAATAAGGCATTACAGAGTTCCCGTGGGCGGACACGTAGGTGGTTTTCCATGCGTTACAAAGAGCACTGCAGAGAACAACCTTGTATTTATGTTATTTTTCACTTGTGCGGGTAGGTTACACGCTTACGATGGCATTGCTGGGCTCCGTGTGCACACGTTAGTACCTGTGGCTGCAGGTACCAGTCCCCCACCTTCCTTAGGGGTGGTGCAGCTTTCTACCCAAATGATGCAGGCGAGGGGCTGCCTGTTTCCTCTCCGTCATCTTCTCCCCTTGTCGAATTGCATTTCAGAGAAGAAGTGCAATGGATTCCGCTGCCCGAATGGCACGTGCATCCCGTCCAGCAAGCACTGCGACGGCCTGCGGGATTGCTCGGATGGCGCGGACGAGCAGCACTGCGGTGAGCCCTCTCCCTGCCCCGGGGAAGCACATATATTGGACTGAATTGTTGCATTTCCTCAGTGCGTGCTGGTGGTTAACTTTTTTTTTTTTTTTAAGATTTTATTTATTTATTTGACAGAGAGAGAGATCACAAGTAGGCTTAGGGGCAGGCACGTTGGAGTGGGGATCAGGCTTCCCGCTGAGCAGAGAGCCCGATGTGGGGCTCAATCCCATGACCCTGAGATCACGACCTGAGCTGAAGGCAGACACTTAACCCACTGAGCCACCCAGGCGCCCCACTGGTGGTTCGGTTTTAACCGGAGCTCATGCAGGACTCTGAGAGGCTGATGGTGGCAGGGCACCGTGGTTTGGGGGAAGAGGAGCAGGGGTGCGGCTGGGGAGGTAGCAGTGGGGGTGGGGGGGTAGCAGTGGGGTCATAGCTCGGTGAACGCTATTGTTCAGTCACAGTACGTTCCAGTAGTCGACCCATCGTTTTGAACTGAACACTTTCTTCTACTTCATTGGTTTTATAGTGTTGCTGGGGTAACATTTTTGGCTAGGTGATTCTTTTATCCCGGTTTCCTCTAGACTCACAGAGGTTGTCTTGGGTCAGTGGTGCTCCCCTGTGAGTCTACTGTGCTTGGGTTCCCCCTCCCCACCCCCAGATCCGGATGTAATCCATGTGGAGCGTGGCCTGGGCGCTGGGATGATTTTTAAGGGCTGCAGGGGATGGTGATGGACAGCCCGGCTTGAGAGCCGCGGTTGCGACGCAGGGGTCGGCAGCTGGCCTGTGGGGGAAACCCTGCCTGTCTGGGTGTACGCTGTTCTAGGGCGTGAAGTTTTCTTTAAACATGGTCATGACCTGTTTACAGGTCATCTCAGACTGCTTGCATGCTAGAGCGGCCGTGGGGTGTAGTCGTAGCAGAGACCGTAGGACTCGCACACCCTGGAGAATCTGCTCCCTGGTCATGTCAGTCACCGTTCTCTAGAGAAGTAGAACCCATAGGATGTGTGTATCTCTAGGGAGAGATTTATTTTCAGGAATCCGTTCCTGCAGTGATGAGGGCTCGCGAGACCAAATCTTTAGAGCAGGCCGGTGGGCTGGAGACCCAGGGGCAGGCTGATGTCGTAGTTCGAGTCCAAAGGCCATCTTCTGGCCGTGTCCTGGATGGCCTTTTGTCCGTGCCCATGTGCCTTGGGTCTCTTCTTTGAAGGACCTGACCCAGTTGGATCAGGGCCCCCCGATGACCTCATTTAACCTTTATTACCTCTTTGAAGGCCCTGTCTCCAAATACAGTTACCCTGGGGTTAGGGCCTTAACATGAATTTTTAGGGATATGATTCAGTCCCTAGCTCTGGTCCTTTATAGAAAAAGTAGTAGAGAGCCAGTATTCTGTGACGAGTGATTGAGATCGTGAGCACTGATGGCAGGCGGGTCTGGATGTCAGTTTTGGTTGGCTCCGCCCCCGTGAGCTAGGTATTCTTGGATACTCAATGCTGCCACCCGCTCTGTTCTCATTGTGACAGCGGGACAGCAAAATCCCTCATACCCTCATCTCGAGAGCTCAGTGATGAACTTCTGGGTCAGGCGCTGCCGCTCAGGGCTCAGCACACAGCATGTGCCCAGTGAATGGTGGCACCAGGGCACCTTTGCTCAGAGCTCGCGAGTCCCCTCCACCCCCCAAGTCCCAGGTGCTCACGGCCTTCTCCCGGCCCCCGACCCCTTTCAGAGCCCCTGTGCACGCGCTTCATGGACTTCGTGTGCAAAAACCGCCAGCAATGCCTGTTCCACTCCATGGTGTGTGATGGGATCGTCCAGTGCCGCGACGGCTCCGACGAGGACGCAGCGTTCGCAGGATGCTGTGAGTGGGGCGGGGAGGGGCTGGAGGCCCCGGTGACACTGTGAGGGGCTGGGCTGCTGTGCTTCAGGGATCTTGCTTGACCATCCAGTCTGGCCCTTTCTGAGAAAGACTTACCTTTGTTGCTTCAGAACTACTGCTCTTTGGTGGTTGGTGTCCGTATAAGCGGAAGGTGTGGAAGGACCAGGGTCTTGGCCCAGATACCCCTTCTCCGACTGGCCTTCCCCGTGCACCCGTCCCTCTGCAGTGCCCTTGCCTGGCTGCGGGGTTCTTCCCAGCACTGGTGACCACTTGGCACGCCATGCATTTAGTGGATCACCTGTCTCTCCTGGCTGGAATGTGACTTCATGAGAGCAGGGCCTTTGTCTCGTGCTCTGCTGTAGCCCTGCTTCTAAAACGGCCCTGCCTGTGGTAGCGAATCATACTGGTCTGCTTGGGCCGCCATCACCAAATACTGCAGCCCGGGTGGCTAAAACAACAGAAATGCCTTTTCCTGCAGTTCTGGAGACCACAAGCTTGAGGTCAAGATGTCGGCACCATCGGTTCTTTCGTGTTCCCCGTCCTTGGCTTGCTGATGGCTGCCTTCTTTCTCCCTCAGTGTCCCCTCTGTGCCTGTCCATGTCTTGCTTTCCTTTTCTTATAAGGACACCAGTCCTATTGGATCAGGGCCCACCCTAATGACCTCATTGAACTTAATCACCTCTTTGAAGACCCTGTTTCCAAATACAGTCACCTTCTGAGCTACGGGGGGTAAGGATTTCAACTGGTTTTTACCATCAGGGAGCCCTGTAGCCGGCCTGTCTCTTGGTGGAGGACAGTTTGCTTTTTCCTCTTGTTTCTAAGCAGTGTCCCACGTTGAGCTCTTCAGTATGGCAGTAACCTGGAATTTACGGATGCTTGTTCCTTATCTAGCCCAAGACCCTGAGTTCCACAAGGTCTGTGATGAGTTCAGTTTCCAGTGCCAGAATGGAGTGTGCATCAGCTTGATTTGGAAATGCGACGGCATGGATGACTGTGGTGACTACTCCGACGAAGCCAGCTGTGGTAAGATCTTGGCTCTTCAGCCTCTTGTCCCTAATCTCCGGGTCACAGTGACTGACGCCTGTGGTTAAGGAGGCCGTCCTCAGCCTCACTCCTGTGCAGCCTTGGCCTTCTCCTTCCTCAGCACTGGTTCCTGCTAGCTCTCGAATCGCTGTGTAAGGAGTTGAGTCTTGAGGTTGCAGCCTGCCTCTAGTCGGTGTTAGGGGACGTTTATGCTGGTTCCTTTTCTTTCCCCCGTCGGGAAGTTCGCGTGATGTCTAAGAAATAATGGAAGAGGAATTACGATAAATCTTTTGGAGAGTGCTTCCCTCTCCTCCCCTAAAAGTTACAGATTTCACAGCTTTACGGAGTCATTGTCCCCGTTGGGTTAGAGTCCGTAGTCCCATCAGTCCTTTGGTCAGGGTCGAAATGAAAAAGTTGGGTATTATTTGTAAGAACCAGAAGTGTGGCTCGGAGACGCACTGAGTCGGGATCCGGGAAGACGGGCTTGGGTCCAGGAAGCCTCCTTCCCCGGATCTGGTAGGATTGTGCAGGCTGCCCCGGGACTTGGGCCTTGAGGAGGCTGTGTCTGTCTGGTTGGCATGTATGTTCACGCTGGTACAGAGTGAACTGACTGACGGTGTGGTTCATCTCCCCAGAAAACCCCACGGAAGCCCCGAACTGCTCCCGCTACTTCCAGTTCCAGTGTGAGAATGGCCACTGCATCCCCAACAGGTGGAAATGTGACAGGGAGAACGACTGTGGCGACTGGTCTGATGAGAGGGACTGCGGAGGTGAGGGGTCCTGGGTCAGCCTGTCACCAGGACACACCAGCACACGGGGCTCCCTTTCTGCCCAGAATTGAATTTGGTCTCCTTGGTGCCAGGCTAATTCAGAGATTTGGGGGGGCATAACTCTGAGTTCTTTTCTACCCCCTCCCACTTCAAAGCAGCGTGGTTGGTTTCTCCTGTTCCGAGGGGCCCGCATGCCATATTTTGTAGGCCATGGTGAGTACTCTGGAAAGCGGCCACTCCAGGCGTGGCCTGCAGACCAGCAGCATCCACATCTGCTTGGGGCTTATAAGAAATGCAGTTTCCGACCCCCACCCCAGGCCCCCCTTCTGAGTCAGAATCTGCCTTGTATCAGATTTCTAGGTGATACGGGCACCGTGTTGCACCTGAGGAGCACGGGTGTGGGCCGCATGCTCGTCACTTTCCTTTTGGGTGTTCTCCTCTCTGAACTAGGTCTTAGGGGAGCTGCTGTGGGGTTGTAACCAGCACAGTGTGTAGCCTCCGTAGGAGTTCTCCCATCTACCCTGCCTGTTGAGTCACGTTCCTTCCATCAGCCTGCAAAAGCATTGAGCTCCTGTTGAGCCCCTGCAAAAGCAAACTCATTCAAATGTTAGCCCAAATCAGAGAAGAGGGGTTAGGGGAATCTGCTCCAAAAAAGGGAGGAGGTTGCAGTCTATTCGGAGACCCCATTATAAATGATTTTTCGATGAGCTGCTATTCCAAATCGTGCCTGGCGCTGGCCTCCCCGGGGCCGGGGCAGCCCAAACGGGAAGTCCACGCTAAGTCTGGGACACATTACGGTCTGAGATCCAGCGTCTTGTAATACTTGGGGTGTTGTTGTTTGCTTGTGTTTTGCTCAGATTCACATATTCTTCCGTCGCCCACTCCCGGGCCCTCCACGTGTCTCCCCAACTACTACCGCTGCAGCAGCGGGGCGTGCGTGATGGACAGCTGGGTGTGCGACGGGTACCGGGATTGCGCAGACGGCTCGGATGAGGAAGCCTGCCCCTCGCCTGGTGAGTGCTGGCCCTCCCGCTCCCGTGGCACCTGCCTTTGTGGAGCAAACCTTCCAGGGGGACGCCCTGGGCACAGCGGGGCCAGGCTCAGTGTGCCCCCTGCCTTCTGGGACCCTGTGCTCTGTGGCCCTGGGCTGCTTCTCACCCCCAGAGCTGGGAGACCTGGGGCACTCAGAGCTGCAGGGTCCCCTCTCCTCTAACTGCCTTCTCATCTTCCTGCACGAAAAGGCCAGCCACCCTGCTTTCCACCCTGGCTGCGGCTGGACCACCTTTGCTTCCTTCTCCACAGGAAATTACGATGGGAATTATAGGGGAAGTGTTTGGCTGTGTGTTAAACTCTCAAGGGGGAGAGCCTGATCTTCCTGCTGGCTGGTTGGCGGCCGTCCTGCTAAAGGAGGGTAGGCACTGCCATCTAGTGGCCGGACCCAGAAAGGCACCTGACGGCTTGGGCTGTAACCATGTTGCCCGAGGCAGGAGTCAACCCAGAGACCCCGACTAGTGCCTTCCCTTAACTGTAGGCAGAACAGAAGTAAGGGTGCTGAGTCCTTTCCTGAGCGGGATTCTGTTTCAGACGCGCTTAGAGTAAGAGAGGAGACAGTTGTTCACTAGACTTTGCAGATCCTTTTCCTAGCAAGTTTCTAGGTCAGCATTTTCCTCCTTTAAAACAAATTCATCCCGTTGCTTCACTGTGTGAAATCATCAGTGGTTTTCTCTTGTCCAGAAGAGACATCCCAACCCTTGAGTCCCGTTTTCAGGGTCCTTCCTTACCTGCCTTTACTTGGCACGTCTGCCAAGCCGGGCTGCTCGTCTTGTCTGGACAGACCTGCTTCTTCTCTGTCAATACTCCCTCAGCAGAGTTTCTGTCTTATCAGAGACCTCCATCCTCCTTGACTTTGCCCCCCCACTTGCCCCCCTCTGTGAATCCCACTGTCCATCACAGCAGACAGAAGCATGGATTTTGTAGCTAAAAGAGACCTTGATATGTCACCAGTGTTTATCAAAGTACGGAACAGAGACCACCATAATGGAATCCCTTGGGGGTGTTTGTGAGAATTACAGAATTAGGATTTCTGCGTGGAGCTCAGGAGCTCACCATGTGACTGCTGGGTTCACTGGAGTTTGAGAGTTTCCTGCTTGCGCCAAGGGCACCGTCATCTGCCCTCCCAAGCCCAGCACCACGGAACGTTCACAGAGTCCTGTCATTGACACTGATCTTTTTTTTTTTTTTAAGATTATTTATTTATTTATTTGACAGAGAGAGATCACAAGTAGTCAGAGAGACAGGCAGAGAGAGAGGAGGAAGCAGGCTCCCCACTGAGCAGAGAGCCCGATGCGGGACTCGATCCCAGGACCTGAGATCATGACCTGAGCTGAAGGCAGAGGCTTAACCCACTGAGCCACCCAGGTGCTCCATGATCTCTTTCACAGTCTCATACTTACCTGTTGTCCTTTGGATTCCTCACTGCGATCTGCCATGTGCTGCTGCCTGGTCATCTCATGCCTGGGAATCTTTGCTTTCCAAGCGATTATACGGACCTCATGTTTTGGGATCATGCCACACAGTACTTTGAATCCCCCACTGTACTTATTACAATAATAGGCAAATAGTGTCCTATAAATGCTTCTCAAATTAAAACAAATTATAAAGAAAATTGTTACATCTCTGTCCTTGGCCCCCTAAGACCACCTGTCTGTTTAGTGATTGGATTCTCCTCTGAAAATTGCTTTTGGGTTGTTAAAACTTCTGAGCAGGGTATTAACACACTCTAGCAAATTCTGCTTAATGCAGAGAGCAGATTCCTATTTCCATCTTTCCTTCAGCTTCTGTGATTCCTTTTGTATGTATGTCACCAGTGCAAATTAACTTGGGTTGTCTCCAGCTCTCGGATCTGGTTTCTGCACTGCGAGTCTCCTAACTGGTCTCTGGGCCTTGTGCCTCTCCCCTTTACAGTTTACCTTCTGAGAGGCCGCATATGGATGCATGATCATGCCTTCCCCAGTCTGGAAACTTCTGGCGGCCCCCTTAGTGTGTAAGCATCAGTGCTGTGATGTGCCTTGTCTTGGCTTTCTCACCTCATTTTTTACCACTTTTTCCCGTGTACCCTGTTTCAGCAAAGGGGTTCTAGGCGTAGGAGATGTCCCTTGGAAATCCCGGTAAAATCCCAGATTTCTCTACCTCATCTTTCCTTTCCCTCTCTCCCTCTCTTTCTTTTTAATCCCATTTTTTGGTAGATCACATTTTCCAGAAGGTTCCCTGGGAAAGAGAATGTGGAGAGCATTGTTGAGGTCTTGCTTTTCTGAAAGTGGTTTTCTTCTGTCTTCAGATGTGAGTGATAGTTGTTGGTCTGGGTTTGGAATTCTAGGTTGTCGATAATTCTCCTTCAGAATTTTGAAGGCGTTACTCCACTGTCAACCAAGCAGCTTCTCTTTCTTCCTGGAACTCTCATCATTCATACATTAGATCTACTGCTGTGGTCCTGTCACCTTTTTATTTTTTAATTGATCTCTTTTTTTTCCCCCTCTATTTCCTGGAAGATTCAGCTCTATCTTCCAGCTCTGCTCCCGAGTTTTCCATTACAGTTACCGTGGTTTTAATTTTAGGAGCTTTGACTTTCCAGTACTCTTCTTTTTTCATGGCATCCTGTCCTTTTTTCATGCAGAGATAATATTCCTCTGAGCATATCAAGGATATTTACGTTCAAGGTTTTCTTCTTACAGAGTCTCTATTTCCTCCAGATGTTCTTTTTTGCAGGGAAAGGGTCTGTGCTCGTTGCTGTCTTTCATGTCAAAGGTTTTCCCCAGATAATCCTGGGTTGCTTGCTTGTGTTTAAGGGTGGGGACAAAAACACAAGAGATTGTGCCCATGGGTAGGTGTGTCAGCTTTGAGTTTCATGGTCAGGCTAGTTGCTGGGGAACTTGATCTGGTTTGCTTGAGGATTTGTTCCCGAGGCTGCTCAGTTTCCCTAGAGAAGATTTTTACAATCCCCTGCCTAAGCAATAAAGGTGTCCTTGCCAGAGCTCATGAGGATGGGGACCAGGATCCTCCCATTCAGCGATCTGTGGGTTTAACCCCTTCTCTTCAGTATGGCTTTCTTGCTGGTCACTGGGCCCGTCCAACCAGCCCTTCTTACCCTCCATGTAACAAGCCTCCAGGCTTCTGTAGGGTGATGTCTGGGCGACCGTCGTGTGGGGGGTGTGTGGGAGTGAAACACGTAGGGAATCTTCTGCTGCTCAAACACTCTTTGGTCTGTTCCCTTCCTGCCTTTCTCCCTCTTTTCTGCAGTTCACAGATACCATTTTCCAGCTTTTTGAAGATTCTCTGATACTGATTTTACAGGTTTTTTGCTTTTTGACGTGACAGGATGGGGTCCAGCCTCTTCTGGTCCCTACTTACCCCTGTCTGTGCCCAGCTTCCAAAATCAGACAGCTGTGTCCGGTCGATCCACCTTCCCTACCCAGAGCTCACAGTGGCCTCCAGGCCCTGTCGCTTCCAACAGCGCTGTGATTTCCCAAATTTCCCCACTGCATGGAGTTGGTTGCTCCTGCTGACCAGCCCCCTCACTACTCAAAAGTGAACTTTCAATACCTTTTCTTCCAGCAAATGTCACGGCTGCCTCTGTTCCCACTCACCATGGGCACTGTGACCGATTTGAATTTGAATGTCGCCAACCAAAGAAGTGTATCCCAAACTGGAAACGCTGTGATGGCCACCAAGATTGCCAAGATGGCCAGGATGAGGCCAACTGCCGTGAGTAATTTCTGAGGAGTTCACTGCTTAGGGAGGATTTCTGGAGAACAGGAGAAGACCCCATTACTCCTGCTTTGTTTCTCATAATAACCTTGGGACTTGGGGATTATCTCCATTTTAGAGACGGGAAAATCAGCTTTAGAGATCACCTTTTCAGTGTCAGCCCGGGATATTTATTTAGTAGTTGTTTTTTGTTTTTCCTTGTTTTTGTTTGTTTTTGTTTTGTTTTTGCACAAGGTTGTGATCTTTTCATCATGCCACATTCAAAGTTCTTATCGTGGAAGACTCTGAAATAACAGAGGGAAATGAGAGAGTAGGGTGAAATTCAGATGGACCTTTGGGACCTCAAAATAACAGGGCAGATCGATCCCACATTTCCCAAACTCATAGTAGGAACATTTCAGCCAAATAAGTAACTGCACAGTAAGACGAACACTGAACATAATTAACAGAGGAAATGAAATAGGATCCTCCTCCTGGGTGAGATTAATTGGCATTCTTTAAATAAGTTTCTTTAACCTGTTCCAAATCAGCCTTATTTATAACGATGTTGCCTGGTTAAGGTCTTAAAATCAAGATGTGCTCTATCTCCAGTGTTCCTCCATCCATTAATCAGGGAGCCGTATCAGAAAAGGAAATGAGATTAACATGGCGGCCATTCTTCTTGGAGAAGCTGGCCCCTGAGGGCCGCCAGGTTCTCTTCCAAGTGCCTATTAATCACCTGTTTAATTATCAGCTTAAGGATTTTCAGAGATTAATAACAATCGTATTCTCCATTTCTAAAACCTGTGTTTTCCCACTTCAAAAAAAATTGAGGCGTGTTTCATAAAGAAACCTCAAACACCCACCAGCTTTACTACTCACCTGTTGTTTAGATCTATTTTACCATGTGGAATAATTCTGGGAGGGGGATCTTGGTATTTTCTAAAACAATGCCTTGCACAGAGTTTCTCCCTGAGTATTCCGTATGAAATGACCCCTGCCCATCATTCTGTTACTATTCCTCTCTTCATGTTTCTTTGTCATTTTTAATCACTATCTAAAACCACAGATTTATTTAATTGTTTGCTGTTTCTCTCAATAGAAAGTAAGCTCTGTGAGGGTAGGCCCTTTCTTGTCCACATCACCATATTCTTAGCATCGTCAACAGTACCTGATTCATGGTAGGCCCTCCGTGTATATTCCCTGGATGGGCAGATGGTTGAGAAGATGGCTGGAGGGATAGAGAGATGGTTGGGTGGGCTAGTGGGTGAGTGGATGGGTAGGATGGTTGAGAAGATGGGTGGTTGGATAGATGGATGGCTGGGTGGGCTAGTGGGTGAGTGGATGGGTAGATGGTTGAGAAGATGGCTGGAGGGATAGAGGGATGGCTGGGTGGGCTAGTGGGTGAGTGGATGGGTAGATGGTTGAGAAGATGGGTGGTTGGATAGATGGATGGCTGGGTGGGCTAGTGGGTGAATGGATGGGTAGATGAATAATGAAGGGGGAGATGGATGGATGGATGGGTGTTTCGATTGGGGGGTGGGTGATAATGGGTGGCTGGTTGAATGGGTGGGTAAGTGGGTAAATGGGTGCATAGATAGATGGAAGGATGAATTCCATCTTGGTTTTCTTATACTAGTGAGTCTCCAACGTTTTCTAAATGCTCTAGTGCAATTTTATTTAATTATTTGTAACCAAGCCACCCCCCCACCTCCCCAAGGCAAACCAATTTCAGCTCAGCATGTCACTGAGCTCTTTAACACAATGATTTTCCAGGAGATGAGGGATTGTAGTTTGTAAAAAGCTTCACATTTCCTTTCTTTCATTGACAATTGCTATACTAGAGAGCTCTTTAAAGTGTATTTAATTGAAGTCTGTGCCTCCACTCTAATGACGTGCAAAGTCTTAATTCTTCCTTCACGTGAGCCCTCACTGCTTGAGAACAGTTGTTAAAACATTGCACCCCACCCCGACCCCCTGTATCTTTTCATTTCTAGGATCGCATCTCTGGATCCATTATCATTCCTGTTGGTCGTGCTGGTTCTCTCATGAGAACACGGCACCGTTTCTTGGCCTGCGTCCCAATGAGCGATGCCAGCGCATCGCCATGGAGCCTGTAAATTACTCTGTCCTCTTTCGATCATTTGACCCCAAAGCTCTTCCCTTTCCTGGAGGCAGATTGCTGTGCTCCTGTCAGATAAGGAGGCGTCCCAGCGCCACCAAGGGGTTACTGGTCCTCATTCCAGAGGCGTATTTCGAATGAGAAGCTGATGAGCACAGACCACTTCCCCCGAACATGCTCGGCTGTTACCACAACGCGCCCTCCCCTCTGTTGCAGCCACACACAGCACCTTGACCTGTATGAGCAGGGAGTTCAAGTGTGAGGACGGCGAGGCGTGCATTGTGCTCTCCGAGCGCTGTGATGGCTTCCTGGACTGCTCGGACGAGAGCGACGAGAGGGCCTGCAGCGGTGAGTGCCACCCCTGGGGCCCTTGTGAACCTTGTGAGCCTTTCCTCGGTCTGCAGGGGAAGCCGCTTCTTGCCCAGTTTTGGAGCGCCTGGTGAAGGGAGGCTCGTCTTGCCTCTGAGGTAGCTGGGCCTCATCTCTGTGAGGGAAGCTGTGGTCTTGGGTTTGTTTTCTGTGATGGCCCACTTCGTGCGGGTGCACCACGATCCCAGAACCTCAGGCTTTGTGGCGGGGTCTACACAGTCCTTCTGTCTGGAGGGCCTTAATAATTGTCCTAGTCTTCTGGAAATGCTATTAACAGAACCCCACAGACTGAAGGGCTTATGAACAACAGAAACTTCTCTCAGTTCTAGAGGCTGGAAGCCCGAGACCAGAGAACCAACAGATTCCACGTCTGGTGAGGGCCTGCTTCCTCGTTCATAGACAGCTGGCTTCCCTGCGTCCTACCGCAGCGGAAGGGGTGAGGGAGCTCTCTGGGGTCGCTTTTATGAGGATACTGATCTCATTCATGAGATTCCATCCTTATGATCTGATCACTGCCCAAAGGCCCCGCTTCCATCATGCTGGGGATTGGGTTTCAGCATTTGAATTTTGGGGGACACCCACATTCAGTCTGTCGCAGTAAGGGACCCTGCTATGATGTCATCCCTGGATCTGTAGAATTCCCTCTTGAGGAAGCAGGCTTATCTCTGTGTAGACAAGGAAGAGAAATGCAAGGGAAATGCTGGGACTGGAAATTTAGGAGACCCTGGGCAAGGTCGTATAGGAAGGTTTGAACTCTTTTTTTTTTTTTTTTTTTTCTGGAATGTCTTAAGATGCTGACCATGGCCTGACAACCTAGATCATGGTAGGTCCCCCCAAACATCACGGGACCTCTAAGGATTTCTGAGATCCCACGTTCTTTCTCTTCCCCCCTTCATGTCTCTAGACGAACTAACTGTATACAAAGTACAGAATCTTCAGTGGACGGCTGACTTCTCTGGGGACGTAACATTGACCTGGACGCGGCCCAAGAAAATGCCTTCTGCTGCTTGTGTATATAACGTCTACTACAGGTGGGTCCCATCTTGGCTGTGAGAGAAGAAAACAGTGTTCTTACCAGCCCTGGACATTTTGCAAACTCCCGTGGTGCTCACAGAGCGGCTCTTCCTTAACTGAGCCCGGGCGTCCCCTGCGAGCCCACTCTGCTCTGATGTGACGGTGTCTTTCTTCTCTCGGCCAGGATGGTTGGGGAGGGCATCTGGAAGACCGTGGAGACGCACAGCAATAAAACCAACACCATATTAAAAGTCTTGAAGCCAGACACCACATATCAGGTCAAAGTGCAGGTCCAGTGCCTCAGCAAAGTGCATAACACCAACGACTTTGTGACTCTGCGGACGCCAGAAGGACGTAAGTGTTCTTAGTTTCTGTTGATGGTGTGTGCAGGACCTTCTGTGGGATTTGCAGAGTTTCCCAAGGACACTCAGGAGTGTGGGAGCCTAATGACATGGGCTGCATGTATAGAGAAGAACTAAGCCACGGTCTTATGTGTGCCCAGCATGCCTCGCATTCTGGAAGAGAGGAAAGGTTTATCGAGGTGAAGATCAAACTTACAGCCTTTACTAGTGGATTGGTCCCAGTGCTGTCCCTGGATTCTTTCTAGTTTTTGTTTCAATCTCAGGGATGTTCCTCCCATTTACCAGTATGCAGATGGGTTTTAACCCTGAGTTGACTCTTTCCTAGTGCCAGACGCCCCGCAAAATCTCCAGCTGTCACTCCACAGGGAAGAGGAAGGCGTGATTGTGGCCCACTGGATTCCTCCCACCCACTCCCATGGCCTCATTCGAGAGTACATTGTAAGTAACTTCTAGGAGCGGCGCGCCACGTGTATCCGGGTGAGCGGATCTCTGGGTCTACCAGTGTAGGGCCGTGTTCTGAATGGCTAGGACTTGATTTGGTATTGCCGGGTAAATGGTCCACCCATCAGAACATTTTGCATCTTTCCCTCTCTCCTCCTGCCTCCTTGTAAGGTATCAGGATGTCCCAGACGATCGGTTACCTTACTAATAATTTTTTCTTTTCACTTTAGGTGGAATACAGCAGGACTGGTTCCAAGATGTGGGCCTCCCAGAGGGCTGCTAGTAACTTTACGGAAATAAAGAATTTACTGGTTAACGCTCCATACACCGTCAGAGTGAGTGTCAGCCCCCGTCTCAGCCAGCTGGGTAGTCTCAGCACAGGAGAACACCAGGCTGACCTTTACGAGATATGTGCTGGTAGTCCGCTAAACACCTACCCCCTTGCCCTGGGAGCTCATCATCATTTCAGTCTCTTAAACAAGTGCCCCAGAGAACTTGAAATCACATCTCCCTCAGATAATGGAGAATTTTTGGTAATGCAGCTTTACCTGCTTTTCACGCAGATTTTCTGCTAGTGTTCCAGCTCTGTACTTTTTTTTTTTAAGATTTTATTTATTTATTTGACAGACAGAGATCACAAGTAGGTTTTTTTAAGATTTTATTTATTTATTTGACAGACAGAGATCACAAGTAGGCAGAGAGGCAGGCAGAGAGAGAGGAAGGGAAGCAGGCTCCCTGATGAGCACAGAGCCCGATGCGGGGCTCAATCCCAGGACCCCGGGATCATGACCTGAGCCGAAGGCAGAGGCTTTAACCCATTGAGCCACCCAGGCGCCCCTCCACCTCTGTACTCTTGCACCTACCGCTTTTCTGCTTCTCTTTAGCTGCAGGGTGGGCAGAGCTATGGTAAGTAGCATTTAGAAGCTGCTGTCGTGGGGATCTTATGCAATATGGTATCAATACCTTTAGCAGAAAAGAGCTTTCGTGCCGAGTGTATTTGTTGGGACCATTAACTGTGTACACAGACTCCATGACACTGATGATTTTCTCAGTCCTCTTTCTCACATACATGTATGTTTATGTGGGGCTGCAGGGACCCACGGGCTCCCCCCGCCCCCACACGCTATAGAAGAACCTGAGCCCTGTCAATCAGCAGAAATCCATCATGTCTACACCATCACAGCTCCCTCTGCCCAGATCCCACACCCTCTCCTCCACTGCTCCGCCCCCTCCCGTTGTCTCCAACCCCCCGTTTTCGTAGTTGCTGGGGCCTCTGAGTGTCCGGGATCTGTCTGCATAAACCGTTTGCCACCCTCATGCCCGAGTCTCAGCCCCGCAGCTCCTTCCAAACCCTCGCCGTATGCTGTAGTGCCCTTATTTTATACTAACTCACGCTCTGATTTGGAAAGGTGGCTGCGGTGACGAGCCGTGGAGTAGGAAACTGGAGCGGTTCTAAATCCATCACCACCATCAAAGGCAAAGGTAAACGATTCCAGCATTTGCAGGTTGAGAGAAGATAGAAACCCTTTGGAAGTGACTTTCAGTGCGACTGGGAAGCAGAGAGGCATAGATGAGAAAATTTCAGGCAACCTCCTCCCCCTCCAACACGTACACATTTCCAGGGGTTTCCGTAGAGCTTCAGATACAGAGTTTCTCTGGGGCCTGTCGAAGGCACTTCTTCTAGAGCCGAGCATTTCTCGTGGTGTGGATAGACAAGGAGATTTCCAGAGGCTGCCATGCCCAGCTCTTGGGCTCACACACAGTACTGCGGAATAAAGGAGTCCTTCCTTCTCACGACAGACAGACCTGGTTGTGTATGTGTCTGTTGATGGCATTTCTAAGAGCGCTCTGCTGACACGTGTAACTTCCCCTGTGGCACCGACACACGATGCATAGATGGAAGTTTCTAGCACTAGAGGTGACATCAGTGATAGCCGACTGCTCGCCGAGGGCCATGCTTGTGTTCACTGCATACGTCAGCCCATCTCACTGAACCCTTAGCAGCCTCCAGACAGCTATAAGGACAGATAAGGAGCTAGAAGGAAGTTAAGGCACTTCCCACACAGTCGGTAAACGGCAGAGAGTGGGGATCGGAGTCCAATCCTCCTGAGTCTGAAGCCTGTGCCTTTAACCACCAGGCCGCCTGGCTTCCCCTGGGCTGAGACGCCTGCTCCCACTGCTCGGGTCCAGCTTGCGTCTGTGCCTTGAGAGGGCAGGGGTCTGTTGTGCTTTCCTTCACTCTCCCACGGGTGTCAGGGAGGAGCCAGTGAGATCGCTGACGAAGGAGTGAATTAAAGCAATTAAAAGGAAGGCTTCCAGCACACTCGGGGAGACGGACTGTAGCTCGTTTTCTCAAGTGCTTCTTGAACTTGGCCCTGGCACTCGTGGCTTCCGATCCTGGAGTGAGGTGTCACGTGCAGTGGGTTTGTTTTACCTTAGCCTGAGCCTGTGAGAGATAGGCTGTGGGTTATGGAGAGTCACTATAACATTTGGGCTCCTTGAGATCAGGCAGGAGGAAGCCATACTTAGTGAAGCCAGCCAGTGTTTGTAACAGGGCGCTTGGGAGTCATTAGAAAAGGCATACTGAGTGTGCACTCTCCTCGCGTTTTGATTGTGTTGTCATTTCCCTCTACAAAATTGATCAAAACATACACACCGAGAAGAAGGGACACTGGAAGGTCAGCAATAAGACCTGTACCTTGAATTCCTTGGACACAGGTCACACCTGCCATGGAAAGTCTCTTAGACTTCTTTTGTTGGATTTTGCTGGTGAGCCCCTGCTCTTTGGATGGATGTTGGTTAGGGCCCGTCCAGGCCTCAGTCAGTATGCGAAGTCAGAAAGTGCGCGCTGTGTTCTCTCTGGGAGCCTGTGTCGCCACGACGGCACACAGAGGACGCACGCAGCAGTGACATCAGCCAGAAGCACCCCGTGCATTAGTGGAGGTGGGGGATTCCTAGCAACAACGAGAGAAGCAGCCATGGACCGAGCATGTCTGTGCTAAGCACCGTGCTTCCTGTTCTAGGTGATTTGATCTCCTTGAATCCTTATGCGTCCGATAGGTATTCTTACACTCATTGTATAGCTGAGGAAACTGGGCTTTGGGAAGGATTGTGACCCATCCCCAGTTACCACGGTTGTAATTCAAGTTGGCTTGATGGCAACATGTTCACCATTTTGCTCCGAGTTGGTGGCCTGAAACTCCTCTAATACCCTCTCTTCTTGCCCTAACATCCTTTCTTTCTTCCTCACCCACTCCTGTTGCATGGGTGATTGTCTGGAGGGACTCCTCCAGATTTTGGTGCATGTCTTTTGCCACCAAGTCTTACCTTCTCCTTCAAGTGTCTCTTCCCTTGCCTGTGTAAGGGGCTTACGAGCAGTTATCCCATGGAGCCCTTTGGATCATGGCTGACAGGGTGCGGTCCGCCATCTTGGGCAGACCTTCCAAAGGATAAGCACCATGCTCTCATCCCTTGAATGGAGAGGGGTCTTTCCTCTCTGCCCCTTTCATCGTGCCCATGCCAGTGACTTCCCAGTTCCTCAGTCTGTCCTAGGTAAGACTTCACTGGAAACGGAAAGAATGGGAACGTTGGTTGAGTTAACATTAGTGTGAACATAAGTCGCTTGCACTATTGTCCTAAGTGTCCAAATGGGAATTTGGACTCAAGTTGGTCAGACTCCAGAGGCCACGTTCTTTCCATTTTGCCACGCGTGTATTTACAACTTATGCCCTCGGATTTATTGTGCCCTCAACCTTGGAGCTGCTGGGACTCTGTTAGTGCCGGGAGAGGTGGTACCCACGGGGATGCCTCTGTGTTTCAGAAGCAGGTTGCCGCTGGGCTGTCTGGGGGCATCATCATGGAACTTTTCTAGATCTTGACCCAGTTGCCAGGATAGCTGACAGGGCCCAGATAGTTGTGTGCTTACCAGATGACTGTGGGCCCCCCCTCGGCTTCGGGACAAGAGCGGTAAAAGAGACGAGTGAGAATAGCGAAACACCAGCCCTTTCTTCTCCCACTAAAAGATCGCTTTGTCTGTCAAGTTGAAAACTGTGAGGTCCTGCCTTCCTCACTTTTCATCACGTGGTTTCTCTTTTTGAATTCCGTTATTGTTTTCAGAGATCCCACCGCCAGATATCCACATCGACAGCTATGGTGAGAATTTTCTGAGCTTCACCCTGACCATGGAGAGTGACATCAAGGTAACCTTGGGATTTCAGACTGGCCGTTGGGTGGGGCTCTGCTTGCAATGGAACTACTGTAGCCGGGACAGTACTAGGAAGAGGAGCCACTGCCCCGATTCAGTAAAACCAAAATACCGCGACTAGGTTGGTTGCTTCCCCCATGAAGAACAACTTGAGTCCTTCTCGTGTAATTATTCTGCCTCAGCCTGGAGCCTTTTTTTTTTTTAAACCATATAATTAAATGGTTCACAGCTACAGTGCAAATAAAGAGATGGTGTTAACAGAATATGTATGCCCTGTAATTTTCAGCTTTATTGGATTTCCTGGTGCGAAGCACTAATGCAGAGGTTCCCACAGTGAGAGAGAGAGTTGGATAACTTAGAAACGTATCCACTCCCAGCCACTCTGCATCCTCACCTTCCGGCCCCACTGTGCCCTCCACGCAGCCTGTCTGCAGAGCCCACACCACCATGAGCCTCTGTGTGCCCGTGGTTTTCCAAGCTGAGAGGCATCTTCCATGATGTTCTTTCTTTCTTATCTGTTTTTCCTCCCATCCCTCCCTGTCCGTGAAGCCGTGGCGGGACAGACAGCCTTTGGCGCCCTCGTGCCACTTACTGAAACACAATTTGGTGGCCTGCCCTTGGCTTCAGAGACCGTTGCTGCAAGGGGTGGCCAGCCCGTAAACCCTGTCCGTATAGTCTTTGCTCTTGAAAGCATTTTAATTTTTTCGGTTGTTGCCCCCCTATCGAAAGATCTTCAGATCAAAGCCTTTTATGAGCTCAGGACTTAGGAAAGGTAGTCTTTCCTGAGGCCTGGGTATATTTGCTCCTGTTAGACTGTGGGAGCTGAGTAAGCCCCTTTCGTATTGACCTCTTGGCCTTGACTGCAAGGATCGCCTAGCTAAGATGAGGCCTTCATTACTGTAACGTAATTCACTTTAAAGTTGTTCCTCTTTCCGCCTTTGTGATTGGCCCTTGTCCTTTCATACTGCACAGTATTTTTTGTCTCGTCACATCTATGGTGTATGTTATATAGTCTCACGTTTGTTTTTAGAAGTAGGTGTAGTATAACCAACTATTCAATGATAGCACGCAGGGAACCCATCCGAAGAGCATAAGAAACAACCCGTCCATTGTGAAAAAGGAGATGCCTTAAGGAGCAATAGCAAAGGGGTGTCTTTTGTGTTGGCTGTGCTCCCTGGCTGTGTGCCGTTCCCCTAACCCACTTCTTGGTTCCCGGCAGGTGAATGGCTATGTGGTGAACCTTTTCTGGGCATTTGACACCCACAAACAAGAGAAGAGAACTTTGAACTTCCGGGGGAGCATCTTATCACACAAAGGTAACACCTTAGAGCTGGGTGTGAGCAGGGAGGAATAGGAAGAGCGAGACCTCCTGGCAGCAGAGCTTGTCTGGGGGCTGCCTGGAAGAGGGGGCTCTTCTCTGGCTGCCATTCGGGTGAGCAGAGTAAAGAGACCAGCAGTGAGTCCTGCCTCCGGGGGCAGATCCACTCGGTGGCTCCCCAGCCCCCTTCTCTAGCTTCTTGGCTCTTAATGGAAGTTGGGGGCTTAAAGGAGGAGATACTGGAAAGAAGCCAGGTAGAACCCGTACAGATGATTTTTGAGTTCCAAAAGAAAGTTCCGGGTGTGAGTTGCCTGCCCCTCCTTTCTGGCCTGGTTCCCTCCCCCTTTGCTAATACAAGGTTCACAGGACATGGGGCAGAGTTGGTAGTCAGAGCACATTTGTTGAGCGAATGGACAGACTGAGCCAAGGGAGGAGGGAAGGTCATGTCCCAGTCCCTCTCGTATCTGTGCACCTGCTGTGCATAGCTCATGGACCTAGGTGTTCTAGGGGTACCGTCTTAGAGAACCCTGATCCTAATTCTCTGGGATATGCTCGTTTTATGGATAAGAACCCAAGGTTGAAAAAGAAAGTGATTCCCACAGAAGATGACAGCATCAGGAGTGGAACCTGCATCTTTCTAACTCCTAGGACTGGTGATCTCATTGCCTCAATGTGGCACCGAGGGGAGTCGGCCGAATCAGGAGTGACGTAGTGTTCTTCGCTGTTGCCCGATGTGTGTGAGGGGCCAGCTTGATGCTCACTTCATGCCAAACACTTTACAAGCTTTTTCTTTTTTAATCCCTGCAGCAGCAGCTAAGCTAAGTGCTGTTGGTTTTTTCAGTCTTACAAACAAGGAAATGGCCTCAGTTTGAATACAGGTGGCCCTGAACAGTTGGGGTTAGAGGGCGCTGACCCGGTAGAAAATCTGCATATAACTTTTGACTCTCCAGAAACTTAAGTACTCAAGGCTACTGTTGGCCAGAAGTCTTACTGATAGCATAAACAGTCAATTAACACATATTTTGTATGCTGTCTGTATTCTGTGCTGTGTTCTTACAATGAAGTGAGCTAGAGAAAAGAAAATGTTTTTCTGTCTGTCTATCTATTTTTGAGGAGAGGCGGCCGAGGGGCAGAGAGGGAGGGAGAGAGATTCTTAAGCAAACTCCACTGTGTGCAGAGCCTGATGTGGGGCTTGACCCCACGACCCTGAGATCATGACCTGAGCCAACACCAAAGAGTCAGAGGCTTAACCGACTGTGCCACCCAGATGCCCTGGAAAGAAAATATTCTTAAGAAAATCGTAAGGAAGAAAAAATACATTTACAGTTCTGGACTATAAAAAACACTTGTGTTATAAGTGGACCGCATAGGTTCAAACCCATGTTCAAGGCTCAACTATAGTTTTGTATCCTGCCTTTTTCCCTTAACAAAGTTGTAAGAATTCTCCAGTCTCATTAAATATGCTTGGAGACAACTCTTCGTGGCTGGAGAGTAGCTCGCAGAACACAAGTTATTTAAGCATTGCCCTGTGTCTGGGTATCGGGTTATGTTTGTGATGCGTAACGTCATGCCCCACAGATGTTTGCCTGCTCTGATTCCATGGGACATCTGGGTTGAAGGGCATGGAGAATTTCAAGCTGTTTACCAAGGCCAGATGGCTAAGAGGGTTGTCTCGAGATATAGGCCCGGAAGGTCAGCTTTGTAAGAAACTACCCAACGCCCAGGCATGTGTGTTATTTGTAGTCGTCACCACTAAGTAATGCTGGGATGGATTTGTAAAACAATGAAAATCCTACATGTGGGACTCACTGCAATTGAGAGATTATGTTGAAAACTAGGGTGTCAGTGCACCGGGCTGGCCCAGTAGGAAGAGGATGCAGCTCTTGATCTTGGGTCATGAGTTCAAGCCCCTCATTGGGCGTCGTGATTTTTTTTTAAAGGCTTAAAAAAATAGGGCATTGTATATCAAAACATAATTCTTTTTTTAATTAAATTTTTACTTTTAATTTCAGTCTAGTTAACGTACAGTGTTATATTAGTTTCAGATGTACCATCTAGGATTCAACAGTTCTACACATTACTCAGTGTGTCTCCTAACCCCCTTCGTCCATTTCATCCAAACCCCACGCCCGCCTCCCATCTGGTAACGTCCGTTTTTTCTTTGGAGTTAAGAATCAGTTTCTTGGTTTGTCAAGACACCAATTCTTGGCAGACGCCTCCAGCTTCCTCATGCGTCTTCCTGTCCCTGTTTTCACAGTTGCCAATCTGACGGCTCATACGTCCTATGAGATTTCTGCCTGGGCCAAGACTGATTTAGGGGATAGCCCTCTGGCATTTGAGCATGTCACCACCAAAGGAGTCCGCCCACCTGCTCCTAGCCTCAAAGCCAAGGCCATCAATCAGACTGCAGTGGAATGCACCTGGACTGGCCCCAGGAATGTGGTAAGTCAGCCAGGATGACCACTGCAGAGACAGTCTGGACTCTGCCCTGATGCCAGGCCGTGGGCTTTTCTCCTCTGTTACTGTGAACACAAACGTCCTCTTGGTAGTTCTGTATTACCTTCTAGACGCACCTGCCGTCCCTTTCCACACCTTGGCCTGGCATCTAAGAGAAAATGCCTGTGCTCTTAGCTGTGGAATAGACCGTGATTGTGACAAGGTGTTGGGGGGGGTGTATGTTCCTGTGCTTGGGACTCCCCTTGTCTTGCCGGTACGGTGACGCGGTAGCAGCGGTGACAGGCCACTCCCGTCTCTCCCCACCTGCGTGATCCCCCACCCACAGGTCCCCTTCTTGAGCTGTTCCTCCCAGATATTCCCGTCTTCCTCCCCGTGTCCCTGCTACACTCCATATAGATCCTTTTTAATTTGTTTTTTGTCATTATGTATGCATTTTGGCGCACTATAGTCTGATTTGTGCTTTTTTCAACCTGGTTTTTATTTCCCAGACGTCCCCAGTGTGTACCTTCCTTTGCTCTCAGGTGGGTCCTCCCAAGGTTCTTGGCACATTTTCACCACCCTCGCCTCCACAGCCTGGCCTGTGTTCTTTCTCCTCCCGGAGTCCTGCTGTCCTTCTGCTCTGCAGTCAAATGTCTCCTACTTGATCTCTTTCCCTTACAAACTCCCCCCCCGCAATTTATAGGTGCTGCCATCCAGAATACTGTTTCATTAGATCCTACCTTATCCTATTGGATACTTCTGTGTGTTACTTACCTTCCTAACTAGTCTGTAAGTTCCTTAAAGGGAAGGGTTGTTAACTGAGTTTTCCGAATGGAAAAGCCTTTCGAACTCAGTCTGTGAGATTTAGTGAGTCTTTGCAGTGGCTGGTGGCAGGAGACCTGGTCTTGTCTTCTGCATGCATCCCCAGTGTGCCTTTGGAGCAGGACAGAGTGGATGGGGAACGAACCACTATTTGCATGCGATTGGAAGGTCGGCCTTGAAGAAGGAAGAAGTGAGGCACCGGGAGAGCCTTTCATCCCTGTCCCACTTGATCCTGTCATCAGCTCGGTGGGGTGGATATTCTCACTTTACCAGTGGGGAAGCTAAAGCCCCGAGTTGAAGCTGTAGGAAACCGTAAAGCGGTGTGAGCTCAGGTCTGGCTAGCATGAAGCCTCTGCTCTTCTGTTACTCCACAGCCCGGTCCTGAGGCAGGGACAGAGATAAGATGCCCAGAGCCATGCCCCGGACTCGCCTGTCCCTCGACTCCATTCACAAAGAGGTGCTTTCTTGCTAGTACACCAGCTGAGAGCATGGCCACCTTGTCACACCCAAGTGCGTTCACAGAGTAGGGCCTCGTTGTGGCACTCTAGAACACCACTTGACTCCAGGGTCTCTCGTTGCATGTGAACTTGGAGAGGTATCCTCACTCTGCCTCATCCTTGCTGATAGCCTGAATATGCCCATCGCAGCTCTCAGAGGGTGACAGGGCTGGTGAAATCACCTGTAGGTAGCTCTCAGCTTCTACCCAACTTCAGACCACTGAGGACTCAGATTGCCACCCAAGTTGTCCCTCTCCACCATGAGAACGGCCACAGCCGCTGTGCATCGCTGGGGACCTGCCTGTACCCAGTCCTCCCTAGCACATGGAGCTTTCTGTAGGCCCCTGGCCAGAGCTGCCCAGTTGGGTTCACAGTGGCCCCAGGCCTCTCCTCCAGAAACGAGGCCTGCTTCTGAGCCCAGAGCCCCCACTCCCGTCTTGTGCTTTGAGTGCCCTCCGTCCCCTAGTCCTGCTCCATTCGCCTTGCTTTCTGGCTCCCTCGAGTCCCCTAATTCTTTCTTTCCACACTTCTTCCTGGCTTATCACCCCCTTGGGGCTTTCATTTCCCCTTTCCTATAGGCTTCCCCTCTCTGGGCCTGGCTGCCAAGCAGCACAGAAAATGCACAGCTGTCTGGGACTCAGAAGTCCCTGTGCACATCCCCTGATCTGTGCTTTCGGTTCCCAGGACTTCTCCAGACTTTCTTCACAGCTTTCCTTCAAGTCCCCGGCTCACCTGCCTGTGGGCCCTTCCATGCTGCCAGACAAAGAAAGCTTCCTTAGTGCTTACCCCACCCTGTTATAACCCCCTTGGCGGCCGGCCCCCACTCCAGGCGCATCAAAAACCCCTGCCCTGCTTTAAACTCCCGGTTTTCCACCTGTGTCAGTGGGTGATAAGAATGGCTGCACAGAACAGAGCCAGAAGTGACCATGGCTTTCACAGTTAACGTCCCTCCTTGTGAAAAGAAGGTGGAGTCCTTCAGCAGGCCTGGGTTTCTACAGCAGCAGGTCTGACAGGGGACCCAGGCCGCCTGTGACCTCCATCTTCAAGGTCACCTCATGATCCAGGAGGTCTGAAGCCACACCGTCATCGGTGTTCCAGGCAGCAGGAGGGGGGTAGGAAGGGTTTCTCTCTCCATTTCTCTTGAGTGTTTGCTGAGCTCTCATGTGACACCTCTGCTTGCAGCTCATCGGCCAGAAATTTGTCACATGGCTTCTCCTAGCTTCCAGGGAGGTGGGAGGTGGGAGGTGGGAAATGCAGATTTTCTTCCAGCCGGCAATTCTCACGAGGAACCAGGATTTTCCTGAGGAGGGGAGGAAGAGTGGGTGTCTTCTGGGCAGCTCCCCGTGTCAGCCGTGCTGCCGTCCCTCCTCAGCCTCCCTCCACAAACGCACTGACTTCCTCCCCATCTGTCCTTCCAGCCACGCTTTGCAAGTAGCATGTGGTCTGCACTCTGAGGACTTTGCCCCTCTCCCCACCTCCTCGTGCCATCTTTTCTGCAATATCTCACTTTCTGTACTTGCAGCTCATCATTTATAATCCTGTCTGTTCTTCTTCTCTGCCCCCCCTTCCTCAAAAATGAGTGCTTTGAGGGGCTCCTGGGTGGCTCAGTGGGTTAAGCGTCTGCCTTCGTCTCAGGTCATGATCCCGGGGTCCTGGGATCGAGCCCCAGATGGGGCTCTCTGCTCAGCGGGGAGCCTGCTTCCCCATTTTCCCCTCCTCCGTGCGTGTGCGTGCGTGCTCTCTCTTTCTGAAATAAATAAAATATTTTTTAAAAAACGAGTGCTTTGAGGACAGAGAGCCCACCATGTTTATCTTGGTGGTGGTGGGTTCAGTGCCTGCCCCGGTGTACCTTCTCTGTAAATAAATGCTGAAGGAAGACTTTTTTCTCTTGAGCGCTCCTGAAGCTCTTGACAAGGGCATTAATTAGGGATTTCAAGAGAACCAGGTCTCTGGCCATGGAGCTGATGTCCTTTTCCATCCTGTTTGCCAGGTTTATGGTATTTTCTATGCTACGTCCTTCCTTGACCTGTATCGCAATCCTCAGAACCTGACTACTTCCCTGCACAACAAAACAGTCATTGTCAGTAGGGACGAGCAGTATTTGTTTCTGGTGAGTTTCCCATACCGGGGAGTCCAGAGGGGTTTCTGTGTTTTAAGGATGGCTTAAATCCTGGGCTCCTAGCTCAGACCCTGCGCCTGGGGAGCTGGAGGCATGACTCCAGGATCTGTGTGTGCAAGAGGGGGTTCCTCTTCTGTGAAAGCACTGGATTCCTACTTCAAGAAAGGATTGAATGACCCAGTAACCAACCGCATCTCCGTGGGGGATTGGGAACTTGGCAAATGCATAAGCATTCACAGGAATTCACATTCCATTTCCAGGACTAGGAGCTTAGCCCACATACACTTACACGTATGCCAAGATAGATGGAAAAAGATGTTGGGTATACTGTTGCTTGTGATAGCAGAAGATTTGAAACCAATGGCTATCAGGAGAAGACTGGTTAAGAATACAGGGCAACCCTTCAAAAGAAATAGAACGGAGGTAGAAAAATCTTCCAAAGAAATAGTACTGACGTGGAAAATATTTGTGCTATCTTATTAAGTGAGAGAAGTAAAGAGCCTGAAAATATGAGCCTAGAATGTTCTCATTTGTGTAAAAAAGTTAAGAAAAACAGGCTACGTGTACACATGCCTATACAAGTATGTATCTGGTATGCACGTATGTGCGTCTGTGCTTACAGAAGCATAAGACATTTCTGGAAAGAAGTGCATAAAATTATTACTGTTTCTAGGAAAATGGATTAGAGATCTGGGGAAGGTGGGGCATTGTTTCACCTTTTATATCTTTACTACTGATTGAATTTTGTGTACACCTGTCACTCTTGTTGAAAAGAATGGCTTGGTGCCAACTCCATGCGTCCCTGTGGTATTGGTTTCAGGTGCGGGTGGTGGTGCCCTACCAAGGGCCATCCTCTGACTATGTCGTGGTCAAGATGATCCCAGACAGCAGGCTCCCACCGCGTCACCTGCACGTCGTTCATACCGGCAAAACCTCAGCTGTCATCAAGTGGGAATCCCCATATGATTCTCCTGACCAGGACCTGGTGAGAGGGCCGGGTATCCAGCCAGCCATTCCTTTTCTTGGCATGGTTGGGGACGGGCCAGAGGGTGCTGTCACCCCGCATGAAAGCTAGGCTTGGCAGTGGGAGCTCAGCAGGAGGTCTCATCGTCGTATCTGTGTGCCCAAAGATGGGATTCTTATAGGTGCCTCTTCTTGAGTTGTCCTTTCTCCATGATATCTAGCTGTTCTAGTCATTTGTCCCTCTTTTCTTCTCTGCCGTCTCACCTTCCCTTCCCTGAGCCTCTAAAGCGGGTTGGCAGACAAAGGCAAGTTGGCCAAGTGCAGCTTGTTGCCTGTTTGTGTAAATACAGTTTATTAGAACCAAACTCTAACTGGTCATTTAAATCTCAGCCTGTGACAGCTTTCACACTGCACAGGGTGGAATTGAATCATGGAGGGAGAGACCATTTGACCTTCAAAACCTAGTATTTTCTACCTGAACCTTTACAAAAAGGTTTATTGGCTCTTGATCTAAGAGAAGAGGCGAGGGGTGCCTGGGTGGCTCAGTCGGTTAGGCGTCGGCCTCTTGGTTTCAATTCAGGCCATGATCTCAAGGTCATGAGATTGAGCTCTGTGCTGGACATGGAGCCTGCTTGAGATTCTCCCTCTGCCGCCTCCTCCCCCCTCTAGAAAGAAAAATAAGAAGAATAAAAGAAGAGGCAGTAACTCTGGAAAATGGCTCCCATTTTCCTTTGACCCAGGCTAATTTTCCCTCCATCCCCTCTGCCCTCTCCCTCATCCCTGGGGTAGTTTTCAGTGCTCGGTTGCTCAGGCTTTCCTTGACTCTCCAGTTCTTCCCGGTGATTGAGTTTCCTGTACTTGCCCCATGTCCCTGTATTTGCCCTGGCCTCCACATATGTAAAAAGCAACCTGGGAGATAATAAGTAGAATTTGCTGTCCTTTCGTTGTGTCCTCTGACACCACCCAGAGCTATTACAGCTGGGGAGATACACTGAGCACTGAACTTGAATTGCTTTGCCTGTTCCAACCTCTGTGTGGATGCCACAGTGAATGTGACTTTCCCTGGGGTCATTTTTTTGGGTCGAATCGATAATTCTGTGCACAGTTCTGGGAGTGAGTGCTTGTTCCAGGTCTGAGCCTGGCCACCCTAAAGGCTTTCCAGAGAATGGAGTCGCTGTGGGCTCAGAAGGAGGTTGCTGTGGCTTGCAGCCCCCTGATACACTTGGGTTTTCCATTGCCCACTGCTGAATTGCAAAGAGTAAAAAAGTGCCAAGTTTCTGATTACCAAGGGTCTCTCTTTTTTTTTTTTTTTTGTCCCAGTTATATGCAGTTGCTGTCAAAGATCTAATAAGAAAGAGTGACAGAAGCTACAAAATAAAGTCCCGTAACAGTACTGTGGAATACACCCTTACCAAGTTGGAGCCTGGAGGGAAATACCACATCATCGTCCAGCTGGGGAACATGAGCAAAGATTCCAGTATAAAAATCACCACAGGTAAATGGGAGGGAGAGCAGGGTCCTTCTCACACAAGAAGGGGCCTATGGGGCTGCTCTGACGCCTAGACAGTAACAGTGGAAGGACAAACACCCTCTTCAGTATCCACAGTGGGCCCGGCAGGGTGGGCTTCCAGTGCCTGGGCTGCAGGGTGGTGGGCTGGAGGGTATGCTGTGTCTCTTTTCACTCTCCCTCTGCCTAGTTGGTTTTGACACTGGGGTGGAGGAGAGCAGGAATGCCCAAAAGAGTTAGGAAATAAAACTGAGTGTTTGCCACGAAAGCCAAGAATGGGAACCTGGGCTGAAATCCTGTGGTTCCTCGCGGCAGGGAGATGTGTAGCCAAGGAGGGAGACCAGGAACCGTGAAGTAGATTGAAGGGGACTTGCTGCCAGCCTGGAATTGGCTCGGCAGTCAGACTCTGGCTCAGAAAGCAGGTCATGAGCTCGGGTACTTGGGCAGTAGCAGACGATGTCACAGTGTCTGTGACGGAGGCTCGGTCTCACCAGGCCGGCCATGTGAGTGGTGGGTCTGGCGGGACTCACCGTGTCATTCTAGGGCTCTGTGTTCGAGCACGGGCCTTGGCACCTTGCTGAGTTCTGAGGCTCCTCAGGCCCTGGGGCAGGACTAGGGAGAGCAGGAGACGGACTGGAACCAGAGCAGAAGTCCAGCCAGGGAGCTGTGTCCATCCCATGGCCTCCCTTTCTCCCCCATCCAATTTGGTTTTGGCATCCTTGGCTCTCAGGGCCACTGAATGCAGTACTGTCCACGTTTCTTGGCTAAAGGTATTATAACAACAACTAAAGAGAGGTCAGTTAGAGAGTGTTTACCATGTGCTTTGCTCTATGCTAAACAACATTATGTATTTTATTTGTTCCTTAATCTAGCCTTTTGAGTTAGCATTCTTTTTTCTTTTCTTTTTTTTTTTTTTTAATATTTTATTTTTAGAGACAGCACAAAGGCATTGGGGGGAGGGGCAGAGGGAGATGGGGATGGGGAGAGAGAATCCCAAGCAGCCTCCACACTCAGCGCAGAGCCTGACCTGTGTCCCAGTCTCATGACCCTGAGATCATGACCTGAGCCTAAACCAAGAGTCAGATGTTCAACCTACTGAGCCCCTCAGGTGCCCCTCAGGTTAGCATTATCTAATTTATCTCATCAGACAGGAAAACAGTGATTCCAGTCCATACCCACTGACTGCATCCTGTCTCATCTTTAATTTTCAGTTTCATTATCTGCACCTGATGCCTTAAAAATCATAACAGAAAACGACCACGTTCTTCTGTTTTGGAAAAGTCTTGCTTTGAAGGAAAAGCATTTTAATGAAAGCAGGGTGAGTCCCTCCCTCCCTCCTCCTCAATGACTTTGGGAATCTAATTGAAACGCAGCTTTAGAGATGAGCTCGTTAATGGCATGCTGGCATAGATGGGGAAAAAACAGAATAGGGCAAGGGAGTGAACTTGAGAATTAAAGGACCATTTTCTGTGGGCTTGCTAATTAGTGAAATGTTTATACTGCCCATTAAAGATGAGAATCTCTGCACTAAGCACTTTTCATTCCTGAACTTGTCTTTCCCTAAAGACAGGGAAATGGGCTGGAACCTGCGCTGTGCCTTCTGAAGCTGGGTGGGGCTGGGCATCGGAACCAGGGCCCCGTCCTCCGCAGCCAGTCTGAGAGCAGGGCTGTGGCTCCCGTGCCAGGGGCTGAGCCTCAAATTGGCCTCGAGGTTTCTTTGCAGTGGTGTCTGAGAGAGCAGAAATTGCTCGAACATAGTCTGTTGACCTTATAGAAAACACTGTTTTGTCTGTCATTGGCAGACCGATGACTGTATTCACAATAGAAGGTGGGAGGAGAAGGAGAGCGCAACCAGGGGACAGACTGGCCACCCAAAGGTGGACAGATTCTGTAGTGGACCTGGCTTGTCCCCATGGTTGGCAAAGCGGGAGCTAAATAGAGACACAGTAAATCAGCTGTGGCTGTTTCAGGGTTCGGTGGCGGCAAAGAGCGCTGGGGTTGTGAACAGTCACAGTTGTCAGGCCAGAAGCACAACTAGATTAAAACTTGAAAATTCTCACAACTCTCCCAACTGTGACGTGTAAATGGTTAATATACTCGAATACAAAGAAAGCTTTCAAAGCCGTTCAAAACAGAAATTGATTTCTGTTGTTTCTGATTTGTTCCCGAATTGCTTCTGATTTCGGAAAAGGTACAGGTAACAAAGTAAAAACTATAGTAGTCATAGGGAAAAGAAAAGAAGGATCCACCTCCCTGATAATCTGAACCCCAGAGACAGGACACTTTCACGTGAAACAGGCTAAGTTTGTGGGGAAGAGTTACCAGAATGAGTTGTAGTCAGGGAGATTAGCACTCTGGAGATACGAATTGGAAATGCCTTCCGTAAGGCATTTGGGTAACACGTATCTGAAACAGGAAAAGCATTTACAGCCTTTGACCGGGCAGTTCTTTCAGGATCTTAATCTGAGAAAACGATATACACCACGAATTTATGGACACGGCTCTCCAGGGCAGTTCTATTTCTGGGAACAAGAAAGAAGAGACAACTTTAACGTCCCAACAGAAGACGACTAGTTAAATAAATGGTTGATGTTTGTGTCATTTAAATGTTTTTCTTTATACCTTTTTTGTATTTTGCAAATGTTCTATGGCAGGTGTATATTAGATAGAAAATGATGAACGCTAGTGTAGGATGGAGAAGGCAGGAATGGAACTCCAGGCCAGTGGTGCTAGGAGGCGCAGTTTGGCATCCAGCTGTCATCAGGGTCCCTCCTAGGTGGCGGAAGCCTAGCTTTCAGGTTGAGCTGACAGGTCAGTACTTCACTTCCCGTGGAGTGTCCATAAGCAGGTCGCATGTCCTTCCCTCCCCGCGCCCCAAAACCGGGTTTAGTTCAGAGAATAGGCGGGTCAGCGTCAATGGAATGGGGACCAAGAGCCGGTCAGTATGCGGTGGGGCCTGGTATGTCGATAGAGATAGGAGAGGAGGCCTTTTCTTTGATGCTGATGGGGTGGGCGTTGGTAGTTTGACACTGAGGTACTTAGAGATTAGCAGAGAAGTCCAGTGGTCAGTTCTGATCCTAGCCCGATCTTGAAGCGCTTTCTCTTCAAGGCCAGGTTGGTCTGGGGCAACCATCTGCCTCCAGGAGCTGGAGAGGTAGCTGTGGGCTGCCTGTGGAGTTCCCACATGCTGTTCTACCGAGAAACGTTCTGACTTTTTTCACCCCACTGCGGGAGTCCCCTGTGACCCGGATTTATTATCAGTCAGATCCCATTACTGGGAACTACTGCTGACTTGTCCGGATTCTTTGTGGCATTTACTATTACTTCAAATGAGTGAACTGTTGACCAGAACTTTGTGCACTGGAATATTTGTTAAAATGGCTTTTATTAGGGCTACCCTTTTCACTTCCACTTTGCAGCTCCTAAATGGGTGTGGTAGTTATTTGAGACATTTGGGATGGAAAAATTACCATTTTCTGAATCCAGTATCTCAATGGTAATGTAAAAAGATCTCGTAAGAAGCCCAAAGTGCTTTAGCATCTATAAAAGCCTGCAATAAGGAGCTCACATAAAGTTGGAACCAATAATAGAAGCTGTCAGAGTCCTTATTGAAGATCCTGAATAATCTCTCGTGTCTTTGTTTTCAGGGCTATGAGATACACATGTTCGATAGTGCCATGAATATCTCAGCTTACCTTGGGAATACTACTGACAATTTCTTTAAAATTTCCAACCTGAAACTGGGTCATAATTACACTTTCACCGTGCAAGCAAGATGCCTTTTTGGCAGCCAGATTTGTGGGGAGCCTGCTGTCCTGCTGTACGACGAGCTGGGGTCTAGTAAGTCACTTCATGGGGCCATTTCTGTCCTCCGTTCTGGGAAATCAATGAAGGATATAGCATGGTTTGATGAATTTGTCTTTTTTTTTTTTTTTTTAAGATTTTATTTATTTGGGGGAGAGAGCACGCACATGCGCAAGAGCAGGGGGAGGGACAGAGGGAGAGGCAGAGAATCCCAAGATGATTCTGCTGAGCAAGGAGCCTGACACAGGGGTCTAGATCATGACCAGAGCCGAGACCAGGAGTTGGATGCTTAACTGACTGAACCACCCAGGTGCCCCAAGATGTGTCTTTCCAAAGTGCATGTAAAATGTTCTCTCTCTCAAAAAAAAAAAAAAAAAAATATTCTTTTAGTTCAGAAGAAAATCACTTACGTTTCAATTTAGTCAGGCACTGATTTAACAAACACTTCCTGAGCCAGGCGTGGTGTGAGGAGCTGGGGTTACAAAGTGACCACATTCTGAATGTAAAGCCCAAAAACGGGAATAGGTTAAAAATGGGTTTTGTTTCAAAAGGAGGTCCTGCTTGGGAAACACTAGGTTGGTATGAGTTTTATTGTTTGTGTTTTGCAGGACTTCTCAGAGCCTCCAATATGCTAATGTTCCCTGTGGTTCTTTCAAGTCAGTAACTAATCTCCTTCCCATAGAGTAACTGATTTTATAGCTTCGTCTTAGCCGTCGCTCCCGAGCAGAACCTGAATTTGGCCTGGCATCTTGTCTTCTGAACCCTCACAGATGCTGGCGCTGGGTCATGCTGATGGCGGAGGAGAGGAACCTTTCCTTTACACAGAAATTCTGCTTGTATTGTAGTAGCTTGGCCAGGATATCAACAGATGCTTTGCCACTGGTCTTTTTTTGTTCCATTTCTTCCCAGCCAGGAGCTCACCAACACTCAAGCCAAAATCTTGCGTTTGAGTTGTTGTATGCTCCGACATGTCCTGCTTCCCAGGCACCTCCCTAAAAGGAAAACCTTGGCAGACTGCATCACTTTGGAGAATCCCAGCATACTTGAGGTTCTGAGAAGGTCTTACAGAAAACAAACAACAAAAGTCTTGTTAATCTAGCGTTTCCTAAATAGAGCCTCCTCTCTAAGTAAAACCAATTAACGACTGAAATAGACTCTGGGAAAAAGTGTTGCCTTAATAAAACTGAGCTTATCAAGCAGGAAGAATCTCTCCATGAGGCCTCAGTTCGTCTCTGTCTTGTCCCTTGATGTTTGCTGTCCCCTCAGAAGTGGGGTGAGGGGGCTTCACTCATTCCTGTTTACTACACCACCCTGGTTCCTCCTGACTCTTCCAGCTAAGAGCATCCCCCTAATTTATTGGTTCACACCTGGGGTTAGGTTGGGACGTATGATGTAAGAATTTGCCGCAGCTTTTCTTGGTGGGTCAATAATGAGAGAAATTAAAGGCATGGATTCTGAGTTGTTAGATTGGTCTTGCAAGAAATGGCTGTTCTCTGGCCCACCTTGATGATCTGGTTGGGGTGAGTTCCTGGGTCGTTACCGGGCCTTCCCCGTGAGGCCCAGGCCTGGTCCGTACCACTTAGCCCTATCCCAGGGAATGACCTCAAGCCTGACGAAGCTCCTTATGGGACCTGGAAAGTCCACTGTGCTTCCGTAGCTCAAACTGACTTCCAAGTTCCACTTCCGGCCCTCAGGCTCAGACTTTCCCCGATTTCTTAAGACCAGCCCAAAACCCAAAGATGGCTTGGCCCTAGAGCCTTGTGGAGGCCGATCTACCAGCCCATCATCATGGAGCTGGAATTTGTTTCAGACATGGGGAAGTGAGCATCGTTGTTAGGTCATAGACCCCGAACTGCTTTGCAAAGAGCATTTAAAAAAATGTGAAACGTGTATGGAAGGGTTCTCTCTTTTATCTACGTAAAAAAAAAAAACAAAAACCTCATAAAACTTGATGAGCTGTTAAGTCAGTGTTGCAGTAAAGGAATCTCGTTTGTATCACTTAATGGAGCTTCAGGTAATTGCAGTTCAGAGTGACTTTGGTGCCAAGTAGGGGGAAATAATTGCAATCTCGTTAATTAGTGGTCTGATTTCACATCCTCTTATGTAAGGCAAGCAAGTGGTCTTAAGTAATAATGCTAATGAAATCCATGTTGATACCCCAACAAAGGTCTCCCTTCCAAGAGATTATCTAAATAAACAACAAGGCCGTGATTAGGAGGCTAATGTAATTACCGTATTTGCATGCCCCAGGCCCGTGGGCTGTCAGCTCGTGGCGAGGCGTCAGGTGCAGGAACGCGCGGCAATAGGCTCACTGTTTGCCGGCTCCGAGCGGCTTTGGTGCTGGTGGTGTTGGCGGCGGGGGAGGGGGGGCGGCGGGGAGGGGGTCGGGTTGCCTCATCGCCCCCCCCAAACCCCTCCCTGACGTCGGAGGCTAATGCAGCGGCATCTTGCCCCGGCAGGTGGGGGCGCGTCGGCGTCCCAGGCCGCCAGGTCCACTGACGTTGCTGCCGTGGCGGTGCCCATCTTGTTCCTGGTCCTGCTGAGCCTGGGGGTCGGCTTTGCCGTCCTGTACACGAAGCACCGGAGGCTGCAGAGCAGCTTTACTGCCTTCGCCAACAGCCACTACAGCTCCAGGCTGGGCTCGGCCATCTTCTCCTCGGGGGACGACCTGGGTGAGTGGGGCCGGCCGCCCCGGGCTTCCTCCAAAGCCGGGTCCTTGCTTAGGAGCTGCGTGGGTTAGGCTTGTCTTGGGACACTTAGGAGGGGGTCGTTAACCAGTGATCTCACTGCTTTACTTTACGGTAAAGCCTTTGGAGCCCTTAGCTTGGAACTTGCTTCTCTGTTAAACTACTCGTAGTCTCTTCAGCGGTGTGGCCCTGGGCCCAGAGCGAGCGGTTCTGTGGAAGAACTGGGAGGAGCTTGCCTTGTGCGGGAAGGATAGGAGGGCCCGGGGCTTTGGAGACTCCCAGAGCATCAGCAGATTTTCCGGGATGTCCAAGCCCTCTCATCCTTCATGGACCTGGAGGTCTGGCATCTTGGGAGAGCCTAGTCTAGAGGAGACGTCATGCTTGCCCAGACGACTTCTATCCAAAGAGGCCCTTTCCAGCTGGCTGTCTTTCTGACACAGCTGGTCAGACCTCCCCGGCCATTCTTCTTTCCCGTACCCACAGCATGGTATGGGAAAAAGAAAGAAGTAGCCCTTTTAAGATGTCTGCATGCCCAGATTCTAAAAGCCAGTAGAGCAAGTAGACCGCTTAATATGGTAAATTAGGTGTGTCTGGGGGGTCTTCCCCGAATGTGATTTCACGTACCTATTTTTTTCTGGAAACCAGTTACAATCTTTTTTCTTCGTGAAGTACTTGTATATTCCCTGTCCACGGATCATTTGATATTAGCTTTGCTCCCTCTTCTCAGTTTCCTGTCTTGCTTTGTACAAGTATTTGGGCTACCTGGCATGAATGGGCTGCATTCTTTGCTTCCGTTCCTGGGGGCAAAAGGCGTTGGACCCGTGGTGGTACCACACAGTGATCACTGGATGTGGATCACAGCTTAGTTGCAAGGATTGGAACAGGGGCCACAGCGGGATATTCTTAGCCCCTCTAAGATCCCTACCTTCAGAGCAGTGAGGGTTCAGAGGAGGAAGCAGATTATGAGGTTTCACTGTTGACATAGGCTGTGGATCATTCAAATTAGGGAAGCTAAATTGCCCTCTGGACTTTTGGGTAGGTCGTAAGATTCTCCCTCCTAAGAGATTGACTTTCTTTATTTGGTCAAGTTCAAGCTACCATGAAAATAAGCTTGGCTACCCGTTGATGGGGGAGAAGGTGACCCAGGCGTGTCGGTGGGGAGCTGAGCTGGGATTTGGCTTTGGCTACTGCGCCTGGTGGGCTGTGGTCCCGATTTTCCAGGCTGGTGGTGTTGGGAGTGGTCGGGGCGGAGCGGTGGGAGTTGGGATTGGATGCAGATGTGATAGAATTCACCACGGACTGACTCTTTTGCCTTTAGGGGAGGACGATGAAGATGCCCCTATGATAAGAGGATTTTCAGACGACGTCCCCATGGTGATAGCCTGAAAGCTCTCCTCACTAGAAACCAAATGGTGTAAATATTTTATTTCATAAAGATAGTCGATGGTTTATTTTAAAAGATGCACTTTGAGTTGCAATACGTTATTTTTATATCGGCCAAAAACAAAAACAAAAAAGGAAAGAAAGGAATGAATAAACTTTGTAGTAATCAGCTGCGAACTTCAAACCAGGTTGATTTTAGTAACCAAATTGCTCTGATTTCATATTAATGTAGTCTTACAGGGCTGTGCTTGCTGGGCATGCTTTTAAGTCTGTGAGATAATTTTGAGTCAATAAATTGGCCGTTCTTTTTATTTTTCTAAGACACAGAAATGTATTTAATAAAAACTTTGAGAGAGGGTGATGGGTGGCATCTCTCCCACCCCCTCCCCTCCCCCCGCCATTGAAAGTGTGCTCAAATTTTAAATTTTGTTTGGATTTTGTTTATATGAAAGAGTTTGTGTGTATAGTGGGGGAAAGTTCTTTTCTGTACTTTTGTTAATTTATTCGGACTCTATATAAGGCAAGGCTTTCGTGGTCGTCGACTCCGCACGTTATGAGGGGTTGTAGGGTTGAGGGGTGGGGAACAGAAGCAGTTTTGTTGCCATTCCGGAAACAATCCGTTTTTATTCACTTGTGTGTCATGTAATGGTATCGGGCAGGAGAGGACATTGAATCATTGCTCGGTTTCAGTTAGACAGACCTGCGGCTCCGAGAGCCCTGCAAGCAACGGCTTCTTCTCTTACGTTCACCGCTGGAATCTTACCGTCTATGCCTCTGCACAAGATGTAGCTCTCCACGCTACAAGCTGAGAACACTGCTTTATTATACACTGGTGTCGTGGTCATTGCCACAAATGACTGCTCGTGGGAGAGTGCTAGGTCTGGGCCATGAGCGATACACTGGCAGATAAGAGTACCTAATTTGTCCTTCAGATATCTTGTTTATCCTTACCACTGAAGAATCTCGAATGTAAAGTTTTTTTTTTGTTGTTGTTTGTTTTTTTAAGATTTTTTTTTTTTTTAATTAGAGCAAGTCAGAGTATAAGCATGGAGAACAGGAGAGGGAGAAGCAGACTCCCCACTGAGCAGAGAGCCCCATGTGGGGCTCGATCCCAGGATCCTGAGATCATGGCCTGAGCCGACGACAGATGCTTCACCGACTGAGCCACCCAGGCACCCCTCAAATGGAAAGTTTCATATTTATGTTCAGGTGGCCACTTACTATCTTTAAAACTCTGTCCCTGATATATGCAGTCATTTTGAATTGGGTCAGTGCCTTCTCTTTTTTTTTTTTTCCTTTTTCTTTTCTTTCCTTCCACCTCCTTCCCTGCACCCCTGCCCAGTTTAAAGGGTGTTGTTCACTCCGACAGAGATACAGGAGATGGACGGACTTGAGACCATTCCATCTAATTGAGAGTCACAGCAACGCTAGAGCTTGCTCGCTTTGTAAAACAAGCTGAGCTATTATTCCTTATGCCTTTAAACACCACCCGGGTATTCCCCTCATGGCCACTTGCTAGGTCCATGGAGTCCCATTGCGGACCAACACCTGCCCGAGATACCGACGTCCAGCGCCCTTGTGATTCCTGCCAGAGGAGCCCCACTGGAGAACTTCTCAGCTGAGAAACAGGGAGCTCGGGGATGTCCCAAAGTCATGTTTCTGCAAGCTTCGTAAAGACCCCATGTCCTCCGAGGTGTGCCGCATCACCTTCTCACAAGTATTTGCTTTCTTTTAACCAAAAGTATCATTCTTGGGCAAGAATATAGTTTTGTTCTATCTAGTGATTGTCTGGAAAACAGCCAATTAAATTTTTTAGTTTTGAAAAGTTTAATTTATATATACACACACACACACACATATATATATATTTTGAATGAGGAGTATTTTCAACTGTAGACATGTAGTTAGGTCGTGTGGGTAAGGCTCCGTTGTATTTTAACAAGCGGTGGTCATGAGGAGCCTCCCTCCGGCCTTTCTCCCCGCTTCTTTGCCTCCCTTTCCTTTGTGAGTTTTGTAAAGAATGGAGTTTCTTTGGCTTTATCTTGTCTTACCTTATCTTAATCGGACCACTAGAAAGTATATTTTCTTCTTCTGCCAACTTCTCGTTGGCGTTCGTAAAAGCTGATCTCAAAGGCTCTGAGACGTTCTTCTCCATGGCTCCGCAGGCAAGCCTTTCTACAGAGCCTGTGTGTCCAGTCGGCGACTGGAGACATGTCTGAGCACCCAGTTCCTGTTCCTAGTGCCTCCCAGCGCTTAGTGCACAGTACTGTATAGACTGACCGTCACCCCTCTCCTCGGAGAATGCCACTGTGCTGTTTGAGACAAAGCAGCCTTTTAGGGCTAGAGTATTTTATATACACAGAAGAGCTGAGTTTCTGAAGACTAAGCTAGGTAGACACAGCTACGTGTAAATTGTATATTTTTATGAACTTTTCAAGCACGCACTCTTCCTTCCCTCTGCATAACTTTGTGGGGTTTCGGTGTAATGTGCCGTCTGCGAGAGTCCAGAGGTGGGAGTGGCCGTAGGAGAGGAGAACAAAAAGTATGTGCGGCCTTTGGAAATGACCAGGTAATTGTCTTCACTGTGACCAGTCGGAGCCCCTGTTCGTGAAGAAGGGGCTTTTTCGTACCTTGTTGGAGATGCCACCTTGAAAGTTCACACTGTACAGGGTAAAGGTTTTATTCTCCCCAAGCGCACATTTGAATGTCAGAAGCCCACATCCACGTGGGCCACGGTGGACCACTAACGGACCACTAAAATTTGGCAGGCAGGGGGATTATGTACAGATTTTCTCTGGAGGCTGATCTTGCCCCTTTATGTACTAAACACCCCTCGAGCTCGAGCCTCATGAGACCCGGGTCCAGGCGGGTGAAATGACAGAGTCAAATTCCGAGGAGGAGTCGAGGGAGGAGCCACGTCTATGCAGACCTTTCCAGACAGGTGAGACGCTCCAGGGACTGCTGGCTGCCCTGGCCTACTGGGTACAAGGTTATGATGCTGGGTCACTGGTTGAAACTTTGGACTTTGGGAAGAGAGGTTCCTGGGGTTCCATCTGTGCTCGGGGCAGAGCACCTATCAGTCGGGGCACTTGGGTGGGACAGGTGTGGGACACACTATGCCGTTCACTCCTGCCCGTCATCCTGGCCTCCTAGGTTAAACTAGGCTAGAGCCATTTAAGGAACGTACCCCCTCTCACACAGTGGCTGTCTTAGGGGGACCTGGGGAGAGCGGTGGTGTGGCGAGGCTCTTAGAGATAATCGTCCACTTCCCCTTGGAGAATCCTGTCTTCAAATATCTACCCAACAGTCCCTCCATCTTGTAAGATTATGGCCCCACTGCTTCCTTAAGGGCAGAAACCTCATCTAGTTAGGTTTGGTTGGTCACTTCCCTACTAAGGGGGGCATGGTGCCTCCGCGAGAAGATTTTTTCTCTTCCTTTGACAGAGCTGGGAGACCCCTCAAAGAAGGGTTCTGGGAGATAAGTCAACCGAATACCATCTCCATATTGATTTTCAGAATTGACTCTTGAAACTTTGTGCAGAATCTTCCACTTTGTTGGGATTGTCTCTTGACATTCCGAGTCCGTTATTTTTATTAACTGGAGTGTGTGCTGCCTTTCAGGTACAATTTTTGTGTAATAAAAGCCAGTGCATTAAGTTTATATAGACTACTTTCTATGCAAGACTGAGATATGGAGTAGATAGCAGGAGGTGTGGGTAGTTGGGTACATGGACAATGAGCTCGTTCTCAGAATGGGAACCACCATCGGACGTGGGTTGAGGGAGGACGGGTTGCGTGTATGTTTCTGCCCACTGAGTTTGAGCAGCCATATTAGGAATTAAATCCTCAGAGCCAAGTAACCCGAGACTGGTATTTGTTTCATGTGTGTTAACGCCAATGGAAGAAAGTACGAGTGCCGAAGTGGAACATTATTCTCAGATATCCCGTGTCATTTCTCCTGTAAAGACTCTTGTTACGAAATGCTAGAAACTTTAGGCAAAATCCAAGTATTGGCAGCAAAATAAAGGCCTACTCTGCTCTTATTTAAAGTGAAACACTGTATACGTGTTTCTCTCCAAAGTGAAATTAGGAGTTTATGATTTCAATTGCCTTGATACGTTTCCAAAATCACCTGTTTCTGCTGAAGATTTTACTATATTGTTGCACAATTTTATGATAATTTTTGTCTCAATGTCAACTTTTTTCACTGAATAAAAATGTAACTGGGTCAAGGAAACACCTCTATGAAAATCCACTCTCTCTTCTTGTGTCTTGAGTTCTTTTGAGTGCAATAAAGATGGTTAATACAGTCTCCGAACACCCTTCGATTTGCCTGTTCTAGAAGGAGGCTTCTTCCGTAGATGAGGCCACCCTGAGACCTGGAACAATTCTGTTATTGACAGGGTGATCTCAGACAGCGGATCCTTGACACACAGGATACCCGGGTGTCATCCGAGGAGCCGGGGAGATGTCAGGGCGGCTGTTGTGGGGTAAATAGAATTATCCTGAAGAAGCAGTGGCCCCCTTAAAGCTGTCATCACAAACGGAGGCACCGTTTGCTCCAAGGGCAGAAGAAAGCACTGCGGTGTGATGCTCTGTGTGCCAGAGAGCACTTCAAGGAGGTGTCCCTGGGCCACAGAGTCACGAAGCAAGCAGCGTGCTGCTTGGGTGGGTGGGTGAATGGCAGGTGGGCCCGTCCGGCAGGACCGGAGCACCTGGAATGGGAGAGGAGGAGAGGCTGGTGTTTTTAATTCAACAGATCTGCTCGCTTGCTATTTTGGTTTAAATACTGAGCCGAAATAGAGCTCTGAAGGACTGTCATCCCGTTCTGTAGGAGAGGAAAAAAAAAGAGGGTCAGAGAGGTTAAGTAACCGGCTTAGGGGAAACCGGAGCGTGAAGGGCAAGACCAGCCCCCAGGGCCAGGGATTTCTAACCTGAGACACTGTCCCCCGTCACCGTTCAGAGTCAGAGCACAGTCCCAACACGTCACACCCAGAAGTATCCCAAGCGGGCATTTGCCTGGTCACGGCCTAGCCCTTAGGTTTCCAGGCTTGAGTAATTTGTCAGCACCTCAGGGAGTTCATTTCTTGTGGGTAAAGCACTTAAACCAAGCTCGTGAGACTGATCTGCAACAAAGCCCATTTATGAGATCATCACGGGAAACAGTCCTGCACCTAGAATGTCTAAGAAAGTCTTGCCAGTGGGGCCTCCATCCATGAAGTCCCTTCGCTGAAGGGCTTGGGCACTGCCTGGATCTGCCACTGATGACTCTTTTTTGGGGGTTTTCCACCTAAACACCATAGAGCTACTGTTGATGAAGTC